TGATCTCAGAGGTTGAATAATGACTTGGTATGCCCCCTGAAGTCATTATTCCTACTTAAAATCTCGTAGTCACCATAGTAACCCTGAACATGAAATCCAGGATGGTCGCTCACTACATCAGCAGTAAAACAGCATTACTGAATATTTGCAACTTAGGCTTGTTTTGTGCCATAAAACTAATCACACCAATGTACGGGATACAGCTGTGTTTAAGGACCATGAAATAGAAAAGAAATGGTTGCAGACTTCGGCAGTGACAGGGCAGAAAAACCCCACCAGGTGTGCTGACTCATGGTCCTGTTCATCAAACTTAATTTTCATCAGTGAAGATGTTTAACTCATTGTGAGAAATAATACATAAGTCAGTGCATTTGAAGCTCTCAGCGATTAAGTATCGACACATCTTCAACATGAAAGGTGGATTTTTATTGTGTTATGCAATAATTTAATCTTGCCCTCCTTTAAGGAACCCGTGTTCGCCCAAGGTTTTCAAAAATAGCTCAGACTCTTACTTTGAAGCTGCTGTCTCATGCGTCTACTTCTTGCTCTGCAGTCATAAGTTAAAAGGTCACCCATCTGCCCTCCAGCGCTGGCTAAAACAAACCAAAAGATGTGGTGTAAACACAAACTCTTTATACAAGCAGGGAACACATTTAGCTTGCAAAGACGACCTACAAGTCAAACTGGTGTTATAATCGAGCTATTTGTTCACTGTATCAAGAGAACCACAAGATCACAAAATGACTGCACACTGTTATTTGTTTCCAACCTCAAACCCAACAGGTTATGCTTTTGTACCTGTAATGTCTGACATATGAGATCATATCTATAAATATGAGATGTATCAACATAAAAACATCACTTTGACCAGATTATGTCAAAGGATGGGCAGCAGAGAACAATCCCTTCTCCCACAGACAAGAGCTGCCAGGACTGGTTAATGTTTTGTCAGATATTTCAGATAGTGAGGAGAATCATTTCCTGCAGTTCCACTCAAAGAATGGCTGCATACCAGCCTGAATGACTCACTGTTGCCATATAAACCAGACCATACTCATAAAACAGGGTGAAACATGAAAAACATGGGCCTCCAGGACAGGTGACTCTGTTGCAGTGGAGACAAATTAAGCTTTTGCCCAATATGAAGAATGCAGTTTACAAAGAAAATCAATATGAGCAAAAAAATTGTACAAAACCTTTTTAAAAATTAGATAATTGATGTGCTCATTATTTGATTAATTTGAATAGAAATGCAAAGCTTCAGGAGTTAATGATTTATAGTATCTCCTTTTGTGTTTTACAAATCCCCTACTTCTTAACGTGAATCTTGTTTTGACTTTATTTATAGTGTTTGTCACTTTTTTAAGTAAAAAGATGATTTTTGAGCAAGTATTTAGACCAATATTCCTTGTTTTTGTATTTTTATCCCAACACAAGTGCAAATACCTGTAACTTCCTCTGAGGAGATTTTAAGCCACTTATGAGAAGGGAAGTGGTCTAGTCTTGGTAAAATTTGCCTGGGGTACCATCTAGTGGACACTTAAGGAACTGCAAGAGAAAACTGTAGAAGGGTTGTAGCTTGTGATAGTTATCTAATGAATATATAGAATTGAGTCATTTAACAGTGAAATCTGATTTTGTGTCTATCTCATCCTCATCAAGTTTAACAAAAGAGAGCACACTAACAGCTGTGTTGAGAAATAAGAAGTCCTAATGCTCCCTGGTAGTCAGCAGTATTAAATATAACCAGTAATCAGAGATTAGGTTTTAGTGCTGACCTGCTCCACAAAATTATTGTTGTCGTCAAGTCTTCTGCCAAAATACAGTCAGCTTTTGAAGTATGGGGAATACTCCTATAGGTAAGTAGCTGATCTTTCTCGCTGATTTGAGGTGTGACTTCTTTTGAACACTCACTGTAAAGCACTCAGAGCCTGTGATTTATGAGACACTGGGAGAAAAATACAGTGAATTTAAACTGTTGTATCTGAGCAAGCTCAGGCTGCGTGTTCAGAGAGTGAGTTTAATGAATTCATTTCTTTTTCTGACGTGTACACCTGGCTCTTTCTGCATACGCCTAATATGGATCACACTATCTGCAGTGTCATTTCAAACCAGTTTAACTTGTTTCAAAGATATGTGTGACGTTTGGAAAAAGACTGCTGTCTGTTATTGATAGTGGAGGTTTTATTGTTGGTGAGTGGTCAAATCTCATACTATTAGAGTTGTGATGATGTGTAAAATGTTGATAAAGCATTTATTCAGTTGAAAATAATGCAAAGACAACAATTATTGTTATTGGTGATTTTAAATTTGATGTACCTGCAGTCTACCTCACAGCACTGGAAATTAGTGAAACCTGCGTCTCCTCGGGAATGAACACAAATTAATTTCCAGCAGTTTTTATGTTTGTCTTCAAAGTTTTAAATACATTTCTCAAACTTTTAACACTCTAGCAGAGATTTTTAAGAGTTTTGTCATTTTAATTGACTTTTGAGTGTGGTGCTGTTTTGTTTCTTGTGTATTTTGTGTTGATTTTGAGATTTGGCACATCCCGAATGGTTCTACTTCCTGCAAAAAAACCCTTTAATTTGCTGTTTTTTGTTTATGCTATTGGCTTTTTCAAAGATGCTTCCAGACCTCAGTATTATTTGTGCAATATTTGCATGTGCTTTCACTGGTTACATTTGTTACTTTCCCATAAATCTGATTTTTGAGGGAAAACAAGCTCAAACACAACATAAACAACGGAAGCCTCTACTTACTTACTCAACTCAGTTTATTTACAGAGTATTTGAAGAGCCATGTATGCAAATGTACTGAAATTACCAACAGAACTTTCCATTTTTGTTTTACACATAGGGAGCGTATTCATCAGGATGATTTTTCAATCTTTTGATCTAGATGCCTCAAAAATCCAGTGAGTGACTGTTTCTCCATTTTCATCATCTGTCAAAGTCCAGCAGTGAAAGAATAAATTATTTAACCAGGTTTAAAGCCGTGCTAAGTCCTCAAAATCGGAGTAGATGTAGCAGTCAGAAACAGTTGAAAACTCTGGGTGACAACAGGACACAAACATATCTAAGCAACACAAAGTCTGAAATAATCCAAAGGAGAGCAAGAGCAGGTATCAGCCAGTAAGAGAAGGCTGGATGAAAACAATATCACTACAGACACCATTTAAGTCCTCGCCATCGTGAGCCTTGGAGCCTAAATCTGATGTTTTTTTAACCCATTTCACGGGTTCAAGTTTGAGACGTCTTTCTCTTGCAGTAACTCAACAAATTGATGGAAAAAATTCTGATGGCACAATGTGGATCTTAAAACCTTAACCTTTATTTTACACCAATTTTCCTGCTTCCAAAACACCCCTTAGGTTGAATTAACTTGCATAATTATGACAGCATGAGCGAAACTCGTGGTGAAAAATCACAACTGTCTAAAAACACCATTACTTTCCCTTTAAAGCCAACTCAATAGCTCAACTCTCAAAAACATCCTCCAGTAGGTAAACTCGTTTCCATTGTTTCACTATTGGTTGGATTATATTACATGCCTTCAACACCACAAATAAAAAAGACTGCCAACAGAGAGAGAGAGAGAGAAAGAGAGAGAACCGACAGACAACTGAAAAAGGAACTAAAATAACACAAATGGCTCAGCGTCCGACACCCTTAAAATGAAGATTAACATCACATCTTTCAGTCTGTATCACGCATACAGCTTGTTTTTACACCATTTGTGTACTATCTCAATGAAAAAAATGCTTTTCTGAAGCATGTCGAGGGAATCTGCTCACCCTCCCCAAACTGTCTGTTTGAAAAGATTGCTAAAAACTAATTTCAAGGCTGAACGGTAGAAAATTTAAGTCTCCGAATGTGAATTAAATCAGCGAATTTGCCAGCTGAAAGGAAAATGTTCATCTTTTATGCTTTAGTCATTTCCTCACACACAAATCTGTCCAAGATGCTAAAAACGAAAGATAAAACACATACAACTATGTCTGCTGTGAATTAAACGCTTTTAAAACTTCAACTGAGGATGTTCAGAACTGTTTTTTCTCTGTTGGTAAACTCAGGAGGATTACACCCACCTCCAGGGTAAGGCAGAGTTTATTTACTGTAAAATATCATCAACCCCTCCCCTCACTGATCTGTGAAAGGAAATATTTGGCCTGTTTTTCCAGCACCAATTGTAGCCGTTATTAAACTGTTTCCACAGCTGCTACAGAGTCGTCTGTAAGCCTGAAGAACCGTCATGTGGAAGTACTCACTGTGTGGAGATCTCCAAATTTTCAAGTCAGGGTGTCATTGCATCGTGATAACATTGTGTTCCACCTCTGTGCTCCAAACTTACTCCCCAAAGTGCTCTTAAGATGATGTTAAACTATACTTGTTTGAAACAGCCTCATTTTCAACGCTGTATTGTTTGTATAGAGGGACACAGAGGAGTAGAAATCAAACTAACCTCCATGTTGGCTGTAAGCACTGGCCTCCAAACTCACTGTATTCCCTAAAAGGAGTAAACAGGAAGTCCATCATATTTAAATCAAAGTGGGGAGAAAAAGATGCGATCAAATTGCCCCGTGTGTTGTCTCTGATTGAAGACGTACAGATGTGTTGACAAGAGCATGTGTCAAAAGAAGAACAGCTTTAATACATGATTGTATTATTCTGCAAACGTACCAGTGTGTGCCTCTTCCAGGACAACATATTATATGTTATCTAGAAGACTGCAGTGGGGAGGGTGTCAGTCTGAGTCCATGCATTTAAATAGCAACACAGAGGGGGAAAAAATAAAAAGCCAACACACATATATAATGTTTCTTAGAGAGAAAAGTAAGTCACCCAGAGGTCTGCAGCAGTAAATCTTGTCTTTCAAATAGATTTGGACTCATGATCTTGTTTTTTTTGTTTCTTTTCTGTGTGTCTGTTTAAATTCAAATGTTGACAGAAGTTGAAGTACATGTTGTGTATCACATTCAGCCGCCTCGTCTCTCCTCTCTAATCGCTCTTGCCCGCGTAGCTCTTGGTCCATATTCGGGCTGCAGTGGGGCGAGAGAGAGATAAAAAAACATAGGTGGAGAGTGAGTGAGGAAACATTGTACAGGACTGTGGATAAGGAAAGTGTTGCAGAGTGAACACAGATGCAAACAACGTCACCCAACAAGTTACTTGACTGCAATCTTAATTACCAAAATATCAATTAGAAATAGCTGAGAGCTCGGACAGCTGATGAGCCTCACAACCTGAATGCTGCAACCGACTCAAAATGATGATTGTTTTTAACGATTAAAGCATCTCGACCATCGTAACTATTAAAGTTTCTGCAGCCTGGGCTCCACTGGACTGCTGACTCCACACAGTGAAAGCAGATAGTAGGAGGCAGAAAATGCAGCAGCTGTGGCCGTGTGCAATGGAAAAAGTCATTCAGCAGTTTAATGTCAAGAAAAAAGTCGTTGCTGCAGTCATCCAAGGTGGGAAGTCGATGGTATTTTCAGTGTTAAAACCACTTGTCTACACATTTTCAATAATAGTAATGGCATTATGACTATCTCATAGTGTAGGTTTCTTACATCACACATTTTTTCCCTGACCACAATGATGAACTTGTCATCGTAAATGTGATTAACTTTTGGTTTTTTATACAGAGGAAACAAACAGACGACTGATCTTCACTTTTCAGGGCAGGAAAGTTTTTGATCAGTTTCAAATCATCTGACACATTCATGCACAACGCCGCCCTTGCTCTCTAATCATGCACCTCTGTAGCTTTTCTTTCAGTCTCATCTGATGTATGTAAAAGTCGTGCATGAAGTGTACAACCCAGTGTTTGTTTAAGACGTAACATTCAGCATGTTACATACACCTTACAAACAGGAAACCACAGACACTGAAAAGACCATTCTGTGCAAACTTCTTGAACAAACATGTCGCAATGGATTATGAGGGACAGCAACATGTAAATGCCATTGAGGCCTGACATGTAGACTGAATTGGCAAGTCTCCATCATAGACCACTCAGTCTGACTATTTCTACCATCCAGTCAAGTGTTTTTCAAACTAACAAGATATCAAAGAATTGCAGCTGTAGTTAAGTAACTAAAGTATAAAATAATAAAAGGTGTGGATTGATGATTGTCATCACCTGTCTCTATGGCAATGCCTTCATTTTTCTTCCACTGTTCTGCGACATCGTTTGCCAGGGGGTCGTCTGGATTGGGGGCACTTAATAATGCCTGAATAGATAGCAACACTGTACGAATCTGCAGGGCTGGAGACCATTTATCTGGAAGGAAGAGAGTTCATAGAAAGGGTTTACAGAGAGGAGGGGACTTCAACAGTGACACTGCAGATCCACTTTGTCATAAAGCTACCCCGTAAATCTGTTTGCAAGAAAATTAAAACAAAATGAAATACAAGCTCATGGACGTTTACTGTCGAACACTGCTCTTGCAAATCAGTCTGATTTATTATTTTCTTCATTACCATTGTGAGTTTGGCAACTCCCTCTGCGCTGATGTCTGTTCTGCTCCTGCCACTGAAATGAGCTTAAGTTGTTTACCTCCAAACTTGATTTAATGGCTGTAATCACATCAGCTCCTGAGCTTTGGTCTCACAGGATTGCTTCAAGCAAACACAAGCAGCTGCTTTTCGGCTATTTCATATTTTTAAAAAGGTAATTTTCAAACATTAAGACACATTCTGCTGTTGAGAATAAATCCTGCATTCTCCTCCTCATTCTACTCTTATATAGTGAAGTGTGATTTGGCACTTTCTGGGTTTTGGATATGTTTCAACTTGTCTTAAATCACCCCCAGTACGACTGCTTCTTGTTCATGTTTGGTAGAGAATAATGGCCTCCCTGCTACTTTTCTGGTATGTTTCAAGGATTTTAACCCCTGCAGTGTCTCAACATTGTGTTACAACTGACTTTAAAACATCCAGAGTATAAAAATGTCATGTATGTGTGGATTAATCTACATAATGCTTTTGACAATGATGCTCAATCAAATGAGACTGTGAACTTTGACTCTGTGGAGTGTAAATATCACTGAGTTCACTGGGCATCATCATCCAGCCTCACAGCTTTGTGCTGCTTTTAGCTCCTGCGGGATGATTGTTTTACTCAGCAGCTTGAAACAAAACCCCAACAGCTCCCTGTAGTCCATCGGGCAACCACTTAGACATGAATTTATAGCAGCTCAGATTATTTTATTTTGACTAAAGGAGTAGTAATTCGATCTTCAAATCATAAAAAATACCGACAATCACTTCTCAGATGTGACATCTTTAGGAGCTTTTTTGTGATTCAGGAAGGGAGATAATCAGTTTACTAAAGTGGAAGACTTAAAAAAGTTCTTTGCATAACCGGATGAAGAGGAAGTGATTATTTTATCTTTTATCTAACAGTAAGTAAGAATTGGATCAAGCTTCAGTGTGACTGAAAACAAGACTTTCATGTATTACATTATACATGGTTAAACCTTCAGGATGAGAATCTACTCAACATCATGCTGGGAATAATGACTCAAACTGATAAGAAAGTTGATATTTTCTTTTTAAGACTTGCATGAAATAGCCAAATGCAGCTTTAATGAGTTATAATAGTGCTCATTTTACTAAAACATCTCTTACCTTTCAAAATGTCTAAACATATTCTTCCCAGTTTGTCAACATTGGGGTGGTAGATTTTGGTCATGAATCGCACTTTGGGAGCTGCCATGGGATACTCCTCTGGAAGAAATAGTTCAAGTTTAAATGTGCCTCCTTCAAAAGGAGAGTCTTGAGGCCCTGCAATGACCACATGGAAGTAACGTGCATTTTCGTCATCAGGTGTTGCTGTGATCCCTGGAACAGGCTCTGCCATCAACCGTTGTGTCTCCTGAGCGTGGTGAGAATGGGGGACACGTAATGACACTGTAAATGACTTTTCTGAGACAGGAAACAATCATAACATTTTCAATTTCCAGGAGCCCAAAGAGTTACTTCAAATGGGTAAACATCCTCCCTGATATGCAATAGTCAAAAGTGGCTAAATTGTTCTCTGTGGCATGAGGCTAGCTTGGACAGTAGCCATTTATGATCACAGACGAAAACGATCAACAATCTAGTCATTGAGTGGTCAGTCTTCATAGGTGTCAGGGTTTTTATTGGTGTTTTTGATAAACATATCATGGCAGTCTGAATTTACTGGAATAAACTGCATGAAAAGTTCTCACTCTGTGTGGTTACAATTACTGTATTTTTCACACTACAAGGCGCACCGGATTATATGGCGCACCATCAATGAGCGCATCTGTTTTCATACATAAGGCGCACCGGATTATAAAGCGCATTAGGCCAAACAAAACAGTCAGGTAAGTCAAACTTCATTTAACTCATTCAATGCAGCTACCAAGGTTACCAAGGCTATGGTAGCTGCAGTGCTCTGACAAGCCAAAAGGATTTTAAGTGCGCCTAATAGTGCGAAAAATACAGTAACCTGTCAAATAAAGATCTGGGTCCACTGACTAAGCAGCAGTTATTCAGCAGCTTCTGTCAGACAAGTTGTAAACACAGGTACAGTGTAAAGAATACAAAGCAAGAGATACTACACCCCTAATTATTTATCAATCATGAGCAATATCAATACCATCATCATCATCACATCTGTACCTGTTTTTTGTTGCCACTGATCCTTTTTCTCTTTTATATTTTTCTTACGCTTGTCTTCATACTGCTCTTCTCTTTCATTTCTCTCTTTTTTTTTGCCGTAGTTCTTTTATCTAATTTATTCATTTTTTTTTTTACCTGGTACAAATGTTTATGTTGTATGTACAGCTGCTGTAAACAATTTTAATTTCCTTTCTCAATTTATATGGGGGCCTTCTTCATTTATAATCCAATGAATTACATCTTTTGACTTCAAATACATCAACCAGCCATGATATATGAACACACTGGCAATGTAACGCAACACAATACAACAGCTCTGCCATAAATCCTTCTCTTACAAAGCTTCTGTACTTTCATTTTTGTTGACACGATCAGAAAGGTGATAGCTATTCTTTGACCTGATTGTTGAAGTTGAGCTTTGTGTTGATTGTGTGCTGAGGTACACTATACTGTAAGGTGATTCTTACCCTTCTGCTGGTTAATTTAGAGGGCAAAATACAAGAAAAACCTTCAATATAACACACTCCAGTACAGCAAGTACAATCACCACCATTCTGATCACATGGACTGAAAACTTGTAGGCTCTCTGATAGGGATGGGAATTGAGAACCGGTCCTTGTTGAGAAACGGTTCCAAATGGTTCAATCAACATATGTCCTGTGTTAACACAAGCACAATGCATGCCAGACTTAACAAAGTATTATGTATTTGGCTTATGCTGCGTTCGGGTTACCTCGGAAGTCAGACATCGGAGCTGGGAATAAAATCACGCTAGAGTTACTAGCGTTTCAGTTACCAAGTTGGAAATAAGCAAAATCGGAGGCGGAAACTAGATGTTGCAGAAGGACCGCATATTTGTCCAGAAGTTACTTACATTCGGACAAGGCAAGCGCTGAAATAACTTTTGTAGATGTAGCCGCCTTGTTTCTGCCTCCAATTTCCCAGCTCTGACATCTGACCTCCTAGGTGACTTGAATGCAACATTGATACTGACCCAAGTGAATGCTGTACAAATAGTTTGCTGTTTGATGATTTTTAGACTATCGCTGAAGGTGGCATACATCTCTTTTCAGTTAAATTTTGACTTATCAGTGAAAACCTATTGTCTACTTTTTTAAAATCAAAGAAAGGCATCAATAAGAAAATCCTTCAAGAATTAAATCAATAAGCAGAATCGATAATGGCATCGATATCAATAAAATCTTATCAATTCCCATCCCTCTTCTCTGACAGCTAAGTTTGTGGTTGAGCTGTTTTAATAAAAAACATTAGGTGTTCATAATCTAATGTTTGCTCTGTGTGTTGGTACAAATCACCAACTATGTTTGAAGTAAACCTACAAAATTTGACTGTTAAACACACCAGGCGTTGTGCCACATTAGGAGACTGATAAAAACACAAACCAAAGAGAGGAAACGAAACTGATATTTTCATTCATGTCGTCGAGCAGGTGCGGGGAAATATCTACAGTTAACAGCTTATTACAGCAAGCTTGATCTGGGGTAGTGTCTCTTATGATAACATTCATGTCTTTATCAATATAAAGACTATTTTTACATTGACAGCTAAGGCCGGTGCGTGAAAATCTGCTGATGAAGGAGCTGATCGCGCCCACTCCAGGGCCTGAACCAGGACAGCTGGGCTCAGGTCGAGGAGGGGACCGCAATGCAACAGGCCTGTTAAGTTTCATACAGTTCAAGACAGAAAAAGCTGTCACTTTTGATTATGACAAAGGTTTATTAATGTTTTAGATCGCGAGGGAGCGTCTCGGTGCCAAACATGTGTTAACACGGCTCAGTGAAGCTACAGCTGCTAGCTTAGCTGACCCATTCATAGGGCAACAGGGACACACTCTCACAATTTCTCAATTCATGCCACATAGAATCAACCTAAAGTTTGGCAGACTGCTGCTTCAGTGTGGTAAAGAATCTACTCTTTAACATATCAGGGCAGGAAGTAGAAAACAAGAAAGGGGGGAAAAATACCATTCGAGCAGCGAGCTAACTGTGTTAGCCGCGCTACTGTTAGGCTACATGTTAGAATAAGTGTTATCGTAACACGATTTACCCCCCAAAAATCGAAAAGAAAATCCATAAGTTTTAGAAACAATGTCTGAAGCGAGGCGTACCTTAATAATCCTACGAGGCAAACCGGCCATCTTGAGTTAGCTCTTATATTTTTAGCCGAGGACTCGCCTTCTCTTCAGGATGAACTGGTTGAGCTGACGGGGCGGGGCCACGACGCGCGCTTTTCCGGTGGCTGCACATGACGTCAGGAAAAAATAGGCTCGAGCTGAATGCAGTCAGAGAAGAAAAATGTCGGTAGTGTCTGAACAGGTAGAGTTGATGTAAACACTAATGTACTGTTCAGAGTTTGCCATTTAAAAATAACTTGAACCTTTCTCCGGTTTTTGGGTCATCTGAAATCAAAGTGACTGTCTTTAAATTACTTGCTGACGAACCATTACATTTCAATTTTGATTAGTCTAATTTTGAATATATATTTTATTGCACTTAATTACTTTATGGGATCTTTATTTTTTCATGTGGATATACTAGGAATGGAAAAATGGGGGAAAAATAGAAAGAAAACATAGGTGAAAAAATTAAAGAAGTGAGATTTAAGAGACAAAAAAGGGTAATATCTATATGTATATTTATGTACATGCATATATACATATTTTATTTTTTCTTTCTTAATTTCATTTATCTAGTTTTTTTTATCTAAATCTTTATTTTTTCATGGGGATATACTACGAGGAGTGTCCTGTGAAATTTTCAACAGCCTCAATGCCTAAGTGAAAATAGTAAATAATACAGAATAAATACAAAGAAAAGTCTAAGATTTCTATCTAATAATGAGCCAAATCCAAATATATACTTTGTTTACACACATCTTATATAGCAAACTATTTTAAAAGAGAGAAATATTCATATTTATTTACTGCTACCTTTACATGACCCTTGTATCTGCCTTTGCTGTATTGTGCTTTTCAGGTTTCTTTCTACTGATTTGATGAAGCTAAGAAACACCACAGCATTCTTATGATTAACAAAACATGAACTGCAATTAATATAACATAAGCTTTGTTCTGAGCACAAGATCTGTGATGAATACAGAATCTACTTGTCTTTTTATGTATATTTCATACAGAAGTATTTCAGTGACAAAAAAAAACATAAATCACCATAAATATCCTGATCAACTGAGTCTTTTTAAATTAATGCCTTTAAGGAAGACAGAGTTTATCTGTGTATAGTGTCTCTTTAATAAATATGAGAAATGCTTTAAGATACAACTATGCCAATGGTAGGCCAGTGACAATTTCAGGAGGTTCTTGATTTAGATTTTGAGCTCCAACCAAAACAACATAACATCCATCAGGCACAATCCAGTTAGACTGAACCTGAGACAGTTACTGTATATTAACATATAAAAAGAAATGAGAAAACTAATGCAGTAAATTTATACAGACCGATTGAGCCATGAAACTTGTCCATAATGACAGCACTGACTCAAAATGCCATAACAAATTAACATTGTATAGTTTATTTAACATTATTGTTACAATGACACAAACGCATATATACACTTCTGTGAATGAATTATCTGTCCTTTGGGGGATCCTTCTTTCTGCGTCTCATGTGGTACCTGGGAAAACGGAAAGATAAGAATTCAATTTTCACCAATATCTGAGGAAGGGTTTTGGCAGATCTGATGTACTTAATTCAGCGATCGATTGGGCAGATTAATCAAACAGGCTAAGCTGAAACTGTCACAAAAAAACTGTTTGTCATTAAAAGCAGATGGAAGAATTCTATGGTACGTTTTGCTGAATTAAAGGACCTGGCAGTGTTAGTTTTAATGTGAAAGCACAGTTTGACTTTTATGTATGAACACATGAAGAAAAACATGCTCATGAATCCCTGTGCAGAAACAAAGCCTTAGAGCCAATAGTAGTGTTTGGTGCCTTTTAATAAGTTAGGAGTACTTACTGTCCTACTGGATACCAGCGGTGTTTGGTGGTGTAAAACATCTTGCTCAGTTCCTCTATAGTGGGCCCTTCCTTGTCCTTCAGCACCTCCTTGCAGAGGTGAGCCTTTAGGACCTGGTCGTGGGTCTCAGCCGGGTTTGTCAGGGGATCTGGACGCTCAATAGGCTGCAAAAATGAAACATCATAAACAAATGTTGAATATGCAAAAGAATATACAGCACACCTGTAACAGTTTCAACTTGGTTCCGCCTTCAGGCAATATATGGATTTGAAGCCAAAAAGCTCTCTGTAATTCCGCGTTTTTTCTCCATTTCCTGAAACCAACATTGCGCAGTCATGTTGTATGCATTCCACCACTTGCGCAGTACCATTGTGCACATTTTACATTTTTTTAAAACGGAGCTGCACAGAAAAAAGAGGACTTGAGCACAAACCAGTCTTACTGTAACTACATGTCAACATCACAAGCAGGGGGGAGAAAAATGTATATCCTGTGTAATAAATTTCTAAAGTTTGTCCACAGCTCCATAAGCTTTGCTGGAGGAGGCGGACGCTGTCCATTCTATATACAGTCTATGTTTCACACTAATACACATCTCTGGTCACAGTATGGAACTCTGTTCAAAGTTATATTTATGTTTTGCAGCTCTGTTTGATTTATCCTGTGTCGGAACTCCTTCCCAAATTCAGTTTTAAAAGGCTTTGAAAAGTTGTAATGATTGACTGATGGAACGGAGGCGGGTATAAACGCAGCTGAAAAAAATTGGTAAAAATGTAAAACCAGAAGCCTCTGATGTTGCTCTATTCAGGAAAATATCCAACACTTTAAAATCACAAGTTTAGATTGTAATATCAAACAAAAGACACTGATTTTTTTGTATGTAAACATTTTCTCGTACCTGGGTAAGCTCATAGGGAATGTCAGGAGCTGGATGGTGGCATACTATTGTCCTTCCATCTGAAGTTACACCAATTTCCACATTGCTAAGATAAAGAAAATAGGGCGACTTGTGATTCATGTACACTTTAAAACCAGATGAACAAGACATGGCTGCAGCTTGAAAAGTACAACCAGCAACCAATCGTCCCCAAACTGAAAATTAACACCATAAATTCACGAAATAGCCCTTAAAAAAAAAAAAAAAACCTCTACATACCAGCCCGAGCTGTCTAGTGAAGGACCACTGATATTGGACTTGTGTCGCAGGGGGACCGAACATGCTGCAGAGACACAGGAGCAAACAGGTCAGACACATTAAGATGTATATGTTTAGTATCAGAGCCGCCCCTGTCTTTATATATAAAATAATAATTTAAGTAGAGGCAGAGCAGTGTTAACATGATGCTCTCTTCTCAAGGTTAGCCGCTGTCAGCTTTTACCTGCAACAGCCACATATTTACATGTATCAACACATACTTCTCCCAAACCCATGTTTCATAAGACCTTAAAATAATACATACTTGGAGCTCGTAGCAGAGTATTTCCGTTGTACAGTCGAGTATATAAGCTGTGTAACTTGCAAAGACGACCAGACGCCATGCTGAATTCAGTTGTGGTCGAGTGTGCACCGCGATATTTGCGCCGTGTTAGCATTTAGCCTCACTCAGCGTTCCGCTTTAAAGTGAACGGTAGCGGCCATCATGATACGTTTGTCTCTTTCCTCTTTTCAAATAAAACAAAACAAAACATAATTTTAATTGCTGTTCAAGCCCTGTGTATTTTCATTTTTAGTGTTAGTTAATAAATTACACCAACAATATAACCCCGTGAGATTTCACAAGGCAGGGCAATATCAGGCAAATAATAAAATCACTTGTCATCTCAAAAGGTTTTAAATCAGTTTGACTCCCTTTGACAAAGCAATAAATTACATAGCTTCAGATAGCAACATTAAAAACAGGAGCTTGTCTTTTGTCACAACACACATCTGCTATGACAGCAGAAAAGCAGGAAAGAGGTTTTACACATCTGATGAACTGTATTTATGTTTCTTTATTTAACATATAGCTCTCTGAAGGTGAACATTTCTCAATACTCTTATGTGTGAGCATAGCCTTATCCAAATATTTCATTTTTTTAAATAATAACTACCAGGACACTCAGGTAAAAAATACAGCCAAGTACACACTGTCAGGCATTCAGAGGATAATTTTACACAGTTTTCCAGTAAAAACAGGTTAATGACTTAATATCAGATGATACTGATCTTTCTCCCCAGAGCTTCAACGGCACAAAACGAACACAGGAATGGGCAAACATAGAAGTGAACAGTATTGAACTGTAAAGACAATCCAGGTAACTTTCTATTACAGGGAAAACTGAGTTTTTGTCTCAATAAAACAAGGCAAAGAAGTTGAGATCTTAAGAAAAAAATAAAAATGACTAATTGTGATCAGGAAAAAAATGTATGGAGAGAAGACTACTCTGGACTTCTACAGAAACTAGTCTTGGTGGCATACTACATTTATGAATGTAAATAATTTACATAAATTCAATGAAATCAAAATTTCAATATACCGTCTTCCACCACAAAAACAAACTTAATTCAGGAACTAATTCACCGTATGGCTACAAGAAACATTTTGTGGATTTAAGATACTTTGAAGCATGTATCACCTCTGTTGTTATCTAAAGAGAGACAAGCTGAACGAGTTCCTCAGGTGTTTTTCTCCCAGTTTCCACTCTGATGTCCTTTCTGAGTCCTTCATGGCCGCAGCTTTTCTTCAATTCAATTTTGTTATCATGAATGAAACGATGACGCACCAGGGAGCAGACCATATCGAGTTTTTTGGGCCTCTCAGTTTATTAGTATGTACAGTTTGCTGATGCATCCAGAACGTCACTGGGAGACTTCCATCTCTGCTGTCGCTGCTGAACTTGATGCCTGTGATCCTGTGTTTGCCACAAGGCGCTCTCGACTTCCAAACACCTCAGCAACTAAACACAAAACATCACAACAACATGTGAGATTGATTAACTCAAAGACTGTCTTCATGAGCAAAGATCTGAGAACCAAACATGTAATTATTACAGTTTTAATTAGATTAAATTAATAAAAACAGGGTTAGGTAAAAGGAAAGATATTGAGATTTAATTGTATAATACCTGCTGCAACATCACTAATGTCCCAAACTCGTAAGCCTTCTCTCTGTCCCCCAAAGGCGTAAATGAAGGGCAGATCAGGGCAACATGAGGCACAGAACATCACACCCTGTTCACAGATGGAAAAGTATGTACAAGTCCATTAACAACCACTGAATTTGACATGTCTTAATTAATCTAAATGAATAACAGAGGAAAGTAAATAAAGGTTATCAGTCTGTATAGATAACTTTTTACCATTTTCATATCCCGTGAGTGCACCAGGTTGGGTTTGTTGCCCAAAATGTCCCAAATCTTCACGTGTTTGTCAGCCGATGCAGTGACCAGGCATCCTTTAATCTGGCTGCTGAGGTCCAGACCTGCAGCGTTGTTAGAAACAACATTAACAAAAGCTCCACCACAAGGTCAAATTATTACAAAGTCCGTTACAGCACAAGAGCAGGTCTGTCAGTGTTGATCAGAGACTTCACAGACAACTTTAAATCTTTATGCTGGTTAAGGTTTCACAGCCTTGGGAAGTGGCTCACTGTCCCTTTAATACTTGATTCTTTCTTTCTCTTCATGAGAATTGGTTTTCAGGGAGACATGTTCTATATGAGCCGTAAGAAACAAAACCAGTGCTCACAATATAACTCTACAGTTTTGTAGAAGTGTGGGGTTTCTTCTCATTTCCTGACATGCACGAGCAAAAACACCTCTACCCACCTGAAACTTCCTCATCATGAGCTCTCAGTGTGAAAACAGGTTTATCTGACCGTGCGTCAAGACAGTAGACAAATCCATCCTCAGTGCTGGCCTGAAACATGACAATACATTTGATTGAAGGATGACCATAAAGGACACACAAGTACAGCATTCTCTAAGAGTTTAAAAATTTATAAAATGGTTCATCTATAAAGGCAAGAAAGGTAAAAAATGTTATTTTTTTCCTTACAATTTTCGGCTACCTTGCTTCTGCAGCCTCCATCAGAGTCACACCAACATCACGTGACACCTCTGATGAAGGCCGTTTTACAGAAAGTTTGATCACCTACCAGGAAATTGCACGGTGAAAAGTGATTCCAGACCAGACGCTCCACTTGCCCACTGAACCTCCAGGTCCGATAGCTGGTGTCTGGACTACGACAGTCATATAGGATGGCCGTCCTGAAGGGAGAAAATGTTAGTCTAAAACTCAGAAGCTGGGGCGTGAAGACATCCTATGTTTTATTTCCAAACAAAACAGCTGACTGCACTCACTTGTCAAAAGATCCTGATAAGAGAGTCTGAGCCTCAAATGGGTGGAAAGATAATGTCTGGACCTGAAAAACAAAATAAAGGGTTTTACAAAAGTGGATGTAAACTTGTAGACTTACAGGCATAATAAAAAGTTTAATTAGATCAAGAAAACTTTTTAAACAGACTTTGACAAAATGAGAAATTAGGCTATAAATCATGGCAAGAGACTCACTTGCAACAGCATTTCATCAAATTATTTCAGTAGGTTTAATTTTATTACCATTTAAATCACCCAACACTGTACCCAACTTGTACTATTTCATTTTGTTATAGTTTTATTAGATGACATTTTAGCTTTAAAAAGTTTATTTCTGTTTTGTTCTTGGTCATTAGTCTTGTTGCTGAAAATTGCCATAAACATTTAATGTAAGTCCCTTTGCGGATCAATAAGGTTCTTGTACTGTATTGTGTTATTATACCTAAAACTTTTCCTGCAGGTTTTTTCTTTTCTTAATTTGCATCTTAAATAATTACAACATGGTTTTTAAAGTTCTTCTTTTTGTGAATCAAAAAGGTATCCTTTATTATTTTCAATATTCAAAGGATGTCAAGTGAAATGTTTCAACCATTTTTTGTTTTAATTAATTAATTAATTAATTATTTAAAATGATAAAGGCCTGTAATTAATGAAAATCAGAGATGCAGTGTCTAACAACAGTTAAAATATTTTCACAACAACAATCAAGAAATGATTTAAAGTACAGAAATGTGCAATTTCTGAAAAGTGTGTTCCTTTTTTTACACAAAAAGACTTGACTGGGCTTCTTCATTACCGATCATTTTCTCAATGCTCCTGTGAAGAACATTTTAGTTTGTGTCAATTTTGGTGCCGTCTATGGCCATCTTGTCCTGTACATGCCTAAGTAGAGTCCTCCTTTAGAAAAAGTCTCATTCTGTTGACTTTTGTGTGATTATCAAAAGTATCATTTTGATTTATTTATAAGGGCATTGTAACAAAAAGGCTGTTTCTCCTGTTACTCAGTTGCCACCTACCCCTAAACACCAGTTTCAGATATTAAGAAATTACTTTATAAAAATGGTCAGTCTTGTTGCTAATGGTCCAGTTTGCTTTTGCATGTCATTAAAAACCATCACTGTGACTTTCAGTCTGTTCAATAAATGTCCAAAAAGTCCTCACAGGAGTTTCAAGTATCTGATGTAAAATATTGAACGTTTTTTATGATATTCAGATTTGTTAAGATGCAGTTGTGACACCAGGACTGCGAGCTAGACAATCTTTAGAAAAGACTTTGTCATTTCTTAATCACACTGTACCTTATCTGTGTGTCTGCGCAGAGTTGTAGCTGGTTTGCCTTGTGTCAGATCCCACAAGATTACTGTGTCATCTGCTGATCCGCTGGCCAGCACATTTCTGAGCCATGATGAAGAATAATGTAATTAAGTTCACATATCAACATGAATGTTGTACAAAAGTATAACAACCTTTAAGGAGGATCTGAGAATACTGACCTGACCACTTTGTTCCAGGATAAATCCAGCACTGCATCAGTGTGCCCCTCAACAGGCTCTGCTGCTGCCCCCTGTAATGAATAAAGACAAGACGAATATTTTAGTGCACTTGGGAAAACAGGACCATTAATAAGCTTGACATAACAAAGGGAAATGACCAAGCAATGCCTATTACCATGGTGGAAAAATGTTCAAAATTATGTTGGGGCCTTGGGGAGACCTAAAAATACTTTCATTTGACGTCAACAGACATTACAAAATGTACCCTTCAATAAACTGAAGAACTTACTCATGAAAATGTTGCATAATAACCCAATTTTCCCCCTGGCTCACTCTGCCAGACCTGCTCTTTGGACACAGATATCTGTGGGAGACAGACTCGTACCTTCTTGCTTTTCTTCTTCTTCTTGGACGCTTTTTTGCTCCCTAAGGAGAATGCAGGCTCTAAACAGTCCACCACATCCAGGTCCCACACATCGATCTGAGGAGTCATGTTGCCCACAGCGGCATAGTTAGCTGTGTTACACAGAGAGCAGGATACAGTCAGGGAAGCGCATATTAAGAACATCCAATCAGAAACCACCACAGAGTTTTAGATTAGCCAAGAATGAACAGCAACGTCTTTGGTCATAAGTGAGTTTTCTCACCAGGTCCCTCTCCAGGACTGGGGTCAAAGTTCAACCACTCCACACACAGAGGGTAAGCAGGCAGCAGGATATCATGATGGACATACAGAGAGCCCTCCTCGGAATTATAAACTGTAGGGAAAACGAACAATTGTTGGACTCTTTTACATAAAAACTCAGCAACAAATGAGTGGAAAGGTAAATAACAGAAAAGCATGTAGATTTAATCAACACAATCACCTGATTATAACACCAGATCATTTAGTCTCGGTTAACTTAGAATGAGCTTTTTGTATTGATTGATTGATTGAAGTTTACTTTGAACATATTAAAAAAATATAATAATAAAAAAGTAAAGAATACAACAACAAATGACAAAAAGTTATCCAAGTTCAAAAAAGAGTGGGAAGAGACTTATCTAGTCCCACCCCTTCTCCTACACTAATGATTTAAATATATATCACAATATTATCTCTGTAATAATCTGTATCTTTTGCACCGTCATGTTCCTACCACAGCACAGAATGGACAAACTAGTGACCTACACCTTTTTGTCTCTCATGAGTGGCCCAGCAAAATCTACTGGTTGGAAGAAGAGGAAGAGGGGGGAAAAGAAGAAAACCGTGGGTGTCATGTTGAAAATTTTGTATTGGTAGATGATTCTGACGGTGGAAACTTGACCATGGTGCAGAATCTTTCTTATTGTGCCTCCTGTCCCCAAAGGCCACTATTTACTGACAGGATAAGTGAGCAGTGGTGCGATTCAGTCTAGAAAGTGACTGCCGGAGATCACTCATTATTGCCTTTACTATATATTGTACCTTAAACAGCCAGAAATGACATGCCCAAATAATACTAACCATGGATCTCCAAGTTGCAGCAGTCCTTCTCTGCCTTGCCCGTCAGGATGAGATTGTCGCTGGGCCTGATTTGGAAGTCATCTCGCTCATACTGGTCCTGAAAGTGAGAGGAAGAAACAGGTTTTTGAGAGGTGCATACAAGACTTTTGATGTAACCTCGATACATTTGTAAAGATAAAATTGTAAACAAATTTACTTATTTTCAGTGATCCTCTTTGTAAATGTGCCTGAGTATGTGAGTGTAGATGTGTGATTGGGTCGTTTTGTTATCTTGTTGTCAACAATATTTCTAAAAAGCAGCCTTTGTCATCGTTCTGCAGCTCAGGTTTTCAGTTACATGTTTATATATTTTGCTGGATTTGGGTTAGAGCGTACAGGATCTGTAGGCATGTAATAATCTTAAAAGGCACTCACTGTGTCTTTGATGGTGATGTAAGGATCCTCTTCATTTGAGCAGAACACTGTGAGACCAGCCAGACTGTCGCCCAGATTAGCCGTGGCTAAATAAGAAGATAAACACTCTATCATCTGAAACAAAGCTGTTGATCACACTTAACACCAATCAGTCTTTACAAAGGGTTTCACTAAGAAATCCCCAAATTGACTACTGTAACCTTAAGCTGATGCTGTAGTAGGCAATAGTCAATCAGCCAAATAGTCAATTGTTAATACCACAGAAGGAGGGCTCTGCTCTGATGTGGTTAATAGCTCATTTTGCTTAGAGAAGCTACACTGACTTTTTAAGATAAGATTAAATGCTTGAATTAATTGCACCTCTAAATAGAATTTTCCTTTGGCGTAAGGCCTCTTCTATCATAACGACAAGTTGACACAGTCATGAAGCCCCCACTCTTTCAACACCAATAAAACCCACATTCATCTCCCACATTTTTTTCTTTACCTATATCTTCTTCATCGTATTTATCTAAGCCATACTCTGCCAGCTCATCATCTTCCTCATTTTCTTCTCCATTCCCATCTTCTGGAGTTTCAGCAACTTCTGGGATAGGATCTGAGGCGATACCTTCATCATCCTCTTCTTCATCCTCAGCCAGCTCCCTGATTTAGGAAAGGAGGTAAACATGGAGAAGCAGAAAAAAGAGAACACAAATATAGGTCTATGCTTGGTTTCAAGCTGCTAACTATACTTCCTATCATTCACAGACAGATAAAGCATAAACACACACTGTAGTAAACAGAGTTTCCACATACCCCAGCTCCTCTTTTGCTTCAGTGATGATGCGCTGAAGCTCCTCTTGGCTCAACTCCACCTGATATTAGAAGAGGTAGGAGAGAAAGTGGGTGTAACAAGGAAAAAAGTCACTGAGTCTGTGCAGAAGAGAGCAATATCAAATACTGAACATGCTCTTATTTTTGGCCAGAAAATGTTGACTATTTAACTGGACTAGTGACAAACCTCCGACTGTGACTCAGTGTGGTACAAAGACATTTTTAGAGTTTCCTCGGCTTAGTGCCAAATTAAAAGATAATGATGATATCTTCATGGACACATGGCGGCCCATTATGGATTACTTGACCAAAGATCTAAGTGAAACTATCTGGAGGGGAAACAGTAGTTTTGGAGGTGCCAGACTGAGCTGACTGGTGATAAAAAATACTTTTTGATCAGTACAAGGACACATATTTCTTTAGTTGATAACACATGGTTGTGGTGTTGGGGTTTTTCTTTGTTTACCCTTTTTTTTGTTTTGTTTTCCCCTCATGTTTTATCCCTTTCATGTCATTCTCTACGCTATTTGAATTCTGTTTATAATTGTTCCCTAGATCAGACCACTGCTTAATGATGCATGGTAAAAGGTAAATTTGGAAAATAAAATAAAATCTGAACATCAAAAAGAAAATAATATACCAAACATGCTGCTTAAACTGCGATGTATTTGCCATATAAATAGCTTTACTTTTTCTTTTTTAGAGCTTGTTTAAAATGCATTTCAATCCTGTCTATGCAAGTGCTATAGTATGTCCATTAATCTGAATAATCAGACAAAAACATCTCATTACATATGACGTTAATGACACGGTAATCTATGTGTTTAAAATGTCTGAAGAGCTGTATAAAACTAAAAAATTAACACTTTTCCTCACTGGAATGAAGGTAATAATTAGATAAATCTGCCCTGTTGACATATTAGCCTCTGCTCTGCTAACGTTACTTTACCCATGTCGCTAGGTTACTCACTTTGTCCGGGGTTTCCTTGGCAACGCCTCTCCCCACCCATCCGACACAAGTAATCTGGGAACTCATTGTCGAGAGACGGTGAGGTTTTTATTAATACAAACTCAGTAATAAAGTTTATAAACGTGCCTAGATTTGTGGGACTGCTTCTTCACAGTCGGCTGCAGCCAAACATGTGAGCGAAAAAAGACCCCTGTGCCGCGTGTAAATGACGTCAACAGGGCATTTAAAAATATGCCTGAGCAGAAATGTTGAACATCGACTTTTCCGGATCACCGATAAAACCACTGCGAAATGTGTGCATGTCATTGTTATGCTCCTCTTTAAACAGTGGATTACTTTTTCTTCTGCACTGCTTGTCCTATCAATACCAGACCAACTGTGTCTTAAATGCACAGCAGGTTGTGGATTATAGCCTCAGCCTCTGCATCACAGAGCCAGTTTGTTCATGTCTTTTTTTATGTTGCATTGTCCCAAGTTCAAATATATAAAATATGTTTTTAACAAAACTTTGTGTGAGACTTTTACAACATTTCAAACTTATTCAGTGGAGCCAAATTGTCTAAAAAAATCAAAGGAAACACAGGTTATTCACATTTGTCTGACTTTAGCTGTGTCTGTTTGCCAGATAGGGGAGCGCGGGGTAAGTTGAGCCAGCCCCTGTTGCTTGGAAATGGTAAAAGAAATTGATCATGTGACCAAATATTTAGGAGATGGGCATCAAATCATGGAGTTGGTAAAGGTTAGAAGTACATGGGTGAAGGGGTTAGACATTTATTTCCAGAAAAAACATTTTTTACTCTTGAAAGTGAATTAAGTCTGTTATAAGTTTTATTAGAATTGTGTTAAGTTTAAAAAGACAATTTTGAATTTGTTTAGTACATCAATTGCGGTATCTATGAAGTACAAATAAAATAAAAGTCCACCATTTTAGCTTAGATGAAAAATAAAGTCATAATAGTAGTTCTGGGGTAAGTTGAGTCAGTGGTTCAACTGAGAATATAAAGAAGTCTGATGAGAGGATCAGAGTTTCAGTTCAGATTGTTGAAATGTGTTACTTTCTCTTTTCAAAAATACAGCTGTGAATGTTCTGAATCACTTAAAGACATTCTCATGTTAAAATGGCTTTTTACAAAACAGCTTTTTAGCAGTTATATGCAAAAATAGTAAAGAGAATCATTGTACCAGTTGAATAGCGTATAACAGATAAAAATACACATGAATGTAAAGGAGTGACTGTTGTTTAGGGGAGAGAGAAGGTGAGGGAGGGCTGGGGTGGAGAGTGGGGGGTTCGACTTCCCCCGCTCACGTGGTCAACTTACCCCATACTCGGGGTAAGTTGACCATAGGGGACCACTTCTTTTTGGCATGCTATATTATCAAGACAGTTATGTTTACACTCATTCTGTTGGTTTACAGGGATGCACAACATCCTGAAATATATGCAGATACACTAGTTAGAGACAAAACTATGATTGCCTTGATGTAGTGATCTGAAATATGAAAAATGGATCATCTTACCCCACTCTCCCCTATTTCTCTCTCTGAAGTTTTGATGGGAGGCTTTCTTGATCAACCTGATAGAGGAGTTGGAAATGGAGATATGTTTTCTTATTGAAGTTGTGGAGTAACTGGTCCAGCTGCTTTTTTCAGCTACCTCCTTGTGGTGCTCTCATAAACTGTATAGACTGTGGTTATATTCATAACAAGGACTTATGCAGGAGGGAGAGCAGCATGTCACTCCAGTGCTACCCAAAACAGCAACAAGCCATGCAGTGATGCTGCCTTTCTGGACATCTGGAGTCTTTAGTTGACACTGTTTTTCATGTTTCTTTGTAGTGGTGTTCTCATGTTCATCCACTTGTTTTCACTGATCTTTACTTACTTACTGCTCATCCTTGTAGAAGTGATGTTTAAATGTACTAAATTTAATATTAGCACACTCAAAAAAACAAAGAATAAAAATGGCCATATTAGAGGGGAAAGAAGAGAGGTACACAAGCTAGAAGTACTAAGTGAACAATGTCTTAAGAAGAATGCAAAGTACAGAAGGAAAAATTGTACAAAACCATTTAATTGAATTCTATCAATCAAAACACATGACAGATAAGCATGGTAAGATATTGATGGTACTGTATATGATACTGTGAACATACGTGGTGGTAGTAGTCCCATTGATAAATCACAGGGTTAGTCAATTATAAGGCACAGGCGGAGCTAAGATTTCAGCATAGACACAGGAGAAGATAAGTCACTACATCATGTCACCTGTATCATGCAGCCACAGTTTTGAGTAGTGGTCTCGGTGCAGTGATAACAAACACATGGATAATACTCAGCTGAACCACTCCACAGGTATAGATTTGAAGCTTTCCATAAAAAAACAAAAAGAACAAACAAAGGTGAAACTGACCTACAAAAGTAAAGGAGTATTCAGTTTTAAATCATTAAGTTTTTAAACTTGTCAACATGGCATCAGCTCCATCTTCTGCTTAGTTTCTGTCCAACCAAAGTTCTGGCACATTGTCGATCACTTAACAACATAAGCTGTTTGACAGATCACTATAACTCTTTAATAACAAGAACTCCTGATTGCCATCATTGCATTGAAAGTGCGGCAATGTTGTATTTGATAATACTGATTCTTCACAACAGCATTCACTTAAGGCAACCATCTGACGGAGGATGGCACTTTTCAGCCACTGGCATGTAGCTCAATGTACAAGATATCCCAAAGCTGCAACTCAAGGTCAAGGCACTTTCTTTGTTCTGTTGCTTCCCCTCAATTTAACGTGTATTCCTTACATTCAGCAGACACAGATTTGAAGTAGTCTATCAGGCCGACTGCTGTAACAACAACATGAATTTCCATCAGATCATGGAGACTGTGAATAATGGTCCCGGAGAGGCAGGCATCAGGCTTAGATGTCTTTGTTTTGTTGTTTTCAGTGCTTTTCCCATCTAACAGTTGTGTCCTTAAATGTAGGTTACAGATTTAACATCCCTGCTTCTGTTCGTCTCGAATATTGAAACCAGACTTCAAAAAAGGAAGACAGTCTTGCCTAGTTTCACTAGAGGAAGAGAAACTTTTTGTGGTGATTAAGGAGGGATGCGCTGGACTCTTTCCATTTCTATGCTTTGGCTTTAAAAGTCCAGAGTGATAGAAAATTAGGCAAAGGTGAAGAAATCAGTCTTTTTCAGTGGTTCTCAAGGTGTTGGTCATCATGGTGGGTGATCAAAACACCGGGAAGTTACATAATTACACCGTCACAGATGACCTTTTTTGCAGATGAACAGGAGGTCCCAACTCTTCCTCTGTGCTTTTTCTTCTACTGTCAGAAATCCAAAGACAGTTCCAGCTCGTCCTTTACCTCAATCACCTCTGAGTCCCTCACAGTCTCATCTTTGGTTGGTTTCAAACGTTTTGTCACAAGCTTCAGGTTGGTCTCGTGGAGGATCACTTGGGTTAGGTATTTCTCTCGTTTGATCTGCTCTTTGACAGCATAGGGGACGTCAGGGATCATGTAGGAGAGGACGAACTTTGTGAGGTAAACGATATGCTGTAAGAAGAGGAGAGACCACCGTTACTGAATCTTTACAATTCATGTTTTTATCTCATACTTTTTGAGAGTGATGTCCTGTTACGTTTGCACTCACCTCTACAACAATTATGAAAGCCATTTTGGCAGCGATCACATGCCAGTAGTAGACACTGAATTCATACTCCCTGGGATGTCCAGGAGGATACCGAAAATCTCGATACCTGATAAGGAAAGGTTTTTAATCATTTGTAGACTCTCTTCAAAGTTATACAACAGTGGAATCAAAAGCAGCCAAAACAAGAGGGTCAATTCTTGTACCTGCATGTGGTTATGTTGTCCGGTATACTCAGGGGCCTGCTGTCGTTGGAGAAATCTTTAATATCAAATACAGACAGTGAGGTGTTGATGTAACCCTGCATGGTGTGAGTCCCCTGATCTTGGTATGGGTACACAGAGAAAGACCAGTAGTAGACCAAACGAGGGATCATGTCTGATGTGAAAGCGATGATCATGGCCTGTTGGGACACCAAGATGACAGGAAAGGTCACAGGGATACTTTTTTAGTTACTGACATATCAAATGGAAAGTTTTAGATGTACTCTGTGATTTGTCTGCTAATGCATTGAAGGGGAAACAAAATGTAACAGTTTCATCAGGGTCAAACCTTTAAGCTTTACAAAAAAATGAATCAATGCTACAGTTGTGCATTAGATTTGTTGGTGACTCACTGTCAAAAAAAAGTCACTTACATTTGTTGCAACGGCGAGTATAGCAACGCCTTGGAGAATTGGCTGCCAGGCCCCAATATCCTGGGCTTTCTCAGGCATGATGCGACGAAACTGGGTGGTGATTTTCCAAGCATCCACCCGAATCTCAAACAAGTTGTTGACCAGAGCCAGGACCGGAGCCAGAGGGAAGGAGGCCACAAAGAGCGTGACGAAACCAAACTGGATGACTAAGAGAGATGAGACATGACTGTGAAAAAGGAGGGCAGTGGCCACTCAGGATTCAGCTGCCCCTGGTAAGCAGCATTTGAAAATCTTACTTACTATTTGATAACTTTTAACTCTTTTCATACTACAACTCTGTGATTGAAACATTTTCTGCAAATGTTTGCACTGTTATTTCTGCTTAGTTTGTCTTCTTGCTCAGAGTTTGATGTGGAGACTAACTGTAAATGGCACCTGGAGCTGTTCCATCTAAAAGGATCTGCCATGAAGCCTCAAAACTGCAAGTTGTGAGTGACATTACAACAGCGGCTAATGTAAAAATAGCTAATGCTGAACAAACGTGGGCACTAACAGCTAGCCTAAGACAAAAGGCACAGCTTTTGGGTTGCATCATGACCAGTGATGCCAGTAACCCGTTGCTTAGTAACGCACTACTCTAATAAGTCCACTTTTTTCAGTAGCAAATAATTAACAGGTTGCTATTTCCCAAACCAGTAATTTGATTTGAGTATGTCCAGGTCTTTGTGTGCGTTACTTTTTTCTCATTTTCCTTAAAAAAAAGATGGATTTGTTTTCATCTGGGGGGAGTGACATCAGTCATGTAGGCGACAAGTCATGTTTTCAGCATGCGGCCCACTCATGTGTAATACATTTACACACACATAAAGCAGCTGCGGCCAAATGAACAACAATGGAGGGAGGAGAGAGATGCGTGTTCTCAAGCCACTATTTGAAAGACTGTCTTTATTTTACATTTTATAATAAAAACATTGTTTATGTTTCGTCAGTCAAGAGACACTACTTTTTTTTAAACATGTATTTTTGATATTCCTGTTAAAATTAACTTCCAATGAAGTGAGTGTTGGAAAGAAAACAGTTGTCATTTATGTGTTGAGGCTGCTGAATTAAACTCAAAAGTAACTCGTAATCTAACTTAGTTACTTTTAAAATCAAGTAATCAGTAAAGTAACTAAGTTACTTCTTAGAGGAGTAATCCGTAATCAGTAACCAAATTACTTTTTAAAGGTAGCTGTGGCAACACTGGTTGTGACTGTGTGAAAAGTAACACCCAGAAGTTGTGTCAGATTTCATATCACTGGAAAAGCTGCCAAAAAAGTGTTTAAAGCAGAGGCTAAATGGGGCTGTAAACATTTAGTAACAACTAACCACAGCAGAATTCAACAACTAGGAATGTGAGGAACAACCTTTATCCATAACATATGCCTGAGTCTATAATGAGTTAACCCTGGCTGTATAATTACGCAAAGTTTGAACTTCAGAGCAGCTTGTGAAACCAGTTTAGGAGTGCGGCTGTAAAATGTGCCCAATAAAACGACTGAAGGACAGTTTTCCCTCTTACCCATCTCAAGATATTCGTAGAAGAGTCCCAGTTTGGAAATAGCCTGGAGCCGATAATCTTGCTCCCAGCGTGGGATCGCCTGCTCTGGGTCCACACGGGTGCAATAACGGGAAATTAAATTCTTCAACCACCTGCAGAGAAACGAAAGAGGTGATACTCAGTGAGACAATAAAGAGCGTCGCAAGTCAGTCATGCTGGATCCCTGAGCCACGAGTGTGTTGGTAAATGCACATCTGGTATTTTTAATTGACCAAAATAGGGCCTTAGATTCTGACTTCTTACGGTAGCAAGACCTCTTGGATGTTGTTCCAGATAGCTTTACCACCCATGATAATTGAGAGCTGTGTGGTCAATTCAATCAGACAACCGCCAGGATCACACTGCAGAGAAATAAGACACAAAACATGAGCCAAGAGCCAAGAGGAAATGGATTTGACCCAACCAAATGAACTATTTCTACCTCCTCATTGCGGTATTTTCCCAGGAGATAAACAGGCTGTCCGGGATAGCCGACTGCCTTCCCTTTGGCGAAGGCGATGTAGAAACAGGAGGAGTAGTAGTTGACGAACTGAAACAGGAACATCTTCAGAGTCAAGCTGTTCTCGTAATCTGTCTTGGTCCGGGGAAGCTCTGTTAGTGTCGCAAGATAGAAAGAAAAATGAGGTCTGTTTCTTTGAATACCTGCCAGTAAATGTAAGTTTGTAAAAGCAGAATAACAAACCAAAATCAGTGATCAAGATGGCGACCCGTTCATAGAGGATATTGAGAATCATGATGACCACAAAACTGATTAAGGAGGCTGTGACAGCGGTGGCCATCTGAGGGGTCACATACTCCTTTAAGGGTTCGAGCTCCTTCAGGTTCTGAGCTCGGAGTTTCGCTGAGAAGGCAAAAAATGCAGCCAGACGGTAGACAATTATGGCCACAATGGACGCCAGGATCAACAGGATCTGAGGAGGAAAAACATCCATTAAAAGAGGAAAGAAAATATTCTGATGGAAACGGAAACTTTCTGGGAACATGGATAACATGCGTGATTACAAACACTGATTTACAGGCTGGTAAAAAAAAAAAAAAAAAAAAAAACCCAAACATATACACACTTGTATTGATTGAGAGGAATTGATTTACATTACCCAGAATAAGACTGTGCTGATTCCGATTGACACCCGAACGCATCGACCACAGCTGGTGTAAGGCACTTTTTCTTTCACCTAAATACAAATAAACAAATACTTGACTTTAACTACAACAAAGTGTGACTTAGTGTTGTCTAAACAGCATCCCTGAAAACAATCCAATAATATCTCATTCATTTTAAAGTTGTTAAAGTTTTTTAACTGCATCCTACTTTGGGACGTAACACTGTGTGCATGATTTACCCCGGTTACAGGATTTTTCCTCTCATATTTACACTTGGCTTCATATTCAGGCCGAGCTGGCTCTTCCTGCTCCAGGAACTCCACAGTATCCCACTGGTACTCCAGCTCTGCCTGATAGCGCTTCCAAAACTCCAGGAACAAAGTCACTGCAGGCAGGAAATAAACAGAAGCAGGAAACAAACAATCACTGCAAAGATGAGACTGAAGGAGATACAAGTGCCAACACAAAACTTCCTGCTTTAGTGAACATCAAATACAGACAATAAATTTTGTCATCATTAAAAAAAAAAGTACTTAAAGAAATATAAAAACTCCACCTGTGGCAGGTTGTTAAATACTTACCCCAGATTGACATGAAAACTGCAAACACCAGCGTTCCAAAGTTATCAAAGATACAAAGTTTCTAAATGAGGAGAAGGGAGAGAAATATACCGGTTAAAAACCTCACAGTTGTATCCTGCTTTTGTGCCACTGCTGCCCTACTGGGACCAATAAAGGCCCACACAGCTATGAAACGGCAGTAAGACTAGTTTTATACAAAACACAATTAGTTGAATCACTCTGGACTCGAGAGGCTTATATGAAATAAAAGTAGATACTAAGATGTACTGGAGCAGGACAAAGTCATTTTGATCACATGTCTGCAGACTGACTCTGGCCACTGAGCGTACCAGACCAAATCAGGCTGCAGTAGCAGACTCCTAAGGGGCACTTAAGCCCCATAAGCACAGATATTTTTAACTGGAACCAGCTCAACTATTCATGACAAAAATGCAGTTTTTCTGTCTAATTTCAGAAGTTCCAACTTTAAAGGATTGCAACTGCAGCTAAAAGTATTTAAAAAAAAAAAAGGAGTTTATGTATTTATACTTTCATTTAGTAATCTGAATCCCAGCTAATGGATATCAACGAACCGTACTTCTCCACATGCCAACCTTAACTTGACCTGTGACCCCAAAACAGCCAGCCCGGCTAGCTCAGTCGGTAGAGCATGAGACTCTTAATCTCAGGGTCTTGGGTTCGAGCCCCACGTTGGGCGCTAAATCTTTGCTTACAGGTAATTAGTTGATAGTTTGGGCCAAAGTTCACCTCACATGAAAATGTAACTAATACTGGCAGTGATGAGGCTTGATATTCATAAGACAGGTTAAAAAAAGAAACATCAAAGTAGATATTGTGTGACCTTGCTGCTCAGGTGAAAACCTGGACTTTGACACCTTGCAGAGAGGAGCTTTGTCTGTGTTATGAAATTTTTTTTTTTTTATCTGTTAATTTTTCTAAAGACGACGTGCAAAAAATACATTTCCAGTTTGGTAAAAACTGCTTTTTAGTTGTTTTTTTCCTAATGCCTGCTGTTTGCATTCCTAAGGCCCACATACACAGATAATTTTAACTGGAACCAGCTCAACTTTTCATGACAAAAATGCAGTTTTTCTGTCTAATTTCAGAAGTTTTGTCTTGAAAGAATTGCAACTGCAGCTAAAAGTATTTGTAAAAAAAAAAAGGAGTTTATGTACTTATACTTTCATTTAGTAATCTGAATCCCACTTTTGAACAGTTAATAGATATTAACTAACTGTACTTCTCCACATGCCAATCTTAACTTGACCTGTGTCCAGCAAGCCAAGCCTGGCTAGCTCAGTCGGTAGAGCATGAGACTCTTAATCTCAGGGTCGTGGGTTCGAGCCCCACGTTGGGCGCTAAAACTTTGTTTACAAGTAATTAGTTGATAGATCGGGCCAAAGTTCACCTCACATGAAAATGTAACCGATACTGGCAGTGATGAGACTTGATATTCATAAGGCAGATAAAAAAAAACCCCATCAATGTAGATATTGTGTGACCTTGCTGCTCAGGTGAAAACCTGAACTTTGACACCTTGCAGAGAGGAGCTGCCTCTGTGTTATGAAATTTTTGTATCTGTTAATTTTTCTATAGACGACATGCGAAAAACATTTTTTTGGTTTGGTAAAAACTACTTTTTAGTCGCTTTTTTCCTAATGCCTGCTGTTTGCATTCCTAAGGCCCACAAACACAGATATTTTTAACTGAAACCAGCTCAACTATTCATGACAAAAATGCAGTTTTTCTGTCTAATTTCGGAAGTTTCGTCTTGAAAGAATTACAATTGCAGCTAAAAGTATTTGTAAAAAAAGGAGTTTATATACGTAAACTTTCATTTAGTAATCTAAGTCCAACTTCTGAACAGTTAATGGATATAAACTAACTGTACATCTCCACATTCCAATCTCAACTTGACCTGTGTTCAGCAAGCCAAGCCCGGCTAGCTCAGTCGGTAGAGCATGAGACTCTTAATCTCAGGGTCGTGGGTTGAGCCCCACGTTGGGCGCTAAAACTTTGTTTACAAGTAATTAGTTGATAGATTGGGCCAAAGTTCACCTCACATGAAAATGTAACTAATACTGGCAGTGATGAGACTTGATATTCATAAGAAAGATTAAAAAAAGAAACATTAAAGTAGATATTGTGTGACCTTGCTGCTACTTTCATTTAGTAATCTGAATCCCACTTGTGAACAGTTAATGGATATAAAGTCTTTTTTTTATCCCATTTATATGACATTGTATTTGCCGAATATCAAAAAGCATCAAGTACATTTACTTTGTCTTTCTTTCAAGGTTGAGTATTACACAGATTTACCATATTGACCCTGATAGAAGATTCTTTTTTTTTAAATAGATATAAAAAAGTAAGGTTGTCTTGACTGCATGTGTCCATTTTATTATTGTTTTCAATTAAAATAGCTCAAGTTTGGTCTTAACAATGTATTTTTCTACACATCTATCTTCAAAGCAGGGTTCATCCTCAATTAGGGTATCTTGTATTTGGGTCAGAACGGTATTTTTATACGTCTTATTTTGAACAACAGCAGAAGGGCTATGCAGACATATTTGAGTAACACAATCAAATTAATTGTAGATATAAAATAAAACTCACTTTTGAAGCTTCACAGGTGCTGTTCAACCTCCAATATTTGCACTCCCTGTCACACTGTGGACACATCACAATCTGTCCTCCGATCTCGGGGTCACACACCTCTTTGCTGCAGGAGTATAGTACAGATTATTAGACAAGGAATTTAAGCAAGACTAATTGTGTCACAAGAAGATTAATGGTATACGATAAACTTTAATGTCAATGATTTATCTCCAGAAAAATGACTCTTTAGGGGAGTGTACCTCCACGTGCTTGTTTCTTGAGTCTTGTATCCATAAATAAAACAACCCAGTCCCACCACAGCAGCCAGAGCGAGCATGATTGTGTAGAAACCCAACCAGGCGAAGTAGATGCCGATCTTCTCTCCATAATACTTCCTTTGGAAAGAAACCATTGTTTTTGAACAATACCTTCAGCCCTTGTCAAAGAAAACATTTTCAAGATCTCACACAGAGAGACGGTGTCATTATTGCGCATTTTTAAGAGGCAAACATGAAGATTGTGCTCACCTGATGAGGTCGAGTGGTTGCATTTTGTAAAAGCTTTTGGGATGAGCCCATTCCTCGTAGAGCAGGTATCTCTCGTTGGGGCAGCCCTCTTCTTTGGACTTGACGTTGAACCTGCACTGGAATGGCAAAAACATAAAATAATGCAAACAAGGATATGTTGGGTTAAGTTGGGTAAAGCATGAGAGTAAGCTCAAAATGCTTTTACAAACCACAAGAAAATGGCAAATGACATCACTTACATCATGGAGAGGATAGGCAGCTTTGTACACTCCACTGTCCAGCAGTTTGGTGATGCCGAATTTCTTTATGCTTCCTCGTATTTCATAGGGGGCACGGCTCAGGATGTAATACGCCTGAGGGAAGGAGTGATATCGTCAAAAATTAAAGTTTTTTTTTTTTTTTTAACCATCAAATAATCAGAGTTTAACATGAAAACTTGCCATCCTGCTCCTCATGGACGGAGTGAAGAAGATATCTTTGTCCTTCACGTAGAAATACTCCAGCCGGTCTTTCTCAAAGGGGGCAGTGAAGAACTCGGCCTCCTTGGTGATCCGTTCTTCATTAGGGTTACAGAACTTGGTGAGGAAGGAGAGGAAACCCCATGCGAAGGGACGGGAAGAGAGGTCATTTGGCAGGATGGGAACTTTGATGTGCAGGACCTCAGCGTAGGTGCAGAGTACATCCCACGGCATGTGGATTTTGACGAACATCAGTTTCTCATCGATTACCTGACGAAGACAGTGGGAGGTTTTAAAAAGGAAATCAAACTGAAGAACAGACTACAGTCTTGAAAAAAACTGTGTTGTTACTCACTGATCTTGTTGCCTCCAGCTCCATTCCCATCTTCATCAGGCTGGCTTCAAAGTACTCTCGCCGTCTCTTCAGAGAGGATACAGAAATATAAGCATGGCTGCTTTATTTGAACACATCTGCAAAAATCAAGCTTCAGAGTACAATACTTACACCTGTTTTGGTATACTGTGAATAAAGAGACTATTCTGCCTCTACTATCTCACATGAACAACCCTTATTTATCCAATAGGGCGATATTGTTGCTTTATAAAGACCTTTAACTGTATTTATTTAAAGCACTCGACACACTTCATATTTGCTTGGACACGTTTCATTTCCAAAACATGGTCTTTATTTACACTAAAGTCTTTATATATAGTGCACATAGTGGCAAAGAATGACGACACCACATGCAAGTCAGAGCAGGTTTTTGTTGGTAGCGTGCCATCAAATATGGCGCATCAGTCAATTGTAGTCCTGGGTACACATAAAGGCATTCAGTCTTCTGAATGCAAACAAACTCCTCCATGTTTTTTCACTGGCCTGTATCATGTTGGAGCTACTTTGTGGGGACTCTAACCAAAGCAAAAGGTGTTTTTTTTTTCAACAAACTAGAATGACAGAGAGGGAAGACTGAAAACATGTCCAGGTCTGGGCAACAATATATACATTAAATTTCATATAGGTGCAAACACCTCTGCAAAAAACCACACCCTTACAGAAGTCAGAGTAAGAGCAGGAAAAATGTTTTGCAACTGAAGGGAGTAACTGGCAAAGAGATATACTTCAATCCCACTCTGGATTTGGCTTCCTTTGAGATTAGTCCTCCATGGATCAGTGGTGATAAAGCTCATGAGCTATGATATGAAACAGCTCTACCAGCCGGCTGTTCTAAGGAACTGGTTAAAACTGGCTGATCAGCTTACACAAATGTGCCTCTGTGTGTATGTGTGTGTTGGTGGCACACATTTCCTCTGCTTACCTTACACGTAATCATTTCCGCAGAAAAACAACAGGCAGATTATTTAAGATTGCACAGGGCATATATTGCAACATTGTGGTGTCTCATGTCTGTGAGCGTCTAGTATTCCTGCGCAGCAGGCCTGTTGTGAAAGAAGTCGACTCAGCACCTGCCTCTGTGCCAAGATATCAATCATTTAAATTTGTGTTGTGCAAAATGTACGAGGTATCTTAAATATCCTGCAGAACAGAAAATATCCGGCAGCTTAGACAAACCCGGAACAGCTGTTTGCTTTGGGATTCACACTTTTCAATCACACATACTCAGTCTTATTTGTTTTGTGAGGATTTCTAGACTGAAATGAAATCTTTAGAAAAACAGGTTTTTGTTCTGATGAAGAAACTCACAAACCACACTGATATGACATCAACTTTTGGCAATTTTTTGGTCATACGTGCGATGCAAAGGGATGCTCTGTTTGCACAACTTCCCTCGAGGGCCTCCAGCCGGCAGCTGTACTGAACAATCTGTCATTCAAAACTCTGATGAATGAACATGAAGTTCAGCACAAAGGAAGTACAAAAAACAATATCTGCTCAGTTGTTCCCATTCCAGATAATAAATGAAGTCTTTGTTGAGTCAAACAATATCCTACTTTAAATAAAAACTCCCTTAACAAATAGGGAAGAGTCGGTGCTGATCAAATGTGTGATAAAACTCATTAGAAATGCTCTTTTCATTCAGTTTTACAAAGTTTTATCATGTTTGATTACTAATAAACTGCACTTCATGTAGTTTGTTCACATTTGTAATGTTTGTTTCAAAGTTAAATCAGGTTTTTAAGGAGCAAAGCACCACTTCCAACAACTTTTTCCAACCAAATCTAACTTCAAAAACTCAAAATTTCAGATAAATCACTGTCAAACTGTACATTATTCTTGTGTCAGAAGTCTTTTTCTCTTTTTTTACAAACTCATAGCTCTATTCAACTCTTTTTAATAAAGGCAGAAATGACTGAAATGGACCAAAAACAAACAGAACTTTGAAGAGATGCCAGAGCAGCATTTAACAGCTCTACAAACACCACCACCATCAATATTATCTAAACTGAATGAATCCTCTTCAAATCTACCTTGCGCCTCTGAAACGTGTGCCTCTTCTCAAAATCCTTCTTATCCTCGTCTTCATACACCAGGATGAAGTCGATCCTCCTGACGCCATCGTTGAAGAACAAGGAGTCAGGCTTGTCGTTAAACTCCACCTGAGGACAAAAACAAGGCTCATCAGGTAACTCCATAGCCTGGAACTCGTACTCCTCTTCCTCCATGATGTCGTACATGACGCCGAAACAGAGCAGAACAGGGGCCTCTGCGTGTATGTGTGTGTTTGTGGAAAGTCCGTGTAGAGTAATGTCTAAATAACACCGACCTTGACCAGCCTATTTAACATGTGATGCGGGCACATGCAGGAGAAGTGGGAAGGGTCAACAAACATTATGACACCCGCCCTTCATGCCTGTCTCTCTTTCTCTCCACAGAATCAGACTAGTGACACCACCGGGATTTACTAAAGCTCTTGCAGCCACATGTGAGTACTCAGATTATTCTCTATATTAGTTTTTCTTTTTGCTGGTGTGACTGACATTTAAGTAAAATTGTTCACTTACCAGTTGGGCTTTGGCAACTTGTGCTCCTTCTTTAATACTGTGGTATGTTGGTAAAAACTCCTCAAGGTACACTGTGAAACAAACACAATTAAAATAGCATGAAAAGAACGAAATAAAGCTCATTTGAAAGTGTTGCTGCATAAAAAACTGGCATGTATCTTCAAGTATGCAAAAAGAAATAGTGCATCAATACTTTTATTTAAAACTTACTGAGTTTTTATGTTACTGTCTTGGTTGGCAGTCTAGACTTTTGGCCTGTTTCATAAATTAGTGTAAATAATATTCCCTGTATATGACCTGGCCAAGCATTCACAGGTTGCACATGACTCAACTACTGAACAACACTGCATTATTATTAATGATTTCAAATAATAGGTAACAGCTTAAATGACAAACTGAGGTCAGCCGTGGTCTGTTTGTTGGTAGTGTATGCAATAGAACCACCTGTAACCTGTTTAGTCACCTGAGGGTCTGAAAAAGAAAAAAAAAAATCATCTGTACGTTGGTGGGTTAAAATAGTTTCTGTAGGGGGATCATTTTCTCAAATATGTTAATTTGAATTAAAAAAATATTTTCAGGACCACAAGGTGAACTTTAATTTCAAGTAAAACACACTTTGGTTTATCTGTGTGTGGCTTCTAGCTTCTCATACTGTAAGTAACACTAGAACTTTTAACAGCTCAGTTAGCATTTCTACATCATTTCAAGCTTTTTCTCTGAACAGTCATTTTACCTGAAGCTGTGTTTGAGACAGACGTCCTTACAAAGCAACATCTTTTAACGCCTCATAGTTTCTAGTTTGACCAACACTGTCCTCAAAATAATAATAATAATTATTATTATAATGTTATTTTTATAGCACTTTTAAAAACAGAGGTTTACAAAGTACTTTGACAAACAGTCGTAAAGCATCAGCACATGGACATGGGGGGGTAGAAAGCAGGAAAACTGGATATTAAATATAAGAAGACAAAATTCGTAATAATAATAAAATCATAATTAAATAATAATGATGGTAATATTTATGATAAAATGGAATAACATAAATGAGCAGAAAAATAAAATAAAATCAATAAAAGGCCTAAAATATTAAGTAAGAAAAGACTATAAGTAAAACAAAGGCTAAAAGGACAGTAAGTCTAAATTAGATAGAGGTAAAAGAGATAAAAGAGAAAAGAGAAAAGAAATGAACTTATTTCATCAAAGTGCTAAGTGAAGCTGCAAGTATGCTGCATTTGACGTGTTAGTTGATTCATTCTTAACATCTTCAGATCAGTTTTTCCAGCCACAACACCTCCAGCTTTTATTTGGCGTAACTAACCTTCATTTTATGGTAATTCTTTGCTATCTTTCAGCCAGCCTCATAGATACAAGTCAGCAATGCTGTACAGTTCAAAGATCTTTCATTTCACTTACAAATACCTATCGGTGGTATAACTGTGCATAAGCTCTAGCTAATCATATTTTCTCTTAACGCTTTCTACTCATCCCCCAGACTGAATCTGTTTCAGTTTGTGTCCCACGAAACACCACTCTGTTTTTCCTGTCTTTTCTTTTGAACTGCTTTCCCTCTACCACACTTACACCCTTTGGGAAAAAGAAAAAGAAATACTCCACCACAGTGACCTCTTTAAGTATGTACTATGGTGTTTCCCCATCTGCATTCAGGATTCCCGCTGCTGTCATCTAATGTGGAAAGTTCTGTAGTCTTTCCATATAAAGCAGAGAGCACTGTGACAAAAACCAAAGACAGATGTTGTTTTCCAAACACTGGCCTTAGTAACACAATGAGAAACTGAAATGTGGATCCACTTGATCCAGATAACCAAAAAATGCTTTAGTTCTACCCAGTCTGAACCCTCACCAAGCTTGTTACACCAGGGTTAGTCTTCAGACACTGTGGGTAAACCAGTTACAAATGTGCTGTTAATCCCTGATGATTGTGCCTTTAGGCTATTGTTATTTTGATACTGGCCGACTTCACTGTGAACACAAGGCTTTTTAATGTTAGCTACTGCTCTAATAAGAGAAAACGTGGCACAAAGAGTGCAGACCATAGAACAAATGTGGGGCTAAATTACAATTTTACATCTGGTAACCTTAAAGTGCATGAGCTATTGAGTAATTGAACACAACAGAGGCTGCGTTATAAAATCATTTACCCCTACAGTGAGTCAGTATGCATGAATCTTTTGAAAAGCATGTTCAGACTATACCCGCAAGCTGTCAACAGCAAAACTCTGCCTTCTCACCACAACCCACCCACTCAACTTCCTCTCTTGGGAGCATCCTCCTTAACAACACATGCAGAAATAAAAGCAGACGATACAAACAGAAAAAAAACTACACTACAGAAAAAGCTGTAACTAACAGGATTTGTTTTATATGCCAGATAAAATACAGAGATGAGTAAATCTAATCCTGATGAAACCATGTTGGTGCACTTTGAAAAAAATGCATGTGTGAGAATTGTGTGACATGTTTAAGTCGCAAACATAAAAGTATAATCCAAGTCTGACAACATCACAGACAACACAAAGTGTAAATTATCATTAATAATAAATCACAAGTGAAAATGGGTTCCATTAAAACAGAGTGCACTTTGTGTTGGTGTTTTCATACAGTCAAGACCATAAATGCAGTAAAATTGGCTGGTAGGCCATCAAATTTTTCCAAGAGGAAAATAGATCTGTCTGAGAGCTGCTATTCAAAGTATTAATGCTATGGCTGACAATAAATGTTTTGGGTAAGGCAGTAAATACAGGCATGTGAGGTGACAGCTGCTTGAAGAGTGCATGCTCTACCTTGGGTTTCTATGACTGTACTCCAAAGTTAATCTAAGGTTTCGGTTTGAAGCTTCAGGAATGTAAGAAATGCCAAACGATAAGTAAGAGGTCGGAAGGATGCAATCAGTTCTTGTGGCCTGTGTTATTCTGTAGACTGTTGTCGGCTTTGAGGAAGTCACACCAGACTTCAGGGGGTTTGGTTGGTCTTTAGAGGTCTTTTAATCCATATGTGTGTCAGGTAGTAAGTTCCCTCCAGAATTGGTGCTTGACACACCCCCATTGGAGTCCAGCTGTTCTGCAGCACATGCCATGAGCATGATCTGGGAATTAGACTCTTATTTATTTGATTGATGTCTGTCTGTAATTATCTTTAAAACTTTATAGCACAGATATGTCAGGTGTCACAATGCCAGAAATGTGAAACTTTTGCCCACATGCTGTAAAATATCTCTATTAAACAACAGTCTGATGTGTAATTTACAAGTACAACAAGTCTGAGAAATTGAAAGTTTAGATCTAAAAATGTAACTTCCCTTAATCCAATTTTGGTTGACCTCTTTTAAAAGCTTTACAAGATGCTTAAAAACAAATATGAGTTCAATGCTGTCACAGAGTAAGCTAAAAGGAGTTGCTCAGTTTTTCCAGAAACAGTCTGTTTGATTTTGAAGATTCCTGAGACAGTGGGTACCCACGCATCTAAACTACAGACAATGGTTTCTTACCCGCTTCTTCTTCTACCATGTCTAACTCCACATCAGCGTCCATCTCCTCTGTTTCAGTCATGGAGTCCATCTCATAGATGTCGTTTGTGCTCATAGTCCTAATCGCGGGGATCAAGTCTCAGAAAACGGGGGGCAGAAAAATCTTTTTTTATCCAGAACAGAGACTGCAGTTTATTGCATTTCCTTCAGAGCACAGCCCCGTCCTCCGCGCATTCTTCTTTTGTTTCTCAACACCAATTTCGACTTGCAAAGTTGGGCTCAAGTTGTGACTTGAAAGAAATAAAACGGGTGGGGTCGGAGGAGGAGGAGGAAAAGGAGGAGGAGGCTGTAACTGTTGTTCAGTCACATTTGACAGATAAAGTTACGCCCACTTCTCAGTCAAATAAACGGGTTGCTTATCTAACATAGTATGGGATTGAAGACTCCATTAAACGCGGTCTATAAATATGTTTCTGTTGTTCTGTTTCATTTCGACAAAATAAAGCAAAACTTTTGATTTTTCAAGAGAGGTTTGACATTCACTCACAACGTTTATGTTGTGATTTATGTCATTTAATTAATGTTATGTCAGCTTTTTAAAGCATGACTGGCAGGAAAACGTTCTTGCACCTGTTTGCTTTCTGCTCTTTTCTTAACTTGTGTTTGTCTTTTGTGTGTGCTGTTGTGTTCACCTTTTGAAAAATGAAGGGGGGGGGGGGGGGATATAGTCTGCCTTCTGCATATTAAATGTTTATTTTTAGAAATGTCAAAACATTTTTTCTGTCCTGTAACTGAAGAAATAACGAGCACAGCCCAGTACATGAAGGAAGAAGTGAGTTTGAACCGTAAATGCTTCTCAACAGTCAAATATTTGTCCAATCTTCGGTATGAAAACAGTGTCTAAGTTTATTGTTCGCCATATAACGGAGTAGTAACGCTTCGGACTGCGGTTTAGTTGATAAACGGGACTAGGAACTATGTAATAAAGCGGCTCTTTAGCCGGGGGTACATAAGCAGCGACGGAACACTGCTGGATGTTTCCGCTAATAACAAACCTGCTCGCTGTCGAAGGCTGGAGCTGTATTGTTTTTATTAGTCATTCCAAGTGCGATAAAGTACTTTGTTTATGGTATTGTTAAGTTCATATGAATTGAAACAGTTGTTAATGTTGCTCCAATGACATAAGAGGAATGACGTTTCTTTAAAAAAACGCCAAACAGCAGACAAACGGTTCCCACTGGTGTTAGCTTAGCGGCTAACGCGGCGCTGTTTTAGCCGGAGTCATGTTAGCCTGGTAAAGACCTGGACCTGGTTCCGAGCCTGTCCTATGGTCGTGACACGGTCCTGTTATTTGACAGAGAAAAGAATAACTTAATTTTTTTCTGCCGGTTCAAACATTTTCTCATCTGGAAGCGTTCAGCTGAAGAGATACTGTGAAGGTGAGTAAAAATGAGATTTACAGATAGAAATGATCAGATTTGAGTTTTAGATTAGATTCTGTGATCACTTTATGAATGTATTTTTTTCTCACAGTAAACAGCAAATGCAGCAAATAAAACTGATCACTCTGCTGATATTAAAAAGCCTGATTTAACCCGAACCCTGTCTCTCTCCCAGATCAGCAAAATGAAGATGTTCTCAGTGTCTCATAAGACGGTCTTTGTGGTGGATCACTGTCCCTACATGGCAGAGTCCAGTCGTCAGCAGGTGGAGTGTGACGTGCTGACAAAGAGCAGGGCTCACGGGGTCATCCCTTTGGCCCCTGTGTCCAAGTCTCTGTGGACCTGTGCTGTGGAGTGCTCCATGGAGTACTGCAGGATCCTCTATGATATTTACCCCAAGGACAAACTGGTTAGATTCAAACTTGAGGTTTTTAATAATGATGGAAATGTTTAGCTTCTCCCCTGTGCCTCCACCTGGTTTCACTCTTTGAAAGTGTAGTTTGCAATGAAAGAAGTATTTCTAATTTCATTAAGACAGCTTCATTCCTGCTCTCTCTGTCTCTTTGCAGGTTAATTACATTGTAAGTGATTCAGAATTCCACATCTTGAACACCTGGAGACAGGACAACCAGAGCACACATGAGGTAATCTGCAAGTATAACATATATGTGTGTTTTAAGTGTTAGTTCACAAGGGGTGGGAGAAAAAATCGATTGACATAAGTGTCGCAATTTTTTGTTTTACAATTTTTAAATTGATTTTAAGTTCAAAAATCGATTTTTTTTTTCAAATTTAAAGGGATATTCCAGCGTAAAATTGAGTTACTCAGTTATTCAACACTGAGTAACTCAGTATTACAGTGTGTTTGACCCTTACTTAATTTTAAAGGATAAAACTTCAAAACTGACTCACATGTGATGTGTAATTTTAGGGGAAAGATGGTCCCTGGAATAGTTCGTTGACAATCATAATAATTCAACTGTTTCACTGGTGTTAAAAATGCAGACTGAAAATCGTCAATATTTCATCATTTCATCTTAAAACAGCAACCATATAATTTTTAATTCTCAGGATTTGACTTGTGATGTGATGATACCTTTTCTCCTCCTCTCTGGCAGCTCATGTCAGCTCTAGCAGCTGTAGGGCCTCCTAATCCACGTGAGGACCCTGAATGTTGCAGCATCCTGCATGGGCTGGTCTCAGCAGTGGAGTCCTTGTGCAAGATCACAGAACTGCAGCATGAGAAGCGTACCGCTTTGATGGACACAGCAGAGAGAGTTTCGAACAGGGGCCGTATTATCTGCCTGACTAATGCTAAAAGGTAAATACTCACGTCATTATGGAAGAAAATACACTGTTGATAGATGTAGTGAGATTGTGCAAAAGTGAGTTTATCTAGATCCTTTAAGACTTGAGGATCCTGTAATTGCTTGGAGACATAAATTATTAGGAAAGTCAGTATTCTTTAGATTATACTTACCCATGGAGTTGAACAGAATTTTTCATTGAAATTTTCACAGGTCTAGGACTTCTTTGCAGTATTCTTATACAAAAATATACAAAAATTGCACAATAAAAACAAACAGCTGCTGGTCTTATCAACTTCTCTGTATTCAATGTACATTTTTTGTTCTATATGATGCTTATGTAGAAGAAATCTTGCTCTGAGTGCAGAAAAAGAGGCTCCAATTATTTAGAAATAGTAACAGTGAAACAACGTTTATTTTCTCTTGTGCTTTTGCAACTGTGAGACCGCTGTTTTGTACTTTTATGGGCAGAAGAGGTTTTATCTTTTAGTCTTTTTTTATGCCTTATAGCTGAAATTTCATGTGTTAAATTTTTTAAGCTGTGCTAATGCTGCACTTTTTTTTTCCACAGTGATACCCATGTGCGCATGTTGGAAGACTGCATTCAGGAAACAATATTAGAACAAAACAAGCTGGCAGCAGGCTCAGACAGGTTGGTGTCAGACGATGTCAGTATTATTAACCTCCACTGGTCCAAATGACTGTAATTTGGTTGAGAATGGGCAGAATACTTAACTTTTAGTCAGCAGTGACTGCTTTTAGAAACAAGATTTTACATCATAGATATTTTTTGCCTAATCTTTACCTTACTGTTGATTATTTTTAGACTAATGGCCATCCAGCAGTGCGACCTGGTACTTGTGCACATCTACCCACAGGGGGAGGACACTCTGGTATCTGATCGTCCCAAGAAAGAGGTGGGTGCTAAAAAAAAGAAGAAACATATCATACGGTGATCAACCATCACATTATGACCACAGACAGGTGAAGTGAATAATGTCTTTAGCTGTCAGCGAATGGGATGTTTTGTGTAGTGCATGAACATTTTGTCCTCAAAGCTCTGCTGGAAATTAGGAAAACTGAGCGGGTGTATGAATGAGCCACTTGGAGAGGAGCCAAACTGTGAAAGCCACATGACTGGGTCACATCATCTCAAACACTGCAGCTCTTGTTGGGTGTACAGAGATCAGGACCCACAAAAATTGGTGCAGGGATGGAAAACTTGTGAATGGAAACAGGGTCACTGGCAGCCAAGGCTCACTGATGTGTGTGGGGAGTGAAGACCGATCCAAAAGAGGATTTACTGGAACTCCAACTGCTGAGACTGCTGGTTTTGACAGGAAGGTTCAAAACAGTGTTGATGTGCATCCAAACTGGACAATGAAGCAATGGAAGAAGGTGGCCTGGAAGAACATCACAATGAATTTAATGCGTAGGCTTGGTCTCTGAATGATCTAGATGGAAGTTCAACTGAGCATGTGAGGGATGTGCTGGATATCAAGTCTGATCCACGAGTCTTCAGAGATCTGCTGCTAACATCTTGATGCCAGATAACACAGCATACCTTCTGAGGTCTGGTGAAGCCTCATCAGGTGGAGACTCTTTAGACCTTGACCTGAGGAGAGAGGGGGTTACACAGTATTAGGCAGGTGGTCATAGTGTTATGGCTGATCTCTACAGTTATCACTTTATTAGTCCACGAAACAGAGAAAGGCTAAATAACTCAAAGTTTTCTCTGGTTATTTCTTTCCATCTTGACCTCTCAGATCTCACCGCTGCTCACCAGCGAGGTTCACAGCGTTCGTGCGGGGCGACATTTAGCCACCAAACTCAACATTCTGGTCCAGCAGCACTTTGACTTGGCCTCCACCACCATAACAAACATCCCCATGAAAGTAAGTGGGCTTCTGCCCTTCATTTGGCCTTGCACACAATGAAAAATCACACCTTTTTAAGAACATTATCTTTTTGCTAGCACATCAATGTTTACACAGTAGAATGCACTCCATCTTTTTTCTTCATTGTGGTTTTTGGTTCCATATTTTCTCACAGCCCTTACCTTTTAATCGTGCTTGCTTAATCTTTCATGTACAAACCCTTCCTCACCTTTGAATTTCTTTACACTCACACCTTTCTGTTTCTTTCATCTGCATGCTGATATGACTGTGACTCTGCTGCTGGTTTCATGCTGTATTTTCTGTTTTGCTAGCCCACATTAAATGTTTGCGACCAGGTTAGTACTCTTATGCACACACACATCAAAGTGAGGAAGGGTCAGAGCTGACATCACATAGTGTGCAGTTTACTGTATGTGTTTTGAGAGCTGCTGCTGTTGCAACAGGCTTCCAGTGTCATTCATCCATTTCAATGTGGCAGTTAGTGCACAGATTAGCTACTGAGGCTCAAGTCAAGAACAGGCAACTCTGGTCTCACATAGACACACGAAATTAACGGTTTGAATCAGCTTTTTCTTTCACTTTGCTGATTTGCTGTTTGTTTGGTTGTTCTCTGCTATTTATTTTAAATTATTGTCTGTTTTAGGACAGTGTTTCTGCCAAATTCCCACTTAGAGAAAATGAAACCATGACCAGCGTTGCCTCTTCTCTTCAGTTATGAAATGCTGTCAGTGTCTGTCAGGTGTTCAAAGTCGTTCAATCTTTCCCCGGTCTCTGTTTTGCCCCATCAGTTCCCACTCATGTTACCTTTTAGAGTCTGGTGTCGTCCTTTGTGCTGTCTGGATAATTAGTTTTTGAAACCTGACCCTTAAATGTTAAAAACATAACTTTGCCTTTAGCTCTCCCAAAAGTGCCTTTTTTTCCCCCCACTAAGTGCAGAAATGTCAGGAATGAAAGTGTAATTGTTATAAAAGATTGCCAGGCCCTGATTTTGAGTTTGGGCTTTAACGTTATCAATCCAGATTTGAGAGTTTGAGCTTCTCTGAAACTGTCAAACATGTGAAGGCTAGGAGCATCGAAGGAAAGATGCATGAGATCGAATTTGACGAGGAGAAAACCATGCTTGAGTCACCCAGAGAGCTGATCTGTTTTATTTTGTTCCTTTGTCCATTCTCATTTTACCCTCTGGAACATGAAATCAGCAGTGTTAACGTGTGTTTGTGTCTGTGTTTATGTGTCTGTCTGTGTGTGTATTGGTGTGTAAGTCGAAGCATTTTAAGAGCTGAATTCACACTGACCTGTCTTTATTACTGTTTCTGCGGGTGAACAGGAAGAGCAGCACGCCAACACATCTGCCAACTACGATGTTGAGCTCCTGCATCACAGAGATGCTCACTTGGAGTTCTTTAAAAGCGGTGAGTTCAAGTTTTTGTCCTCTTGGTTTAATCTGTGGAACAAAATCAATTCCTGTCAAAGTAGAGTTTATCTTTATATCATAAGCAGCATGTCAGGAAATACATCTGTAAATCTCAAATTACCATGATGTCAAGTTTACAGCAGCAAGATATTTTAACGTTTCTATAGTCTCTAGAAAATGATCTGTTGTGCTCTCATTTTGTGGCGCAGGTGACTTGCATATGGCTGGAACCAGCACCCGAGAAAATGGACTCAAAGAGACTATTACGCTGAAATGGTGCACCCCAAGGACAAACAGCATAGGTGGGCAAAGTCAGCTGAAAATCTGACAGGCTTAAATTTACCTCCTGACTGTTAAAGGGACAGTTCAGAGACTCTGACCTTGCAGTGTATAGCATCTAGTCTTCTGTCTTTTGCATCTGTTCTTCAAGTGTGTTCGTGATTTCAAGCAAAGCCTTGAGGATTTTAAAAAATCCAATTTGCTTCATAACAAATAGAATCAAGTGTTTCACTAATCTGATTTAAGTCTGCAGACTCCCTGAGATAATCTAGTCCAGGCTTGTTCTCGATCCAGCTCTCCATCCAGACCTGGTTCCTTTATCTTTACACTGAAAGGCCAAATCAGCAGCTGACTTCAGAACTGTGAAACATACCGTAGTCATTTGTTTTTCACTATTTGTTGTTATGTTTTTGACAGTATTTCATGGGTTAAGATCAGAAATATAACACAAGCCAGTTTCTAAGTGTATAAAATCTGTATTTATGAAACAGGTTTAATTTTCATTCATTTTCATTTCATTTCAATTTTCATTTTCATTCATTTACTCCCCTGTATATCTGTGTAAAGAACTAAGTTTAAGGTAAAAAAAAAAAGGTTAAATGTTTTGCAGATGACTTCCTACAAAAGTCTTGGAATGCTTTTAAAGTCATACTGCAACTTTTTTTCAAATTTATTGCTTATTTTTGTCAGTAAATCATATCCTCTATAACACAATAGAAAGTAATCCTTGGTGATTTACGCTAAAAAGGTTGTAATTGATCCAGATCATGTTATTGTCATGTTATGATGGTGATTGGTGGAAAAATCTATCCCTACATAAAAGTGTATTTTCTCTCCCCAGAACTTCATTATTGTACAGGAGCCTATCGCATCTCCCCCACAGACGTAAACAGTCGACCCTCATCATGTTTGACGAACTTTCTTCTCAACGGTAAACTGAACTGAGTCTTTTTTTAATCTCTACCTCATCTCTTCTCATCTTGTCCTGAATTTACCTTCAAACTTCTCTAACTTGTTGGTTGACCGCTTCCTCTTTTCTTACTGACCGCAGGTCGATCAGTGCTCCTGGAGCAGCCAAGAAAGTCAGGGTCGAAGGTCATAAGCCACATGCTCAGCAGCCATGGAGGCGAGATCTTTCTGCATGTGCTCAACAGCAACCGCTCCACGCTGGAGGACCCGCCCTCCATCAGTGAGGGCTGTGGAGGACGAGTGACAGACTACCGCATCACTGTAAGTCCAGCCTGCACCTCCGGGGTGATGGTGTAAAAAATCGTTACAAAAAAGCTAACCGTTTGTGTCTCTTTCAGGACTTTGGCGAATTCATGAGGGAGAACAGGCTCACCCCTGTGCCAGAGTCCTCCCATCATCCCTCTGGGAAGCTACCAGTTGAGAGAGCAAAAGCTCAGCTGGAGCGCCACACACGATACTGGCCAATGATCATCTCTCAGACCACCATCTTCAATATGCAGGCAGTAAGCAGCATGAAGAAATACTTTACTCACCATGACAGTTTTTGTTCTGCTGTAACCAAAGTTCATACTTACGTGTCTCTCCTTTTTCCTCCACTAGGTGGTGCCTTTAGCTAACTTAATTGTGAAAGAAACATTGTCTGAGGAAGACGTTCTGACCTGCCAGAAGACAGTTTACAACCTGGTAGACATGGAGAGGAAGAATGACCCTCTTCCAATTTCTACAGTGGGATCCAGGGGGAAAGGACCCAAGAGGTATATGTCAATTTGAAAAAGACGTTTGCTTTTTTTTTTTTATGGGTTTCCAAGGAGAGATGATGAGCATCAAAGTTTCAGTAGTGACTAATGTTCCTGCCTTGTTTTCGATCTCCAGAGATGAACAGTATCGTATCATGTGGAACGAGCTGGAAACATTAGTAAAAACTCACGCTGGAGCCACAGAAAGACACCAAAAGGTGCTGGACTGCATCATCGCCTGCCGCAGCAAACCTCCTGAGGAGGAGGAGAGGAAGAAGAGAGGCAGGAAAAGGGAGGACAGGGAGGACAGGACAGAGAAAAACGGCAGCAAAGACACAGAGGACAAGAGCTGGCAGGAATCTGATAGGTGAGCAGTAATCTCCAGAGAAATCTCCACAGAGGATTCTCAACTTTCAAGTCTTTTAAGCTACACTGTCTGTTTGTTTGTTTTTTACCTCAAGGCTAAAGGGTTTGCTAGATAAGGATGATCAGGAGTCAGAGGTGATCAAGGATTCTCCAGATTCTCCAGAACCGCTTATTAAAAAGCCACGTCTGTCCACAGAGGATGCTCAGCCTCCAGAGAGAGCCAAAGGTACAATTCATCACAAAACGACTATTCTCATTCATAACAAAACCATGGACAGACCCGCTTTGGTGGTTCATCATATTAATCTAGCAAAAACATGTGATGGGATGTCTCTGTTCTTTTTCTGTGTGTCTGTGTATTTACCCATGTCGTTGCTGCAGGTCCAGTGTCGCTCCTCAGCCTGTGGACCAATCGCATCACAGTTGCCAATTCCAGGAAGCACCAAGAGTTTGTTGGAAGAGTGAGCTCTGTGAACAACAAGTTTGAGTTGTACCAGCAGCTCAAAGAGGAGAACGGGTGTGTCACTGTGAAATAAAGCAAACATCAGTCAGTCTATGAGTGTAACTATTACTGTCCAGACAGCGTCACCCTGTGTTAAAACCTGACTGTTCCTCTTTTTCAGAATGGAAGTTCATGAGAACGGGAAAGCCTCCAGATGATGTTTTCATGGAATCTTTATTCACCGCTGCCAAGGAAGAGATTGAGGACCACTGATTTTTTTTTCAGACAGGGGCATCAAGTTATACACCCAAAACAAGGACATCAAATAAAATAGAAAGTGACCTCTAACAATGAATTTCCAATTTTTTTACCCATGAATTTGTAGATATGCTGTTCACATATTGTGTTACACAATAAAAGCTGTCAAACAAACGTGCTGTTGACTTTTCTATGAGATATACCACAGATTGAGGTCATTTTTAATCTTTGTTTGGCACACAATGTTTCTAGAAGTCACAAATTAGAGCTGACTAGGTGAGGGACCAGTTTGAGAAGCTGATCAAATAACGGCCTTAAACCTGTTCGAGTTCACAGATAGTCTTTAAGCTACGTACTGCTCAACTTTAAGACTGATGATGTATTTTTTACTGACAAAAGATTTGCATTTGAAAGTTGTCAATGCGCCACTAGAAAACACATGATTAGTCCACAAAAACCCTGATGTGGTCTATGAACTGAAAAAAGGTACATGAGGAACCACTTGGACTCTGTGCTTTGAAACAAATCTGTACTTCGCTCATTTTGACGTGTATTTGGGGACTTTCTTCTGGGCTTCAGCGCAGGTTCTTTCAAGTGTTGTTAGGTTGAATGAGGGAAACTTTTGGTCAGCCATTTCCAGCTCCTTTTAGCAGTGCTGGGTTAGTTTCAGGAAATCAATGGTTATTGGAAAGAGTCTGTTTTGTCTTGTCTCTCTTTATCCTGTTGGACATTACACATTAGGCTCGGTCTTAAATGCTTTTAATAAGATCTCAGTCCACCACCACAGCATGGTTCTGCTCCTACATGATGGGTGTTGCATCATATTTTTGTGTAGTCAAGTGCCATAAAAACTTGTCTTTCAGTCTCCGCATTATTATCTGGTATGCATCAGTAGTGAATTTGCAACAGGTGGAGAAAAATTGCAAAAATGCCCATGGATTATTGGTGGCATCTTCGTCAAGCTGCCGTGCCATAGAAAGAAAATCCCTCATTCTAAATGTCTTTCTCTGTCATGATTGAGGACTGAGTGAGAGAGGTAGAAAGAGGTTGCACAGTACTGTCAAAGATTTGACTGTGGTCCTTATCTAATCATCATGAATGTGAAAAAGTCTGTTAGGGCAGACTGAAAAAGGGAGTTTCCTCAAAGCTTTTCCTGTCATTCTTCTTAAATACTTGAGAGGTCATAACTTGGAGGATGAGGCTGGAGTTCCTTGTCAAGAGATTTCCTTCCCTGCTCAAATGTTGGTGGAAGTTTCTGCTCGTCCCCTTGTGGAAAGTTCATCCACAGTCTCAACGGTGGTGGGGGAAGCTCAGTCTGGAATATTGGTGGCCGTCTTGGTCCGATGGCACTGAGATCATCTTGATACTCATCAACTCTGCCTGCAGGCCAAATGGCACCTGATCTTGACCTTCCATGAAGCCTCCGGAAATGGAGTACCATGGCAACGAGGATGGTGATGAGGATAAGCACGCAGACAACAAGGACAGCTGTAAACATGGCAGCCATCCACTGATAATGGTTGATCTGCTTTGAGTTGCAGGTGTTAGAGGAAGAATTTAAGGAAGTGTTGGTGTCTACACTGGGCTTTAAGGTTGTTTTGAAAGCAGGTGTTGACGCGTTAAATATGGGAGTGGATGTTGTGGAGAAACAGTCTTGTTTATAGCTCACTGGTTCGATTTTAGTGATTGGAAACTCTGGCAGCATTGCTTCTCTGAACACAGGGTTCACTGATCCATCTGAAGACCCCATCGCCATCCACATGCTTTGTATCTGGTCAAGGTTGCATTGTCCCGCTTCACACATGCTATGTTCGAAAAAAGAAATCACAATCGACCCAGGCTTCAAGGAAACGATGACAAATTGTTGTTCGCTGGAGCTATTAAAGAACTGAGACAGTTTTCCAAGAAGAAGCTCCACCCGGTGCCGCTGACCAAGGATCCAGTGAAGACTACGCTGGGCAGTTACAGTAAAAATGTGGCAAGGCTCAACAGGGCTGCGTTGAAGATCAATGGTTAAATGTAGCCAGGTGCGAAGACCTTCTTTGTCCTGAGCAATAAGAAGAGCATCCTGAGGAGCAAACTGCAGGTCCACCTCGAGAGGAACACCATGAAGCTCCAGGCTGTCTAGTGAAAACCAAGTCCCAATGCTGAAAGGAGGCCCATCAATCAACTTAACTTCAAGAAAAAGAGCATGTGCATCACCGTCTTCTGGGTCTAGGAAGGTCATTGGTGGGATTTTGAAGTGAAAGGGGAAGCCGATGGTGGCCTTCAACACTGGAACAGGCTGCATCACTTCAGGTGGGAGATTTGTAGGACCTGAAATAATATACAAAAAGCAATGAAACTATTGCTCAATGATGCAAAATACACACAAATGTAGTCAAAAGAACATGTTTTAACAGTAGTGGCGTCCCATCATCTGAATTTCAGAGTTCTTCTGATTGGCTTTGCTGTTGCTGGGTTACAAAATTTGTATGGAACATCTACCAAACTTTCGAGTGACATTAAGTCTGTTAAAACGGTCTCTGTGTGCTTGGTATTTTCTTATATTCAATGGGAAAACAAAAATTGTCATGGCATCTCAAGCGTGGTCAATCATGCCTTTGAAAAGACGAGTGTAGATAATTTCTCCTTTATGCCAACCTCTACCCTTGTTGATATCAAAAATATAATTAGAAGTCTGATCTTTTGTTGTTTATGACTGGTGGCTGATTTATAATTGACATTGACCAGTGCAGCAGTTTTTTATTTAAATATCAGAGACCTAAAACATCTGAACTGCACTGATTTTGATAGAAAATAGGCCCTGCAGGGGCAAACACACTGTTGGTGGACACAGGCCCTATTGGTTCATAACGCTTAAGGATTCAGAAACCAGACATCCCTTGGTAATATTAAATTCACTCTGGGTGTTAAAAGTACCATAGGACTTCTGATGCTGGCAGCACTATTTGCAGCACTGGTTCTTATGTACCTTCTGTAATGCAATAATGATACAGGGAATAAAAGCATATTGAATGAATGTAAAATTGTCACAGGGATGTGTCTGTTTTTGACCTTTGAAAAACAAAATTATCAATTCAGAAATAATTTGTGATTGTAGCATTTACCATATCAGTCCCTCTCTTTGGTGGCACTTACTTGAGATGGAAGCAGAGGGCGATGTTGCCCCCACTGAGCTCTGTTTATTATTTTCGGAAAAGCCTGCAGCTGCAGATGATGCTAATAATGTGGTTAAAGCTCCATAGAATGGACTCAAAAATGTGCCTGGAATCTGCTGAGTGGGACGTCCCTCTGCAGTCGGCCCACTGCTGTCTGAAGTAAATGGTTCACAGATTGACATGGAATTCTGTTTACGGATGCAATCTTCACTGGGGGCAGATGTTTTGGGTTTAAATGATGAGTATGGAACCAGAGATAAGCCGCTGTCTTCTCTTGAAGTCTCTATTTGTAGAGGAGTTAATGTGTGGTATGTTCCAGCTGTGGTGCTTGCATACAGATTTGGTGTTGACACCAACAGTAGCAGTGTAAATTGATCTGATTCAGTTTGTTCTCTTGAAACAGCATCCGAGATAAGACTGTCAGGATTTAGTGACAGATATTTCCTGGATGTCTGTGTTGAAAAGAACTGTTCATTTGAGTCTAATATGAAAAATTTAGATGGAAAAGCCGTCCTCTCATATTGTGAATAATCCATTGTGGTCTTAAAGCAGCTGCCTTTCCTTCCTAGGTTGTTGTTTGACAAAGATTGGCCTCTGCAAGGGAATGAAGGATCAAGACTCTGCGTTTGATGATAAAGGGATGAAGTGTATGACTCCTGGACAGCAGAGGGAGCAGTTGGATCAAAATGATCCATTAACACAAGCCCACTGCTGTCAGATGTTGTGGCAGGAACTGGGAAGGTCCCACTTAAGCTTTGGGCAGCTCCAGTCAGGACTTCTGTTTCTAAACAGGCTTTTGTTGACTTCCCAGTGACCGTAAATCTCTGAGAAAACATTTTAGTTTCTTGTGACTCTGTTACCAGAAGTGTACGGAGGGTTGGCTGAAGGGATGGCAACAAGTGTATACTCTGATGGGCTGATTGGAAGGATTGTTGTTCTCCAGAGGGCTGGTCTTTGAATAAAGACGATGGTATAGAAAACATTTGGAGGGTTCTGGTCACAGGAGAGCTCATGTGAAGAGTTGGTTTACGGGACATAAATAAAATGTCTGGGCTCAATGCATTTATTGTCTCAAGTCGTTCACGGTGACAGTCGAACTCTGGAGGAACAGGGGTAAACACTGTCATCGAGGGCTCCACGATGGGGGGTGAGAGTGAGGTCTCCAATTCAGTTCGCTCAGACAATGTCAGCTGACCCGTCCATGTGGTTGATGACACATCCTGAGTTGTAACAAGCAGCTGAGACATCACATCCTGCCACACAATAGGAGACAGATGTTTGATTGTACCAGAGTGAGAGTGAGTTTTTGATAAATGTCCAGTCATTAAACGTGAGGTTGGTGACGCATCTGGAAACAGCTGAGTAGAAGGTATTCTGTTTGATGGTGGCAGTGATTGCTCTGTTGTTAAACTAGAGTTTAATTCCTGAGCGGCAATATCACTCTCTGCTGGAGGTTGATAGGAAGCAGATGGGAGGTTATGAGGAGTTTGTTGGGCAGTTGAGAAGTTGCTAACAGTTTCTTTGTCATCAATTGTAAGACCTATAGAAGAAAGAATGCAACATTTTAGTGCAATGGAAATGAACCCAGATCATGAAAGCCAAAAATTGTATGATTGAATGTAAACGGTCAATGCTGATTTATAGATGTGCTCCATTTCTCCATTAATTCTTCTTTCGGCCAAGTATTCAGGAATAATTGGTGTGTGTGATTATAAACAAGTTTAACAATTACAAAAAATTAATTAATCACATGTTTAGGTACAAAGTATAACGGAGTAAAAGTATAACCTATTGAATGCTGCTCAATGTGGGGAAAATGTTCAACTCTGAATCCCAATCCTTAGCTTAAAATGTAGTGATGGCAGATACTTCAGAAATTTTGTAAAGTCAGTACATTTAACCCTTTAAGGTCTGAAACCACAAATTATAGCCAGAAAAATTCTTTTTTTTTTTGGAGCTTAAATGTTTATTTCACTTACTACTGAAAACCAAAAAAATCAAAATGTCCTTAAAATTGAACAAATATATATTTTTATCTTGTTTGGTACATTAGATGTTTCTGGAAACTGATAAACCACAAGAGGACATTTTTATCATTTATCGGATTGTATTCAAGTGTTTTTTTTTTAGTAATTTGTTGATCATATTGATTTGATATACGTATCATAAAAGTATGGATCAAATGTAATACAAAAGGCATTAAAGGGCGAAATTTGTACAGTTTTGGATACATTTAGAATTAAATTTTCAACAAATATCAATTAAAAAAACTCATTTTGAATCAGAGTCCTGCATCACTCCATATATAATTATATTTTTAGTGTTTTTTTTCTAATTGTGTGAAACTGTTATTGATTCCTAACATCCAGCTATTCCTCAAGAAGTCCAGATTGTTTCATTTTGTCTCCAGGGAAGTTGCTAAAAGGTTTATATGCTTTGGACTCTTTTGGGTGCCAAACCCAGGCGCCATACATGAAAGCTCCTAATGGTGATAACATCAATCCTGCTTGCCCCACAACAAGACCCCCTACAACCATGAAACTTTGAAGACAAGGGTCTACTGTTTTAGGCTCTGGTGTGATGGAAACACATTCATGCATCTGTTTTTTTGTAGATATTTTGCACCGAAATAAGTCGATACAGGCCAGGTCAGTTGATAAGATATGTATTTTATCATCTTGATTTACTTGTCATTTTCTAGGAATGACACACATCATCATTATTTTTTTCGTCATTAATGGATTTCCTATTTCAGACAATATGCTCCTCTTTTCATTGAACTGTGGGCTGTCTTTTAAGAAAGTTCAAGTAATTACAACATATGACTTGAATGACTAAGAAGCCAGAACAATTCCAGATAGTCATATAGGAGTCAAAAGCAGCAGACTTACCCAGTGAGCTCACCCAGGGCTGCCTTTCTGAGTCACTGTGGCCTGCTGTATACAGTCCAGTCCAGCGGGGGGTTTCCTTTGGGAGGGGTTGAGGGGTCAGACGAGTGGGGAGCAAAGGGGCACTGTAGGAGACTGTGGTCAGCAGCTGTGTGGGGTGAATACTATACATGGGGGATGATTGTGACAGTGAAAGAGGGGAGTCTGCTGCAGTGCAAGTCCTGACCGTTGATGTGTGTGCAGCAAAACAGGGGGAAGACAACAATCCTGTGGTATAGTGATGCTCATAAATTATTGTTGAAAAATGTAATGAGACCACAGCTGCTTTTTCACTTGAGGCAGTGGCTTCTACCTGTGAATTTTGACTTGTTGCAACTTGTTTAACATCTCTTTTAGACTTTTGGAACCAGTTTGAATGACCGCAGCCAATTTTGACATCAAAAGGCAGATACAAAGTGGTTGAAAGAAACTTGATGTTGTGATTTGGTGAGTGAAAGCAAATATCAGCCAATTTGTCTAGGGGCTGGGATAAACCTTTGCTGGCAGAATTAGCAGTGTTTGCAGCAAAGTCAATTGTGGATGTTGGTCCAGTCATATCTACCTGAGGTGTTGGAACAATCACAACAGGAGAAGGTGTGAATCTCAGTCCTTTCAAATCTCTCTTGATTTTATGTTGGGTGCCTCCAGGTGAATGAAACACCCTCAATCCTAAAACAGGAACTTCCAGAAACCTTTCCAATTGTTTAACAGTGTTTTCTGGTCTCTCAGCTGAATCAGATAGTTGTTTTTTTCCACAACTGACAAGCCACACAAGCTCAGCAACATCCCCCAAGGTGTTGAGAGTATCCTCAGTGACTACACCTTGCCCATATCTTTGGCGCTTCTCTTGTTTCTGTCTTGAAAACAGGTAGACGAAGCCTTTAGGCAGGGACAGGTAGTTCGTTACAGAGCTGGACAAAGTGATTCGCTGGCTGGCATCAAGAGTCACAGGGTTCAGATCAAGTAGAAGGCTCGTCCAGAGGGTGGTCTCCCCTTCAAAGCAGGAGGACGTATGCCTGTTAGACAAGGCAAAGACAGATTTACATTGAATTACAGGATAATCTTCTGTATTTCATGTACTGTTTGTGAATGGAAATCTGCACAGATGTAGTTAACTTCTTGTTGTACAGAAAACCAAAATATGTACAAAACTCGTTTTTCAGCCTCACTGTCACACACTGGGTAACATGCCTCATTTTTCACAAAGAATGAACAGGCACTGTGGGTCTGTGCTTTTTCATCCAATCTCACAGTTAGTGTCTCAGGCTAAGAAATCTGACCAGATTAAAGCGTGAAAAGGAAAACAAGTCGTTCAAAAAGAAAAAGGTGGATAAAACCTCCAGTTTCTGGGTCGCATTGAGACGTTCCTGATCCAGGAAGAGGATTAAGGTTGGGTTACAACAACAGTATTTTGACATTGATGTTGAAACTCGAGAGGTTTTCCTAATGATTTTCCTCTTGAACCACTGAATCACTGCCACCGTATGATAGAGAAGGAAGAGACGATGGTTATGCAAAAATAAAGCTTTGGTCTTGAAGGTAAAATGAAAGTATTCCGTTTAAAGCAACCAGTAAGATTGCTTATTCTTGGGGGGGATTTGGTAACCTACTGTGGACAACGTTTGACGCATGAAGTCCCATTTACAGCACAAGCAAACCCTAAAGTCTAAATTTAGATGTCAAACTGGATTGGATAAAGTAAAAAACAAGTTTCTTTTGAAAAACTGGCAGAAAATAAACTTGACAACCTGATCTTACCTGGTCCAAAAATGAATTTTAATTTTAAATTATTCCTATCCAGATAAAACCTTTTTGAACACCCAGGCCCTCCTGACGTAAAGACATGACCTAAACAAAAGCTGCTACAGAGAGGACAGTACTCCTGAATGCTGTGATCCTTCCAGTCAGAAGACTGTGTTTTACTTGCTTCAGACGATGATTTCACTAGCTGCGCAGTCGAAGAACGTCTTGACAGGTGCCATTCAGAAAAGATTAAAACCCTATACTTGTCAACACTGTGCTGTGACAACATCTCCTGACAGCAGATGTAAAGGTTTAGAGGTAAGATGCCCTGGGGACAAACGCAGAGAGCAAACCCACTCATGAGTCATAAACAACCAAATGACTGCAGGCATAACAATATTCAAACTGAATCAGGGTTCAGACTCATCAGAGAAGAATCTGAGCCAAGTCCATTATTATTATCAACAGGAAGACAGCAGTTCACATTCAAACTGTTTACTACACGTCCCTCAACTGGGCTCCTTTGTTTATTTCTAGTTCTTACATTACATTCTGACTGACACGGTTGTGTCTGGAAATTACAGTTTTGAATTAAAGCTATAAGCAGCACTGAGCGGACACTCAACCTCTGGGCGAGGATTTAAGGGAGAAGGAGAAAACCAGAGGTGCAGAATGATATCAGCCTTAATGGAGGTCTTAAAGGGATATTCCAAAGTAAAATTAATTAGGGGTCAAACACACTGTAACACTGAGTTAGACACCCCGTTGAGAGATGAATATTGCTGACCGCTTGCTTCAACAGTTATACCAACTTGAGTAACGACCGCAGAATAGCAATACACAACTGACTGAGGAGCCATAGACAAACCTCAACCAAAACGCCACTCTATAGCCACAAATAATGCTCAGAACAGCACCTAACTTCATCGACAGTACATATAGGGTCCCAGCCACAGCACTAGCCACCAACTCATCAATTTCACAACTCATCGTCTCTCTTCCAGCAGCCCCTTGTTTGTACAGAGACCTCTGAGCGAGTCCATTACCGAAGCAGGGGCGCGTAGCTCAAGGAAGAACATTAATGATCATTTCTTCATGGAAGTGCAATCAGACTGAGACGCTATGGCAGAAGAACTACTGCGTCTGCAGTGCAAAATGAGTAATATGGTCATTATTAATTCAAGGAAATGATAAAGTGATGATCATAAATGTTCTTCCTTGAGCTGCGTCACCCCGCTGCAGTCTTAGGACTCACCCGGAGGTCTTTGTTCAAACAAGTGGCTGCTGGAAGAGAGAGGGTGAGTTGGCGTGAAACAAGAAATCAGGCAAAGCTAAAAAGATGTTTGGTGGCTAGTACTATGGCTGGGACCCTATATATACTGTAGATGAAGTTAGGTGCTGTTCTGAGCATTATTCGTGGCTAAAGAGTGGCTTTTTGGTTGAGCGTGTGGCTCTCTGTCGAGCTATCTGCGGTCGTTACTAAAGTTAGTGTAACTAGAGAAGCAAGCGATCTGCAACATTCATTTCTCGAGGGGGTGTCTAACCCCCCACCCCGACCCCTATACTGAACATCACTCACATTCAAACTTAATTAAAACTTAATAAGAGTTAAATAACAGAGGAAAATCAGCTCATAAGAGACACTAATAGGTGACTTTATACAGATGATAAAGTCCATCTTCATGAATCAGAATTTTGGATAGCAAAGATATTTGAACCTGTGGTTGACTCATTTCACGTTTCATGGTGCAACAGATTATATAAGTTTGACATCTCTATGACCTTTCTGAGAGCATCCTACTCAGACGTATTAATGTCTTCTCCTTTGACATGTATAAAATGATGTACTGCTCTGTCTTGTATTTGCTGGAAAATCTTTTAAAGCAAAAAAGATTTGTGGTACCCTTCAGGCATCCTAGCAGAACAAACTGCAGCTTAGTGAGACGGCACGTGAACATGCCTGCAGGTGAACACGCGCCGGGCAGGACTTGCTCAAAACTGAGGAAACCATAAGGCTTTAGACAAAATAAATAAATCTACGATCAAAAGTCTCTGTCTGTTTTCATGTTTCAAACCTCATCTGCAGTCAATATGTCAGTCGAAGCTTAAGTCCTGTCAAAATAACCCTGTGCTGCTACAAAACAGATTTACCAACAGATCACTCTGTTTACCGCAAAAAGGACTAAACCTTGCACCAAACAAAACTGAAACTTTTCTTGAACCTTCTGCAACAACCTCATCTGTAAAGATACAGCAGGTGCCGTGTTATAATATTACAATGTGTGTTCATTGTTATAACATCAGTTATCTGGAGAATTTGCAAAAACAAAAGATAAATGTTACTATATCTCGGCTCACGGTTGGCCTTGTGAAAGTAAAGTGGCAATGTGATTTTCTATGTGCCGAACAATCAAGAAAAAGTGAACGTACTTTTGTTCTGACCTTTCTGGGGAAGTCCATTTTCTTTCCAGGATGTGCACATGAAAGTGGGCCAAACACACCTTTCCAATACCCGACACTTTAAGGTGGTATATCCCAAATTCCTCAGCGAATGCCAAACCGACAAGACTGTTAGTTTGTGGCCTAAATGACATCCAGTGAGGCAGAGTGCTTTCTCCATCAGTTTGGGAGACCTGGTGAGAAAAGAAAGGTAGTTTAGTGGAATGAACCTGCTTTTTTCTCATGTAGGATACAGTTAAAGTTCAAGTGAGAGGCTTTGAACTGGATTTAAAACAGAGTGGAATAGAGAGTAAAGCTTCTGCACGAGCTACAAAAGCAAACAAAGCCACCAGTGACTACAATGATTATTTCTACATAGTTATTTTTACAGCTAAAACTCACCATAAATCACCACTTACAAATGTACAAATCAGATCAGCAAAACGACAGGGTTCTGTTAAAGTTCATGTAAACAAAGACTCCCTGACAGGAAGAAAAAGCTGTTTGGACATTGTTAAAAACAATTGTTGGCAGATGATGTGCCGCAGGGTAATAAGTTGTGCATGGTGTCTCTGTGTTACGGACTACTGTTTACACAGGAGAAAATCAGGGATCTGGTCTTGCTCCTTACTTGTTCAAATTATGCCCCACCACATGTCAGCCAGCTTCTCCACAAAGAGTTTTGGGATTAGTTTGATGTGGTTTAGGGATTTGAAACTGGATATCATCCCCCACAACATCAGAAGACAGTGAAAAACAACTGGTGGTAACAGTGCGCAGAAGACTGCCCTCTGTGACTCCTCTGTTGTTGTCAAAGCTCAGTGCTCGACAGACTTGACTACAAGAAAAACTTATTTTTCAGACACTAAATCATATCAGCTGACCTACACATTCTTTACTGTCTTTTTACTGCCTCCGGCTCTTTATAGACACACGGCATATATTTAGAGGTGGAGAGTAACACCTGGTGAGGTATTAAGGGGGCATTTCGTGACTTTATAGGCACACTTAGACTGGTTGCAGTCTAAGTTAGGTAAATCAATAAACACAAAAATACCTATTTTCATTCAACTGGGAAATGAACCTGGATCATACACATTTATTTCTAAAGCTTACAGTTTGATTGTGCAACATAAATGTCAACATTTTGCCACCAAACGTCGACTTACCTGGTAAAGCTCTGTTTGTCCTGACATTGCAGAAATTGGCAGCTTAAAGTCGAAAGGCAATCCTGCCTCTGACGTAACGTTGGGAAACCGACCCGCATGATTACTCAGGGGACAGTGCAGCACTGAGCTTTGATTGTGCCTCACGTTTATCAGCAGCACAAACAATGTGAGGTAGAAGTCGGGAGTTTGAAGTAAGAGGGTGAGCTTCAGCTTGTCTGGGAGGTGACCCATATCCTAAATAACATGAATCTCACTGCACTCGTTTTCTATTGTCTTTTCAGCCTTGCATTTTTTTTCTATTTGGCCAGTTAGATGCTGGAGCACAACAATCAAAAACTCACCAGACACCCTGAAATGATTCAACTTAAAGCATCATTTTTCTAACTACATGGACCCATGATCTTGAACCTTTCTCAGGCAAAAGTAGATCCACTGCACCAAAGCTACAGCAATAAAGAGCATGCAAACCATTAGTGTCATGCATAAAGTTCAAACCATCGAATTATGTCAAGCAAATCTTTGCCAGCTGGAAGATTTCATCATCTGCTGCTGCTTACTGAGGATAACAGCCGCTCCTCCTATAATATTTCTGCAGTCCAGCATGTGTAAAAAGAGGCCAACAAATCCAGCAGACCCGGTGTGATGTTTCGCCATAACAAAAAATACCCAACAAGACGCCGCCAGTTAACTCCGAACAGTGTTTGTTTACATCAGGGCCGAACCTGATCCTTAGAGCAGACACCACAAGAGCTCTTTCTCAGATGATTCTTTATGTCCCTAGAGGTCCAGTTACAAGTCAGGTAGTGGTTACTAGGATACCTGCAATACTACCTGGGACTCTATCAACTACTTTTGCAACTTAAGGTGACAGATGGCTGATTTTCTTTAAGCCTTCGGCACATCAGATCAGAAACTTGTTTTCTGTTAGAATAGGCCAGATTGTCATGCAGGCAATTGTTCAGTTTGGTTTGAGTTGACTGAAAATCGTCTTTAAACTTGGCCGAATTCATCCCAAACATTACCAGATCCAAGATTCATCAGTTTGAGCTACTGTGAGGAGCTTTTGGTTGACATCGTTCTCCGTGACCCCCTGGGCACAAAGTGGTATGTTGTCTGTTTACTGATCTGCTCCTGTGCATGCAAGGGTGGAGTTATCTGACAAAAAAAAAAAATCTCATCCTGTTTTCTTTTGTGTTTGATAAATCACATGCAAAAATGTTTCAGGAAAAATCTGTGCTTGTAGAAGGGTGAATTTGAACTACGATAACTTGACGTAAAAAGTTGGAAAAGTGTTCTGACACAGCAATAACCAGGTAAAGTTATGAGTGATACTGTGTTATTAAACCCATAATTCAAAAGACACCGTTTTTTTCCTTTTGCCTTAAGGTAAAATACATTATAAAACTTCATAAACATTACTATAAGCTGTAATTAAGGCTTATAAACATTTACAAGGGTTGTTATGAAGCATTACAGATGATTTATAACGCATTGTAAGAGGTGGGCTCATGTTGAGTGTTAACAACATGAAACATGAAAATATTTGATAATTAGAAACAAATATAAGATGCAACAAAGGCTGGACTTGTATAGTCACAATTGTCTTTTAGATTTCAACTGTTTTTTTTTTTTTTACAAAAAGTGAATTTCGAGTATTTCAAACATTTTCAGTAGAAAGAGACAATTAACAATAAAAATTCTTTTGCACACTAAACCTCTCTGTCGCTCGTCCTCCAACCAGTTTTTCTTTTTTTTTTTCTTTTTCCACAACCACTTCATGCAAAAATGTGAACATTACAAGTTTGTCTAGTCTGTTGACGCATGGCAGTGTAAGAAGGTGGTCTCCTTTAAAGGAGACTTGCTGGTGTTTATATAAGATTATGGTGCATAAATGTTGCTGAATCTACATAGTGTGCCTTTAAAATAAACAACTGTGTCCCTCTATTGGCAGAAATAGGACACTCAGAAGGATGCTGATTTAAACTACATCATGTGATTTGAGATTGAAGATTATTTGCATAACAAAACAAAAATCGAAACAAAGACCTAGTTAAGATTTAAAAGCATATCACACATGAATGAAGAATTGGAATTTATTATATATATTAAAAAAAGTTTTGTTTTTTTAAAAGGGTCTTAGATGTTCTTCAATCAAGGGTCTGCACTGTTCCTTTCAAAGACTTGTTTTGTCTTGCTCCAAAGGTTTTATCATCTCAGCCCATGTCTGTGTTGTCTATGTGAATCCTGTCCTTGTCCTTGCTCTTTTGTGACAAAAAAGAAAATGTAAACTATCTCTCAAAGGTCGCAGTTTTGAGTATTTGTCGTGCTTTCTCGTCTTTCACACAAGCCCTCATTTCTCCATGTTTCTAAAGAATTTGCGTTGAAAATAGGGAAACACTTTGCAGTGTTGTTTCTTTGGTAATCGTGCACAAAGTATAAGAGGAGCCCTGAGGATATAGATAACGTTACCTTAATACTTGTAAAATACAGACAAGAGAAAAAGTGGACGCTAACACTTACAAATAGCCACAAAGGCAAAAACTCTGCCTTGCACAGAGATGCCAAATAAAGAAGGTTTAATGGTTTCAACTCTGGCTTCTGAACAAACAAGATGACCTGGAAAAACAAGCTTAATGACTTTTGATGCTTTTTTCGTGTTTTTTAACAAGAAAAAGAAGCCAGGGTATGATAAAAGGTTGTAAAACATCTGTAATAAGATGAGCATGACATAATTTCTAAAGTGTGGCTCTAACCTTGTAGAAAATGAAAGCATAAGAAGAACAAGAATTACAGGCTCAGTGTGATGCTTTTTTTTTTTTTTTATCTATCAGTCCTTCTGCTAAATATTATCTCAGATTACTTAACAGTATGGCACAATTCAAACAGTCAGAGTTTAAGTAAGGATACAAAACAACTATGAGAGAGATGATACAACCTATGTAAGAATAGATGTGCAGAGACAGCAGTCAGCTTTAAAAACTTCTCAAAGAAGACTCAGAAAAACACTGGCCGATCGGAACTATACAGCTGAAGTTTTGACCTTAAAGGATACAGGATAAAATTCAGCTTTTCTCCGGGTCTATGTCAAGGATACATCAGAACAGGTGGGTGTTCATGGACTGGCTGAGTTACATTAACCTGCAAGCATTGCTGACTTCTGGCTTTGATATAATTGTGGACTACTCGAATATGCACATGGACTGCCTTTGCTTACATTGTTAACTTCTAACCTGCTGACATAAATTACGGCTTGCGTTTTTGCACAGGCAGCCAGTAGGTCAATATTATTCACTTATCCCCTCCCCAGCATTGCTGACTTTTAGCCTGTAAACACCACTGGCGGCTAGTTTGTGAATGACCAAATTTAACACCACTCTGTCATGTTCTCTGTTTTTAGGGTTATTTGATGATAAAACAATGAGATTAGCATTAATTTTCTGGTCATGTTAACAGAACAAGTCCAAGATTTGGGAAAAGCAGACAAATGCAGTAAATGACTGAGTGCTGCTGGGTGGGAGCACAGAGAGGAATCTTGAGCTGGAGGGGCGGATGTTTAGAGCACACTTTTCAGGTTTTACTTCCCTGATGGACAGCAAGGGTTAAAACTACACCTGGTCTGTTGTATTTAGAGATAACAAGTGGGTGTACCTCCATATTGTTGAGGCAGTTGGCTTTAAGGACCACTATACGTACTTGTTCTCAGCTCTACACTATCTGGGGCCAACACAGGTAATCCAATGCTTTGTAATGGGATTTTTGTGAGGGGAACTGTCACCTAATATAACAGGTTTTCTTTCTTTTAGATGATAGGCTTTTAAGACACTCAGACAATGGCAGAGCATTGAAAACAGAGTGAACATGTCTAGAGTGGACAGTTACATTTTTGGATGCACTGGAATGCTTTAGGCTTTTATATTTGTACTGGAAAACTGCTCAAATATACTGTTTTTATGTAGGTTATATCATGCAAGCTCTGTAAATGTCACAGGAATCCTTCAGAAAATGTTTGTCCTTTACGTTTTTTCATATGTATGCATGTATGTTTTGTATTTCTGTGTGTTTTGTTGCTGTTATATGTGATAAATTCCGCTCCAGTTTGTCAGTGGTCCCTTGTTTAAGCTCTGAAAATATCTGATTTGCTGAGGTGTCCGTGTGAGTTAAACTTGGCTGCTCTAATTCAGGCACAAAAATTTGCAAGTTTTTTTTTTAAACAGTGTCACTTTGTTCCAGGTTCCCAGACTGATATCATAATATTAACAGATGTCAGAAATTCCACGGGGGTCAAGTGAGGCAACATCTTAGAGTGGGTGGGTCAGTGTGTAAAACGGGCTTTGTGTCCGAAATTTTCCACTCACTATCTTGTTTACTTTTACCGTACTTAGTGTTTCCGAATGGTTTATCAGCTTTGTGTCTGCAGTTGCTTCTGAGCATTATAGGGGAGGGTTATCTATCACTCCCAGTCTTGGCAGTGCTACGCACCAAAGCTCCTCATATTCATTTTTGGCACCTTTGCAACCTCCTTTAAGTGATACTTTAGTGGCAAAGTAAGACGATTCTTATTGTCTTTACAGTTATATTGGCTGAAAGCAATGTGAAGAAATTTCACATCTTCTTATGTTTTTTTTTTTTTTTGTATTTTTTTACCCTACAGACACCAAGGATGGCGGTAAATTGGCCAGGGCTGCTGTCCATTGGAGTATTTTATTTAATCGTGCTGGGCACAGGTATCTGGGCGTCCAGGAAGTCTAAACGTGAGGAGAAGAAATGCACAGGGAATCGCAGTGAAGTTACAATGGTGGGCGGGCGGAACCTCAGCATCTGGGTCAGCATCTTTACTATGACAGGTAGCATCTTTATGATATTATAACCATAATGATATTAATGAACGTCATAGTCAATCAGAGGCCTGATTTGTTCTTCAGAGCAGTTTTTGATGGAGCTTTGATTTAATCTATAAGTCAGTGGTGTAGGGGGATTTTTAAAGATATAACTCTTTTATAACTTCATAAACTTTTAATTCCGTCTACGTACAATAGATGGGCGTAATAATTTTGTTTGTATGTTTCTTCAATCCAGATGTGTGAACCTGTGTGCGCGTGAAAAAAAAAAAACATGCTTACCATTTTCTCATGCAAACTAGTACTTAAAAGGTAAAATGTATTATGATAATCTTTTCTCTCTTTTTATATATTTTTAAATGTACTTTTATATATTTTTTAAGATACAGATTGTTGTTTGTTTAGATAGTCTGTCAACTGCAGCCACTGTTTTCTCACGGTTATTGTCACTGTCATCTACACGATAATCTGACCGTTTGTGTTCTCCATTTGCGAACAAAAGGCAGGTTAGAGCACCTCAACTTCAATATCTTGATTTTCTAAAATAGCACAATACATCTTTGTATTTTGTAATTGTTTTTGATTGTTTAGTGTTTGGATTTTTTTGTCTGTGGTTTGAATAATCTAAATAAATAGCTATGTGTAACCACTGTCCTTTTTTCATGTTTCACAGCCACGTGGGTGGGAGGAGGTTATATTCTCGGTAATGCTGAAGTGGCCTATGATCCAACCAAGGGGTTAGTGTGGGCGACTGGACCCATTGCCTTCGCCATAAACATGGTCATAGGTGAGAGAGGTCAAAATCAACATGTGCTGATACAGTTAAACTAGAGGGCTCAGTACTTGCTGTCACTGCCAGCTGAACCCACAGTGATATTCATCCCTTATCTACTGCTTCAATAAATTACGAATTTAACATTTACAATGTTTTCCCTTGGATTAAAACAGATGTTTATATTTAAAGTGTGTTTTGTGAACTCCAGGTGCCCTTTTCTTTGTAAAGCCAATTCGGTCCAAGAACTATGTCACCCTCATGGACCCATTTCAAGAGAAATACGGCAACACTGTTGCTGCTTTCCTTTTCATCCCGGCGCTGATTGGTGATATCTTGTGGATAGCCTGTATTCTCGGTGCACTGGGTGAGTCAGAAACATGCTCTTTTAGACTAATTTCTTTTTTCAGCTCAGGTCAAACTTGGGGTTAGCTAATTCTGTCTGTGCCTTTGAGGTTACAGGAGGGACAGTTAGTGTGGTCATGGATATTTCCTCCTCGTTGGCTGTGAGCATCTCCGCAGCTGTGGCAATTGTGTACACACTGATGGGAGGACTGTACTCAGTGGCCTACACTGATGTTATCCAGCTCACCTTCATGCTCCTTGGCTTGGTATTTCAAATATTTTCTACGATGGTCTTTTCTTTTCATAGATTCATAAGGGTTGCCACAATTTTAAAGGTTGGCACAAGCAACAGTTAACATATGTTTTTAATACAACAGCTACAAAAAATAACCTCCCAGGCACTTGCAGCTTTGTTTTTCATGACCACATTGCAAACAGTGATTCAACTGATGTCAACAGTGACCAACATATTGGTGAAGTCTTCAATCCTATCTGCATCAGAGTTGGTTTTAAATATTTTCACGTTGCCATGGTTTAAAAATGAAAAAATCATCTCATCATTACAGAGTTGTTAGTTTTTCAGACTTTAAAGAGGAGTCAGGAATCACCAAGGTTTTTGGTACAAGGCTCAATACATGCTGGAACAGGCAAGGATTATTGCAAATGAAGCAAGAGGGTTCGTAGGTGCAGAGCATTACTTACTCAGTGTGTTTAGTTTTACGAGATTTGCATTTCAAGGCTCTAAAGTGTTAGTCTCAACTTGTTGCTGTGGCATTTAGACCAACGATAAAACAAGGTGTGATTTATTATACAGTAAAAAGATATGGGAAGGCCCTGAGGCAACATGTAGACAACAACATGAAAACAGAAGAGGTAATTAACGAAGGGTTGGGTTTTCATCCGTGTTTCTCATGTTAGTTTTGATCGCAGAGGAAAATAGCCGTTATAGTTCAATGCAACACTGTTGGCTCACTGTTTTCCTAACTCTATATCCTACTGTCCTCATTATTTCAGTGGCTCTGTGTGCCTTTTATCTTGACAAGCCCAACCTCTGCTAACTTTACTGTTGCTGCGGTCTCAACGCTGTACCAGGAGCCATGGCTCGGCAAACTAGAGCTTGAGCAAGCAGGTCGCTGGATAGACGATGTTCTGCTTTTGGTAATAATCATTTTACAACTTATTTTTGACATTTCTTTCCTTTCTGTCCATTACTTTTTAATTAAACCCAGCCATACTTCTTATTTAAGGCATTTGGAGGGATATGCTACCAGGCCTTCTACCAGAGAGTCCTGTCTACAGCTACTGATTCCCAAGCTAAACTCACTTGCTATGCTGGAGCAATATTATGCCCAATCCTTGGCATCCCATCCCTTATCATCGGGGCAGCAGCGGCATCTACCAGTAACTAGTTTCCTCTCTTTGCTGTCTTCTTATAAATGGATGTGTTTGGTTTATTTACAAGTGCTTACTGTCTGTCTGTCAGATTGGAACCAGACCAGCTTTGGTACACCCACCCCGTACGAGCAGGGCAAATCTGGCATGATCTTGCCAATCGCCCTTCAGCATCTTTGCCCTTTCGTTGTCTCACTGATTGGCATGGGAGCTCTCGCTGCCTCTGTCATGTCATCAGTTGACTCAGCTCTTCTGTCTGCTGCATCTCAATTGGGCCGAAATATCTTCAAGAACATTGTCTACAAACAGGTAACACATTTTCACATTCACACTGAGGTTTCTTTTGTTAATGGTTGATGGCAATACTAAGAACTAAACCCTATTGTTTATAATGGTTTCCTTTTCGAGGTGTTTATGAGCCCATGAGTGATTAACACTTCAGAGTCATGAGTGTTTTTGACCTGGTACTGCCTGAGGTCCTGAAACTGATGGACGATGAAATTCCTAAGTTCTTAGCAGTTTTACCCTGAAGAGCAGGACTCAGAAATATTTAAACTATTGGCTCACAGACTAAGAAACCTTACCCCATCTTTACTTCTGACTCAGGTTATGAACTTGTCACAAACTACAAACACATGAATATTCTGCATACAAACTTTTTTTTTTTTTTTTTTGGGGGGGGGGGGGGTATGAAGACATTATTTGAGACTTTTAAGGTTTCTTTACTTGTAGAAATACCTACACATTCAGGCATTAAGTAGCCCCATCATTTCATGACCAGAGGCAGGATTCTAACTGCTCATTTCTGCTTCCACACGTTCTCTCATTTTGAGGCTAATCGATCAAAAGACCACAGTAGTTCTGACTACTTTAAAGCAATTCAGTGACTTATCGTTGGTTTTCATCTGTTTCAGGCCTCAGAGAAAATGATCATCGTGGTGGTGAAAGTGTCGGTCTTCATCTGCGGGCTTATGGGAGCAGGCCTGGCGATGTTATCGAGGTCCATCCACCTTTTCTGGATAGTCAGTGCAGATGTGTTGTATTCGATGATGACTCCCCAGGTGACTTGCATCTTCTACTTATCTAAGTGGGTCAACAAATACGGGGCCTGTTCTGGTCTCGTGTTGGCGATCCTTCTAAGAGTTCTGGTCGGGGAACCCATGATTGGCCTTCCTGACGTGCTGCCTTTGCCATGGGACAAGATACAGGAGGATGGTCACCGGTACCGCTTGTTCCCTTTCCGCACCGCCATTATGCTCATCACCACAGCAACTATTCTGTTGACATCACGCATTGCTACGTGTTTGTCAAAGAAGAGGGGGAAAAGTGGTGCTGAAGAGGACAAAAACTCGCACTACATGGCACCACTCCAGACAGAGAAGGAGGAAATGGAGAAACTGAACAAAGAACAGAGTCACTCCTCTTCACAAGAAAGAGATGAGCTTAATGAAAAGAGTTAGGGATTTTTATTTTTTTCTAATTTAGTATTAGGTGTTTCAAAAAGGATTTTCTTTATAAGGGTTGTGATGGACTACTGAAGACTTTGCTCTGTCTCAGCGCGAATGCTGTTTTATATTCTTTAAGACAAGAACTGTTGATACTTGTACTATATGATTACTCTCTGATGAAGTATTAAATCTACTTTTCTGAGTTATATTTGGATGTGTGTAATTTACTCTTTGAATGTCTAGTTCTTCTTTTAAAGCTCCTTTGAAGAGCGTTTAGTCAACAATGATACTTATATACTGATACTAACATATAGCGTGTAAATGACATAGCCTACAAAAGCATATGGGACTACCAGAAACAAGATGGATAATTTCTGCGAAAGAACTGTTGACGGTTGTTATTGTTGCCATTGGTAACAGATGAGGTGATTAACTAACTAAACAGCCTAACTGCACTGTAAAGAAGAAAGGTACCATTTTAGCTTTGAATCTTAGATTAGATGAACATGTATATATACATACATACATGTTCACGTATGTATGTATTTGAATTTTGTATGAACACATATATATATATATATATACACACACACACACACACACACACACATATATATATATATATATATATACACACATATATATATATATATATATATATATATATATATTCATATTACGAGGAGTACTTTCTTGACCTGATAAACTATTTCAACAGGTTCAGCAATAAATCTACATCCTGAATAACCATAACTACATCTTTTTGATCTGTGAGGTGCTCTTCAGTTCTGTCAATCAGCTATATCACCGACTTTATACTGCGGCCTGAAACACAGTGGCTCTTAAACCTGAAGACCCTGTGAGGAATTTTTAGCTGTTTCTATGGCTGAATTCAAAAGTGATGCCGTTTTACCTGCTGTCAATAGTCCTGTCTGATACATAAACCCAACAGCACTTACAGATGTTAAAATTTAAAAACAGGAGTTGTCAGTTTGTCAGAGATCACGCACAGTTATACTAAATAAACATTCTGACAATTATTTACATTTTCAGTTTTTATTTGATTTTGTCTATAAAAAGACAAACATTCAATCAGTGCCGAGTAAACATGTGGCTCATTTTAACTCTTCATGATTTCCTGTCCTTTCTTGGCTGTGTTTTCGAATAATAGTTTTGCATAGCTTTGAGAAAACTGCAACTACACTGGTCTTTTAAGCGTAAATAAAGCCATGGTGTTCATGTTTAAATACAAGGCAAACAAACCATAAGCACAATGAATGTCCCAAACTGCTTCATCGAGAAGACTGGAATAAATTCAGTTTTTTGCACACCAGCTTCTCCTTTATTCATGTGTTTGAAGGTGCAACCTAAAAGTGTCTTCTTGCCTGAATATTTTGCCACATTTTAAACACTGGAAGGACTTGGAGGTTGAGTGGATCTTTATGTGTTTTCTCTGCGCTCTCAGAGTATGAAATGCTTTTGGACACACTGAACACTTGTAAGGATTCTCCCCTGTGTGTCGGCGCAGATGAACCGTCAGAAAGCACTTGGCAACAAAACCTTTCCCGCAGTATTTGCACGTGTACGGACGCTCACCGGTGTGATACCTCGTGTGCAGTCTCAACTCCCCAGAGGAGAGGAAAGTCTTGCCGCATTCTGTACACAAAAAGTTCTTTTCTCCGCGGTGCATTCGCATGTGTCGCGCCAGATGCTGGATTGAAGTCTTTCCACAAATGTGACACTTGTAGCGTCTCTCTCCTGTGTGGATATGAACGTGTGAACTGAGGCTGTGTGAAGTCCTGAAGCCCCGGCCGCAGTGTGAACACAAATATGGCGTCTCACCTGTGTGGTTCCTGCGATGCACGTGCAGGGATGCCATGGACGCATATTTCTTGTCACACGTGTCACAGTGGAATGGCAGTGTGTGTGTTTTTGTGTGGCTCTTTAAAGTGGAAACATACTTGAAGACCTTCCCACAATACTCACAAATGTTTGCTGAGCCTTTGATGTCAGTAATGTACACTTTGGTTTCTGCTCTCTGCGCAACTTTGGGTTTTTTCCACTCGTTGGGCTGAAGTTGGCTGGATTCCTGTGGCAGGTGGACCTCTCTGATGTGTTGCAGAAGACCAGCGACTTTGCTGTCTGAGTAGGAGCACAGTGAGCATGTCTGCAGTCTTAAAAGTGTTTGAATGTTGAAATCTGAAAAAGAGAAAAATGTAGAGGTCAATTTCTGCATTAAAATAGGAAATTTCATTTTTAAAAACAATTGGAAAAACAGATTTTTTTCATGTGTTGATTCTTGTTTGTGAAGTAAATCTCTGAGATCAAAACATATGTATTAAAAAAAACACAAAGGCAGCGATCACTTACTGGTGCACTTTTCAGAAATGAGCTCCTTCACTTGTTCATTTAAGCGTTCATCTTCTTTGCTGCAGTCTTTCAGAATCTGAGCAACTTCATGCAGACGTCCCTCAGCAGGCTCCTCATCCTCACTGGAATAAAACTGCTCTTCCTCTTTCTCACCTGCAGCCGATTCCTGTTGTTCTGAACAAAGTTCTCTTTTGGGTTTTGGAGGAAGAGAAAGTCTTGGCAAAAACATATTTTGAGTTTGAGAGTAACCTGTAAAAATAGAAGAAATATTTAAAGTCATCAGAAAAGCGAAGGAGATATTGAGATGTATGTTTGATGCAAGCAGTAAAGACGGAAGAAGCATTAATTCAAGAAAACATATACATGTATTGTGCATGTTTAAGTGAAGTGACAGCACTGTATGAAGTGATTAACAGTTATATAACCCTATAACGCATTTATAAGACTTTATTTAGCAGAACTTTATAAATCATAGCTTTATAAGGCATTATTCTCACTACATATAAGACTTCATAAACCTTGCCATAAGCTGTTATGAATGCTTATCATATCAATTTTTTCTTCTTTCTTGTGGAACATTTTTTTTGCTTAGCCTGTCATGAAGCAGAAAAAAACCCAAAACATAACAAAAAAGCAGATTTTAAACAATCCTCTGACTGACAGCTTTTTATTCACTGCAAAGAGTCTGAACATTTGGACACTCAATGTTTTATAACCAACCAAAATAAGTTTCTTTTTAGATGACTCACTTTTGTCTGTGATTCCTGCTTGTTGCTGATGGAAACTCAAGAGCTCCTTAAGCTGATCCCGTTCCAAAAACATTTGTCCACATTTCTCCACGACAGAGGGGGCAGTGCTAAGCCACTCTGCAGTCTGTAGGGAACATGCAAAACTCATCATAGACATACTCTCAACCTTTAGTCTTTTGGTTGCTGCTGCTAATTAAACTTGTAGTTGTCTATTCAGTCCAGGAGTTTGCTTGATAGCATTGATGATAGAGTTCCAATTTTGTCCGAAGACGTATTCTACATTATTTGGGATTTTAAAATACCTGTTTAATATCTGGGACAGGTAGAAGATAATCCAATCTTGTGATGAACTTCCATAGTAATGCCTTCAGTGTAGCTTGGTACTGCTGGCCATAATGAAGGGGGAAAATGTCCTGGAATAAAAATGGTAAAATGTCAGTGCAAAGTGCTGGTATTAGCCTGCATCATTTAGAAATTTAACCAAAACATCTGTCTTTATCTACTTGTTTATTTCTCTCAATGTCTGTTATTTAAAAATGTCACAATCAATCGAACAATCACTGATCAGAAATTACTGTAAATATTTTACAGTGATGAGAATGTCAGACCTTAAAAAACACGGTCCTCTCTTCTGTGTCCTCAAGCAGTCTCTGAACAACCGCCACAAAATTGGACTTTGAGTTCTCCAGCTCTTCTAGTTCCTGTTGATTGATGCGAAAATCACAACTTATTATAGGTTAGTTTCTTAAGCTTGTTTCTGAGTGTTTTTGGATCACCAACATAAGGCACGAGAGGACGTAAAGCAAGAGAAAAAAACAAAACAAAACAATGAACGCTGAGTTTCTACAAGTTTAAGAGTCTGCAAGAATCTGCTCTCTTGAAGATACTGCAAACCTGAGGGATCTTTGCCATTTTATCATCAGTAAGTTTAATAAGTATTGCAGCTTAAGTATATATAATAGTGCAGCTCCTCAGGTCAATCTATCCTCCAGGCTCTTGCTTCAAATAACATCACCATCAAGTATGTCTGCACCTGTTCCTGAAGTTTTCATGAGAAACTAGTTTGCTGAACATGTTATTGCTGTGCTACCTATTGGACCCACAGAACCCCTTGTACTGCATGCAGAAATGAACATAACTCACCAGAGGGTTGATATTTCTACAAAACAAAGAGCTTCAAATCTAAACATCCACTAACACAGGAAATTTAATTAGGATCACTGCGAACGGCTCCTGTCTACACCCCTGTTACGGCTCTGCAAAACTATCTCTTCCTACATCTGCACTTCGATGCAGGAGGAGAGGGCGAATGTAAACATGAACATCTGAACTGCGATACAAAGAACGACAATTGGGAGCAGTCATAAACAATGTGGGGTCTTTTTTGACAGACAGAGAGGAGACAATCCCTGCCTCAGGTGGAGTGAGCTGGATGTGTTCTTAATGATCTCTTAAAAGGACTGTAAAGGTTTAAATGTGCCTTTATTTGGACTTTAAAAAGATGCCCTTTGACCTACCACTGTTCAGAAATATTTCCCTTCTGTTTCCTATCAGGAGAGCAGATGGGCTTATCTGGCAAACTCAGAGCTTTTTCAGTGTTTGGTTCACTCAGCTGAAGAGCTGCTAACGCGCTAAAGGTGACAGGTGAAGAGTTATATCATCTGTAATCAAGTTGAAAGTATTAATAAGTGAAGCTTCCAGAAGCTGTGATTGCAAAGGCAGTGTGCTTAAAGCATTTCATTAAGCAAACATAATCAACACAATGTAGAAGTTTAAATCTGACACTGTTCTCTTTATTCTGCATGTGTTCACTGTTCTTCATAGGTCAGAGGTCTGGTACTTATTCCACAGTTATTTGACTAAGATTCACTTCTCTGCTGCTTTTATCTACATGATCTGTAAACACTTTTCCTCTCCAGACACAGACTCAAATACATGAGTTTGGAAATTAGGGTTAAAGAAAAGACCCATTGAATATGTTGAATATCAAGAAACTGCTGTGATTGTCGCATGGTCTGGCTCTGGTTAAATGGTTCCCACAACATAAACAAAAACATAAACATACAGCAAGTGAACGCTTTATAGATATTTTATCCTGTAATTTGACACTCAGTCAGTCATACTGAAAAAGACAGAAATCTAGAAATCACATTTAATCTCTGAAGGTTGTCTTTCTTTATTTGCCACATACCCCTTTCTCATGTCCACTGATAGATATCTGAGATCACATCAGGAGATGTGTGGACAGGAGAGAGGGGTAGACAAGCATCACAGGGCCAGAGGCTGTGAGTGGAGCTGGAAGCTAGTGGGTCAAGAACTGTAGCCTCAGTATATGAGGCGCTCACTCTACCAGCTGAGCTTTTTAACTTCCTACAAGGTGTGTGTTTGCTGAGGAGAAACAACTCATTAAGATTCTCATTCAGAGTTAACATCTGTGTGAGTCCTGGGTGAATCATGAAAATCAAGCCAATGACATCCAGGGGTGGTATTTGGAAATTAAGTTGAACCACTGCCAAGATTAACGTTGGTTTCTGCTATCTGATAATGTTAACGATGGTTGTAGACTCAACATGGTGGCTTGATTGTTATGAATTGAAATAAATGATGACTAGATATATATCAATTAAATTCATTTGTGATGTTGGGATTTTTCTCTGCAGTAAACAGCACTTTACACATCATTTAAGGCGATAGAAGGACCGAAGGAGAATACTGCATTATTTTTGTAGTCCATCTGTGGAAGATTGTATTTATAAGAAAGCAGATCCACATTATATCAATAACATCTGCTATGTTTAAGTGTAATTGGATTTTCCAAACACCGCTGCTGTCTCTTTTCAGCTCCTTTTTTTGCACCTTTTCTCAACACTGCAATGTTTTCCATTAAGTTAAGACAACGTGGACAGGGAAGGACTTGAGGAGTATGTTTCTTACTTTTCCACTGTACCACTTTTTGTACCACTTCACACTTACCTCTTGATCACATGTGGAGCTGCTGAGGCTCTCAATGACAGATAAGTGAGGCTTGACAGTCAGCGGGTTGGCTGTGCTCTCACTGCGACACAACTCCAACACCATCTGAGAGACACAGCATGAAAAGAAACGTGCTTTAGTTTTTTATTTAATCCAAAAGTTTTATGTACAACGACTAATCTGGGGTCAAAAGGAAAAACTAATTCAACATAAAATAAATATAATAAAATGTTTTCATGGCTTACCCTTGCTCTCAGTCTGAGCAGTATTTGTGCTTTCTCTCTGGATGTTAGCAGCTCAGGGGCCAGTTCTGTCACCACCCTCACCAGCTCCTCCACCTTCCCATAATGCATCACATTACAAGTCTGGACAACGTGCCACATAAAGGCGCACATTAAACGCAGTGTGGGAACGAGGAGACACAGTGAGGAAATAGACAAGCTGCAGCCTGCAAATTAAAAAAACAACCATAAATCTACAATATGTTATCAAGTTGAGTAATAGCATCATTACCCTGTTGAAAATTCCTTGCAGTCAAAAACCTACTACTGCCAAAAATCAGATTTGTCTTTCACACTGTAGCCAAAGGGAGGCTAATATCCCACATGGATCATGAAAATGCACCAGATGTTCACAGAAAGGGTGCTGCAAAATGTTTCCTTTCTGCTGAAATTATCACAAAAGACTGTGGGTTCCTGCTGTGCCTGTTTGGTTCTTTGCTTCAGTGAGAATAACTCATATAGTTCCACTTAGACCAGAAAACGTTTTTTTAAACATTTTTGAGTCTTACCTAAGTCTTCCACCGTGTCAGAAAGCTTTAGCTGTGATCTCTGCACAGATTCTGTGTGTGTATTTCTGACTTCAGCTGCTCGCTTTTTTGTCACATCCTCTGACTTTTCACGACCAAGGACTTTATCCATGATGGTAAACCATCTTCCTGTTGGTTTTATGAAGTCTTTCTGTTTCTTGATCATTCTGTACTTGTCTGTTAGCAGTCTTATTTTGGACCTGCACTGACTGGTGGTCTTATCAAAGCCCTGAGTGGCCAGGTCAGAGCTCAGCTGGGCAAACACCCTCTCATTTGTTGGAGCTGATCTGAGCTGCTCCTGGACGTCGTCTTCTGCCCAGCGATTGAGCAGCACTTCGACTTCCTCTGATGTCCAAACAGTCATCAGAATTCCTGTGGAAACAAACAGCATGGGTTCGATACGGTAACATCCTTGGAGTGAAGGGGAGAAAACTTAAAATCTTTAGAAACAAACACACACCTTTCTCATTTTCATCGTCTGCTGATTTGACCTGTATCACAGCAGCAGATGAATCCACCTGTAGAGAAGCTGCTTCACCAGGTCCAAGAACACTATCCAAAATAGCAAACCAGTTACTGTTCACACTTCCATTCGGCTCTGTCTCTTTGATTTTCTTGTACTCCTCCTTCAAGTTAGTCACTTTCAGACTGCACTGCTGTGGCGTCTTGTTAAAGCCCACCAGTGCCAGTTCACTGCTGAGGTATTTGAAGACTTGAGTTTTAGTTGCTGTGTTGAGAAGCTGTTTCTGGATGTGTGGCTGTGACCAAAGGGTCAAGAGAACTTGGACTTCATCAGCCAACCACCGGGTTTCATCTAGAAAAGAAAAGAAAAGAAAAAAAATGAGAGAAGGAAGTTTGGACAAATATATATATTCAGACTGGGTTCAATTATTGGGGAAAATCATTATCAACTTTATAACAACCTCTATCTACTGGGAAATACTCATTTATACTGCACAATAATTACATTTTTATCTTATTCCAACCCATATCTAACTCATCTGCTCTTCTATCCTGTTGATATTTTTTTCATTGCTGCTGCTGCTCTATGAAAGCTTAAAAAACTACAATAACAAGCAGGCCTCTTATCTGTTCTGTAGGCTTCTTTTAAATGATGCACATCAAGACTGAGGTGAGTTGGCAAGCAGCAAACCCATGTGAGACACAGAGACTACAAAAAATGAAACTAACTATTGGCCAGTAATAGATAAAAAGGTTTAGAGATATGTCAACATTTTATCTAAGGGCGTCTTGAAAAACATAAGTTGCAGCTTGCTCTATTTTCCATGATCAGATGTTGATACTGATTAAGATGTTACACTGTGGTTAATGTGAACAAAAAAAAAAATAATAGCGGGAACTGAACAGTTCCTCCTTTTGTCCTTGGAAAGAGGCGGTTTCTGCATTGTGCATCATCACTTTAGAGCTTTACTCTCCTGCTAATTTGTTCTCTAGCTACACCTGCTGTAATTATTTAGAAATTGCATTAATAAAAAAAGAGAACTAATGTGAGCTAAATGGAAAGCCGTCCAAACTTTAGGATTTCATCTCTTTTTACCATTGTGATCCACATCCACGGTAGACTCCGGCTGACTGGCTGAGGGCTCTGTTGTTTCTGAATATCTCCCAGCAGCAGCCCTAGAGCTAAGGACATCATCCATGATGGAAAACCAAACAGTAGTGCGGGTCCTCTGCTTTCCAACTCCGTGCTGATCGTTTTTCAATCTCTTGTAATCCTGCTTTAATTTTTTGATCTTCTCCCTGCATTTCTGTGGAGTCTTGCTGAATCCGAGTGATTCTAGAGCGGCACTGAGGCGGGCATACACTTGATTGTTTCTCACGTTAAGAAGAAGCTCCTCTTGAACAGCAGGATTTGCCCAAAGTGTCAACAAGGCTTGGACTTCTCTTTTTGACCAGGAGCACCAGCGGGTATCTGCGGGTTGTGAAAGACGATAAACTGAGAACATTTAAAAGAAAATAAATTAAAACTTTAATGAGTGAATTCAAATATAAATATAGGATTTCATGGCAGGTCTGGAAGATCGTGCTATTGTTGCTTTGACCCAGTGATGCTTTATTTCCTAGACCCTTCTACCTTCAGGCTCCATCTACTTGCCTCTGACTGATGTTTGCATTGCAGTAGGGGCAGGGGGGGACACTGCTGTACTCGTAGACGGACCGTCAAAATCTTCTACTTGTCTGGGGTAGAAACCTTGTTCCTGTTTATTCTCTGCAGGGTACGATGGTGGAGCAGCCTGATGGGAGTTGATGAAGGTGCTGCTGAAACTATCAGGTATTTCTGTCAGAGTTGCTGCATCTGTAAAAAAAATTACATGACTAAAAGTTCACAGTTAAACACTCGGACACTGCAAATGCACTGATTTGTCTTTTGTTTAACCTGTTTCACTGGTTGCAGGTAAAATTGTGTTTATATGTATATGTGAAGAATTAATCACTTACTTGTCTCTACATCAGAAATGATAAACTTTTGAATCATGGTGGGGGACCGGTCCATGTCCTCCCTCATTGCTGGTCCTTCACTTAAGATAGAGTCCAAAGTGTCATACCATCTGAAACTCTTAAAATTATCCCCTCTTCCATGGCCATGTTTCTTTATTCTTCTGTACTCTAGTTTCAGCTTCTTTATCTTGTCCCTGCACTGTTTGGCAGAGCGAAACATACCCATGACAGTCAGTCTGCGAGACACTTCCCCATAAACTTTCTCATTTCTCACCGATTCCCCCAGTCCACACTGAATCTTCTCTTCAGACCACACTGCAAGAAGTGCCTGAGTCTCCTCATGAGTCCAGTTCACGTGGGCATTCATGTCTTTTTCCTGCTTTTTGTTGTTGCTCTTATAAAGAAAACTACATGCAGATGTAGCTCCTTAATGTTGTTTGTTTCAAAATGGCGCTCCTTCCTCTTGTAGCTATAATGACGTCGCGGTTTTTAAGCCAATCGGAGCGCCGTTACGTAAATACGTGGCTCACTTGGAGGCGGGGAGAGGGCGGGCACTAAAACAGATCCGTGTTCTCTGTAGCGGTGTGACTCGCTAACAAAGCCGTGCCGTACCGTACCGGGCCAGTGGAAATGTGCTTTTATGCCCTCAGAGAGTCCGACAAGAGACACCTCTCTAAATTAAATGCGTGTACCGCCATTACTCCATAAAATACAGTAAAATTCAATGAGAGTTTAGGATGTTTTCCAGGTAGTGTACGATGTCATTATGTCCTCGTGTTATTATTTAATTAACCCATTAATGCCCATAGCTAGATTTTATAATGTCCTTTTTGTACACCAGAAGTACTAGCTGAGTTAAGTATTAAAATTTTTCAATTCGGTCAAAGTATGTGGCTACAGCACCAGTTTTTCTTATCATTCTAACAGAAGTGGCTGTATCTCAAAAACTACAAGGACAATATCAAATTCTTGGTGCCGTTGGATTCAGAACAAGTTAAATTTTAATAATATGTGTTTTCATCCAGAGTAAAACTATTATTTAATAGGTCAACTTAATGGTAAAACCATTTTTGTGACTTCTTGCCTTTTTGACAGTAAGTCAACTTTGTGTAACCACATGTCTTGACAGTATTCTGGCAAATTTTGTGTCGCTATCTCTAACAGGAAAAAAAATCTGTGGGTTTTTTTCCTTAACATACTATATTTAGTATTTGGGCATAAATGGGTTAATAGCGTTTATACAAAGCACACATTATATTAATTTTCACTGTACACATTCATTTAGACACCAGTTTTTTTCTATGTGCATTTATTGTCAATAACATCCAAAAACAATAAAAAGGGGTGAGAATGGCAATGTGTCTGACTGTATACACAAGACATTGCTACTCACAAAAAAAGTCAAGTTAAACTTCACCACATAACTGCATTATGTTTAAAAAATGTTTCGTGTTCTCTCTGAATTAAAATGACCTGTTTTATGTACTAAATCATACCATCTACCACTTCTCTAAAGAGTAAACTAAGATGAATAAAAAAAAAGTGATAGTATTTAATCTAAAGGAAATGAAAAGGTCATAATTCAGGGTTACATAGAAAAGGTGTTTATGAGAAAGAAATTTGGATCACAATGATGTCCACAAAGATACAGTAACATATATCAAATGCTTCCATGTGACACTACAATGTTTTACATGGCAGACAAGCTATCTACAGTTACATGCTTTAAAATGGTTGGATAACTGTACTGTATACATGATGCTACTCTCTTAAATGTTTATGCTATGTTCAGACAGCATACTGAAAAGCACTTTCAAACCATTAAACAATAAAACCGATCAAAAACATTGTTACTGCTCTGTATATCTCAGTATGGCTTAAGGTAACTCAGTTGCTTCAACCAACCATGTCTCATTATTAAGATGTAAGAAAACAGCCCTGATGAGAATAAACACCAGCAATTATCGGCAATGATGCTCCAACCTGATTGGCTATTTTCGTAGTTCAAAAAGAATGGAAATTTGATTATCAGGTACAAATACCCAACATCATTAAGTCATCTTTAACATCCCAAACTATACTAGTGGCCTTACCCTATTGAATGAATCATTCAACTTGAAAATGCATAAATAGCATGGTTCTTTATGGGGTAATTTATGCAGTAGCTTTTTAAACTAGCTGTTTCAATGACAGTAATCAGCTGTTATTAGCATTAGCTCTAAAACATCTACAGAGAGTGTCCTTATTTAACATGAAGTGTATTTTTATTTGATCAATAATCATCGCTGCCTTCATCTTCCTCGTCGTACTTCTTCTTGAGGGAGTGCTTCTTGTGTTTACCCCTGTGTCTCCGTTTACCAGAGAAGTCGGGGTCAGCATCCCTCGTGTGCAGCTGCTCGTGCTTCTTCAGAAGGCCAGGGACAGAGAAGCCCTTTCCACAGGTCTCGCAGGTCCAGGGCTTTTTGCAAGTGTGAGTCCTTTTGTGGACGTTGAGATGGGACGCCAACTTGTAGGTCTTCCCACACACATCGCAGCTGTACGGGCGCTCGTTTGTGTGTAACCTGATGTGGACCTTCAGGTTTCCTACCTGAGTGAAGGTCTTCTCGCAGATAGAGCAGCGGTACGGTCGCTCTCTGGTGTGGATCCTCAAGTGGACCCTCAGGCAGTACTTGCTGGAGAATTTCTTCTGGCAAACCGGGCAGGGGATCTTAGCTTTAGGTACGTGATCCTGCTGGTGCCTCTTAAGGTCAGACAAGTAGACAAAGGTCTTCCCGCACTGGGAGCAGAGATACTGTCGGTCACCTATGTGGTAGCCCATGTGTCGCTTCAACAGGCTGGGGACGAGGAATCTCTTTCCGCAGCGCTCACACATGTGCGGGCGATCTCTTGTGTGCCAGCGCTCGTGGTTGGAAAGCTTGAAAGCTGTCGGGAAGCTTTTGTTGCAGTGCTTGCATGGGAACGTCATCTGGCTTGTGTGGCACTCCATGTGTCGTTTGAAGTAGGTGGATTGGGTGAAGCCCTTATTGCAGATGTCGCAGTAGAAGGGCTTTTGGCCGCTATGGGCCAGCATGTGCTTCGTCAAGCTCTGTAGTTTGGTGAAACACTTGCCGCACTGGCCGCATGCATACGGACGCACTGTGCTGTGTGTCTTCAGGTGGTTGTTAAGGAAGGCCTGGGTTCTGAAGCTCTTGTTGCATGCTGTGCAAACAAACGGCTTCTCTCCTGTGTGGATTCTCTCGTGGTCCATTAGCTTGGACTGATACGGGAAACTCTTATCGCATACGCTGCAGGTGAATCTGTCAGATGGAGGCCTGATTTGTTTCTTCCTTCTTATGCTTGGCTTCGTGTCATCAATTAGGTCAAATCTAGGTGGGGGGAGTGGAGGCAGGGCAGGGAGGGAGAGCGAGTTAGTGGCGATCTGAGACACCCACTGATGCAGTGTGACTCGTTGAGTCTGAGGCTTTTGGCCATCTGACTGTTTTTGTGCTGGAATAGTTTTGATCGGTACTTTGGCGACCCGAAAAGGGATCGATTTCAAATCTGGAACACGTTGGGCTTCAGGTTTATCAGGTGTTCTACCATCGCTGCTTTTCTGAGTTGAGTCAGGCTGCTCCTGGGTGGAGCTCTTCTCTTGCAGTGAATTGTCACTCTGAGGTGTTGTGTCTACACTCTTTTCCTTTGAGGGACTGACACCTACGCTTTTTTCACCATCATGCTCTTCGCTCTGTGGTCCAGTGGCATGGATTACTGGGCTGTCCGAGTCATCTGACATCACTCCCAAGTCTTCAGTGTCACTGTAAGAGGCTGGGCTTGTTTGGTTAAGGGTGACTTGTGATTGCTTTGGTGATTCTTGAGGTAGTGGAGGAGGTGGAGGTGGTGGTGGTGGGTCCACTGGTTTGGGCCTGAAGGCCAGTGAAGTAAGCACACAGTCGCCCACAGAGGACGAAATAGTGGCTGCACAAAGAGAAAAAGCTTTGCCAATTAAATTTTAAAAGTACTTCTTTTGACACTTTCTTTTTTCTGTTTAGGTATATGTTTAAAAAACAACATATGTACCTTTGACACCAAGGAGTCCTTTGGCCTGCTGGTGCAAGAGGAGAGTCTTCAGGTCTCCATGGGTGGGTATGAAACCTCCACACGCCTCCAAGACAGCTGGCTCTGATGAGATCATGGCACCAAGCTAGGGCACAAACAAGATGTTGGTGAGTTTGCCGTTAAGATTTTATTTAAACTCATAGTTTGAAACATGATTTAATCTATCTTGAAAGGAGGTGGTTTATTGAAAATACAAGTAGCATGATCAGACAAAATCCTAATAGATCCCAAAGAGATGCTTGATAAAGGAATACTTGTTTGTGTAAAGACATTCATCACAGCCTTAAACATATGCATAGAAACTTTTGTGTGTTGATCATTAGCTCCAGAAAAGACTCCTCATAACGATAAATAAAGGTTGTGTCTGGCTTGTACATTTTACCCCTGGAGCAGGGTCGGCTGGGTTAAGAGCACTGGATATCTCCACCCAGAGGTCTAACCTGCTGTGACTGCTCATTAAGTAAAAGCCAAAATGCGATCGTATGCATACCTGGGTCAGGTTGGGAACAGGGAGAAGTTGTTCCAGCTTGCACACCAGGCCTGCAGTCAGGGCCTGCAGCGCTGTATCAAACTTTGGGCCGTAGTGAACTGGAAAAACTTCCTACAAGAGGGGAAATAAGAGTTATGACAATGCGACTTTCAAGTTGTCATGTCTGAGAGAGACATTTTGATTCCAATGCACTTGATTGACCCAATGCAATGTGTCTAATGCATCTGAATTAGTAATGGTATGTACATCTACATGTCATCTCTATATCTGGTGGTCAATACAGAAATAAGCACAGTTGTTGATTCTATTGAGCAAATGTCATGATCCAGTACAGCGACAAAGTCCCTGAATAAAATCTTTATCAGGAGACTTTGCTTTGAGGGATGCCCACCCACTGTTGTCTTAAGGCATGTTTAGGCAAATGTGGATACCTGGAAAAATCTCTTCCTCTCAGCAGCACTTTTAAGCAAATTCTGGACCAGCACCATAAAGTTGGTTTGAGATTTTTCAACTTCAGAGTCTTTCTGCAACAAAGGAAAAACAACAACTTCAGTAAACTATGAAATGGAATTCTGAAGCCATCCAAAGCCGTGTTGTAAGCTGGCACAACTGTGTTTAAAATGGAAGAGAAAAAAAAACCTAGCCTTACCCCTAGGGTTGCTGACACCTTCAACTTATTTATAAGGGTCTGGATAGCCTTGGAATCTGGTTGACCTTCTTTGTGGAGCAAATCCAAAATGATCTGAGGCGAAAAATGACATCCTGGTTACACTTTTGAAAATAGAGGCTTTCATTTTTCTTTCCAGAATATCTGGTGTGACAATAAAAACTAGCTTTAACTTCAAAAGTCAGTATAAGGAAACATATGGAGTTAATAAACATTAGGTTTGATCCCCACTTTGATGCTCAACAACCCTGAGGAACAAAGACATATAACTAATTGAATAAAAGCAATTTAAAAAACCCAGAGGGCACGCATCACAGGCTCCATGTGACAGAGGTATGTAAAAAATTCAACTGTCTGGAAAGGGTTTCGAAATAACAGACAGAAAAGTGTTCATCAGACTTTGAACAAGAAACTGAGCCTTCACTTTAGAGTTATAAATTCTAACGTTTGATGAAGCAGAGTTGATGATGATGAAATCTCACCCTTGCTCTCAATCCCAGGAGGAGCTGGGCAGTCTGCTTGAAGTTCATAAGCTCAGGGACAGTCTGTGTTACCATAGTCACAAACTCCTCCACTTTCCCATACAGCTTCACCTTCCTCTGCCGTATGACCTGCCACATGAATGAGTAAGTCAGCTGCAGAGGGGAGGCCATCAAGCGAAGGGAGGCCAGGGGGATGGCACCTCCAGCACCTGTGCAGAAAAACCCATTCTTTAATATTATTCTATTCACTGTGGAAATGTGTCTGCACCCAAATTAGTAGTAAGAACCGTCCCATCTTAAAGAGATATTCCGGCGTAAAATTAATTTAGGGTCAAACACACTGTAACACCGAGTTAGACACCCCGTCGAGAGATGAATGTTGCCGATTGCTTGTTTCTCTAGTTATACCAACTTGAGTAATGACCGCACGATAGCAATACACAGCGGTCTGAGGAGCCATAAACAAACCTTAACCAAAATACCACAAGTAATGCTCAGAACAGCACCTAACTTCATCAACAGTACATATAGGGTCCTAGCCACAGTGCTAGCCACGGGGTGACGCAGCTCAAGGAAGAACATTTATGATCATTTCTTCATGGAAATGCAATCAGACTGAGACGCTAAGGCAGAAGAACTACCGCGTCTGCAGTGCAAAATGATTAATATGATGATTATTACTTCAAGGAAATGATGAAGTAATGATCATAAATGTTCTTCCTTGAGCTGCGTCACCCCGCTGCAGTAGATGGACTCGCCCGGAGGTCTCTGTACAAACAAGCGGCTGCTGGAAGAGAATAGGTGAGTTGTGTTTAGTCTCTTTGCCAAAGAAATCAGGCAAAGTTAAAAAGATGTTTGGTGGTTAGTGCTATGGCTGGGACCCTATATTTACTGTTGATGAAGTTAGGTGCTGTTCTGAGCATTATTTGTGCCTATAGAGTGGCTTTTTGTTTGAGTGTGTGGCTCTTTGTATTGCTATTGTGCGGTCGTTACTAAAGTTAGTATAACTAGAGAAGCAGGCGGTCGGCAACATTCATCTCTTGACGGGGTGTCTAACTCGGTGTTGCGGTGTGTTTGACCCTAACTTAATGTTACGCCGGAATATCCCTTTAAATTGTTACATTTCTGGTCCAAAACTTTGGCAAATATGTCTGCACCCATATTAGGAGTAAGAACAGTACCACCTGAAGTATGATATGAAAAGATACAGAAGTAATAAGGAAACTGCAGTTTCATATTAGATTGTTCTACAGCTGCTGCTTAAAAAAAACAATGTTATGTACTCACTTCACTACCTTAAATTTGCGTCTATATGCGCTCTGATTTATGTTGTGTGCAGATTTGCTCGCAGATGTCTAGACTCTGATCCAGACTACTCTACAGTGCACCCTCTACTTTGAAGCCGTGGTGTGGATCAGCTGTGGGGGCGCTGCAGAGCTCAGAACAACCCGCTGTGATCATGAGCTGCAGAGGAGTTCAAACCGTGTGCACGAGCAGCCGTGAAGAGAATGAGCGCCAAACGGCAACTGGGTTAGATTAAAACTTTAGTGAAGCGTGTGGTCGGTCTAGAGTGACTGCTGGGATAATAAAAGTTGATAGTAAGTAGCGGCCCACCAGGACATCCGGAGGGAAGGATGGATTCTTTTATAATCAGGGAGCTTGTTCAGTCCCTGCTTGCGGTTGTCTATCAGCCAACCGCCGAATACTGCCAAAATCGCTCAAACCACATAACTCCTCGCGTGTTCACCCGTGATTGTGAGGAAACAGTCGGTCTGCTGCAACAGATGGCTCACATTGCCTCTCATTCTGACTCCATTCACAGCAGATACAGCTAGCATGCTAACGCTAGCTCAGCAACTTACCCGAAGAACGTTTTTCCATCCTGAGCTCAGCGCGTGCAGCTATTTCATGAGTCCCACGGTCAGCTGCACAAACACACGCTGCAGTTTTTACACCAAAATATCAGATTTAAAGTATAAAAACCGTCTTATTGCCTCCGTCAAGCCAGGGAGAATAATGGCGACCGCTGGGTAGCGGCTTTCCAAAACAAAAGTCTGACTGTTTCCGGCGGAAGTTTCTGTACAAAATAAAAGCATGGTTAGTTGGGACGAAATGAGAGAGATCCTGGCGGTATAAGGAGTTTAAGACAAATTATCACATTATCCCTGACATTTTCTGTGATTAGGGTTGCATGTTGGGCACTCTGGTTAAAAAAAAACCCCTTCCATTCAACACAGTCAATATTTGTAGAATATTGAAAATATTAGTCAGCATGTGTGTTTTTTAAATTTCTAAAGTAACCAGCTTTATTTAAACAAACACTTGTACCTAAAATCAGAGCCGGCCCAAGCATAAATGGGGCCTTAAGCAAAATTTGATTTGGGGCCCTCTATTTCTGCCAATTATATTGATTGTTGATCATCCACACACCTTTACAAATCTCTTTGATTAACAATCCATGGCATGCAAAAATACCTTTATCTTGGTGTTTTTTCTCTTCTTCTTTCATCTTTCTTTCCTCTGCTCCTTAAGGATATGTCCTTTTTTTTTTGCGACATTGTTTTGTCCCACAACTACCACAGCAGAAGGCACATAGCGGTAGCGGAGCGTTGACATATTGGCAGTAAGAACCATAGGCTTACATCAGCAGCAGCTCTAAAATGTTTAACTCTCTTATATATGATCACACAGAAAGCGTTGATCATTCATGCAACAAAAAAAAAATTTAAAAACTTTTTTTTTGATTGCTCTTGGGGGACAATGATACACCAAGAGGAAAATGAACCATTAAAATGTTAATATTTTCAAAGTAAAATCTGAAAAAATTACAGTAACACCAAATTTTTGTTAAAGTTTTCCAATTTATTGTGCATTAAATTACCATATAAATGGGCAAAAGGACCCAGACACTGGCAATGAATTATGTCTTTACATAAAGAGGCCTGAAATTGTGACTTGACAGTGTTTTACAGAAATATTCAATCCCCTTTCAGATCCCTATGTTAGACATTTAAAGAATAAAGTATCTGTGCTATTTTTGAATTCCCTTTTTGTGCATGTTATGAAAACTTTACATCCTTTTGAAATTAAATGAATATACAATAATTCTTCCCTTTTATTGAAAAGATCTCAAAGATATATTCACACTATTTCTCATTTTCACCAACACTAAAAAGTACAACTACATATTTTTTTATCACAGACAAGTATTCCCAAGATTTACATACTGTAATATTGACAGTGATTTTTCTCATGGTCTATTTCCAGGGACCAAACAAAACAATGTCAATATTTCATAAAAGACATTGACCACATGGTCATTAAAATCTGTTATAAAATTGGTCAGAGGGAATCCATTTGAATCAATCAGCCCCATGTGACTCATTTGACACAGCACTTGTAAATGTGATTTTATAAGATAACTAAGGTGTAACTTCATGCAACATCCAACCATACACGTTTTGCAGTGACAGTTGGGTTTCTGCAACAGCAGGTTTTCTATGACAAAATTAAATCCTCAATGTACATTCATAGTTTAACTGCTTTCATTCATTTGAGCAATGCAGTTGTAAAAAAGTTAATTTGTAAGTGGTTTATCTTGTAAATAACTTAAATATTTCAATAAACAATACAACACAAAATACAAATATTACATTTGTACAAATTGGTCACTAGAAAGACAATAACACACAAAAGTTGGAGATCTTTTCTCCAACAGTAAACATTATAAAACACGTATATTTTTTCCATATTTGGATGATGTGTTTTGGAAGTAAATCATTGGAACTGTTTTTGAAATACTAACAATCCTCTGCAGATAAGGCTAGCATAGCCTGCGGTCTGGAAAGATTCTTTGCCTGTTGATTCATAGGATCTGCCGACATCAGTCGTGTTTGTATCTGGTATTTCCTCCAGCCTACGGCCAGTCCTTTTGTGACAAGAACAAGACTCTCTTATACTCCTAACTGAGCTCATCCCTCCATCCATCTATCCTTCCCTATCTCCCTCACTTTCCCTCATCCTGTCTGTCCCTGTCTCTTGCTCCCTCCCTCTGACACATCCAGCGCGAGAGCGCTCACTCTCGGGGAGTCATGTTCTTATGACTGAACATGATTGACTCAGTGGAAGAGGCATGAAAAACTCCAACACACTCACTGTGGCCTGAGCAGCAGCTATAGATCACTGGGCAACAGCTTTGAAATACAATGAGGGGATTCAAAGTGCCTCTGGCCATGGCTATCTGCCATCTGGTCAGATCTTTGATACACAAAGTAGGTCGCTTGTTCAACTGCTCAGCATGTTGTTTATGACTATCAGGTTCTTAGTTTGTGACAGATCACAGATCAGAATAATCTCAACAACAAGTCCAAGGCAGAGAGCAGAGCAGAAAATGTTGCGCCTTCAATGAGCCTCTTACTCTGAAGCATTTTTGCTGTGTAGCTTAAGGCTAGAAACTGATAGAAATACACTTGTCTGCATTTGTGTTAAAGGACATCCTCTCCAGCAGCCATGACTAAGCTGACAAATTGGTAAACGGGGTTTCATCAGAAATGAAACATCCTCAGACAGCATCTATTTTCTTTTGAGGCGCTTGTAAAAGTTTTATAAACACTAAAATTCAAGCACAACAACACTCTGAATCACAACAATTAACAGACACAGGACTGAAAAAATGAATTTGGCCAAGATGAGACCATTCATGTATTCCCTCAGCCACTCTGGTCAATAGACAGCCATTATGTCATAGTTCTTCCTCTGGTCCCCCAGAAACTCTTCAGATGGCTAAGTGCTAGCAGAATTTGGCGATGCACCTGCCCTCTCAGCAGATGATTTTTCTCTTGCACTTAGTTCAGAAAGCAGAAGAAGAGTGTCAGACCACACTTGTCTCTCCAGCGGCATCCTGAACAACCTGCGGATTGTTAACACTGCTCCGTTAGAGATTTCTCCTTGCCATTTATCATGCCTCATCCACTCTCGTGTTCAGGGATGGCCTCCCCCACTGGCTGAGTGTCAGCAGCGTGGGTGAGTGTTTGAAGTGGGATGGAGATAGACACACTTGGGATTGTGTCAGAAGGTGCCATTGGGCTATTTTCAGTGTGGCACACTGGTCTGTGCCTTCCAGATTTGACCTGGAATCAAAAGAGAAAGTTAGAGAATCACACTGGTAGCATGAACAATGCTCTTTTAATCTGTTTTCAGTGATGAGCTAATGACAGATGATATATCTACCACCGGAAATGATTACATAGGTAGTAACTGGGCCTCAAAGTACTACTGAATATTTGATGAGCGGTTGTTAACTTTACAAGAATTGCCTTCCTGGAAGTGCTCATGAAAATGAAAGCATTATCCTGAATTAGACCAACCCAACAGAGACCAAACGGACATGCAGTTGATGAAGAAATCCCCACCAAAGGGAGGTTTTTGTAATGACGGCACTTTTCCTATAATATTACAAAACCACTTGAGCCACTTAATGTTGGTTTATATAGAGCCTGTTTACATCCTCTCTGAACAGATAATTGTGAAAGAGCTCCTAATTGAGTTTTCAGTCTTAAAGAGGCAGACAACACAAACACTGTGCTAAAATTGTGTTATTAAAAGTAGACCTTTCACCATGCAATATTTGCCTGAATAGAGCAAGAACTTGGCTCCCCTACAGGGAGTACAACCTACTAGAGTTTCATAAACTGGTTATGAAACTGACTGAAGGTAAAACTGAGGACTTTTTATGACCAAACACAGCAATCCAGACCATCAGAGAGAAGTTTGGTTATTCTAAGACAATACTTTTATTATAATTTTTTTACGAATGTACCTGACAGGATTGGCAACAGCTAAAATGAAAGTCCACCACCATGTGTGAGAATAGTCAGATACAGTTTTCCAAGACTGGAGTTCTGTTTGAAAAATTAAGGATCAGTTATAACCTGTAATCTTGTAGAGGGAAAAGCTTTATTAAAAAACTGACTACCTTTATATCTGCTCAGTCCACCCATATTAAACCAGATGAAAAATGAACCTCCTCTTAATGAAAGTGCGTCTATGTTCACAATTCCCTGTTTTAAGGTTTCTTCTTCTTGATACATCACAGCGTTCATCGAAAGTACAGACTCTTTCAAAATAATACTGTTAGATTTGGGCATGTTTTGAGGTGTAGTGACTGCGGGATTAAAAAGTAGGTGCCATGGCGATTGGTTAGCCCAGTGGAGGGTTAATATGTATCCAACCTGATGTCTGATTAACAGCTCTCAAAAAGACAGGTGGGGACAGCAAACACGCCAAACTTGAGGCTTTAAAGCATCACTCCACAAACCAAGCCATGATGTCAAGGCTGTCAGTCCACCTCTTCTCTGTGTTATAAATATAACTCGATGTGTCTTTGTTCCCCATCTGTGTGGCTTACTAAAGACCAATTAAAAATGGCAAAATCTTTATTGAGTCGGTCCAATTACTTACCAGCCACACTAACATCACAACACAAGCTGTGAAGGGGATAAGAGCCAGAAGCAAAGGAGCTCTCTTCCACCAGCTGTAATCGCGACCCCTCTCCTGACCGCCTGGAAGACGGAAACATTATTGGAGATTTTCCTGACTACAGTTACACCATAGAAATTTAATACCTGCTTAGCTAATACTCTTGATATTTATTGAACTAGGGAATTCTAGCTTAGTTTAAGAGTAGATACTTCTCTTCTGAAATGGAAAGAGGAATCAACACCGACAAAGCTGCACAAGGCTTTTAATGCAGCTTTTGATCATATAAGTCCTTTAATTACCTGTATTGGCTGCGTGTTCAAGGTTACATATCCTCACCCCAAATCAATACCCACTCACAACCAGGCATCAAAGCGTCTTTGGCTGTGCAGACAACCGTTAGATATTAAAATGAATGACAAACCTGGTTTTGACTGTGGATTAAGGCATGGTGGCGGCTTGCAAGAGAAGCTGGTTGTTCCTTGAGCAGCGGTGTTTAAGACGTCTTTGATGTAGTCAAAATAAAGACCAGACATTAAGCTCCCCTCTCTGTAGTGACACTGGAAGACTTGCATCGCAGTTTCCTGGGAGATCAAACAACAAACAAGCAAAACTAAAATGACATAATGATGCATTTCATGTGCAAAACAGGCCCTAAATATCTTAACTGCTGCATGCTTTTCACTGAAACTGAGCTGCAGTGTGCATTCAAACATCCAGGCTGCAGTTTTTTCCTCACACTGCAAAGCCCGCTTTAATGAGGAAACTACTGTTTGTAAAAATGTAGCATTCATAGTTTCCTAAACTGCGGGTGACTTACCAGTTCTTCATGGTCAAAAGTGAAGCGTAAACTCTTTATCATGGCGATGAAGACGATGATATTTTCTTTGTTGGAGGAGATGGCACCAAACATGTTGGCCAGCTTTCGAAGACTTTGCTCCAAAGGGTAAATGTTTAACACCACCCAGCACATGCCAGCCTGGACATACAGGTGAAATGAAAAGACTTCACATCACGAACAAGCAATGTCTAAAACTTGATTCAGAATGGTCTGAAGCCCGAAACAATTGGGGTTAAAAGTCAACAGAACAAGCCGATCACACACCATATTAAACAAACCTGCCTCAAAGTGCCAGGTACATTTTCTCTCTACCTGATGACGCTGTGGCAAAATTCTCATTTCTGTTAGCATTAGAAATTGGATAAAACGGGCCCCATTGTTGGAAGAGAAAAGTAATATCCTGTCCTACAAGACTCCTCTGTTTCATGTCCAGGTTCTGCTCACTTTGTCATAATTCTCTCATTTGCATAAAGACCCACACATAATGTTTGTTTCCTGTTTGACTTTTTCATACGTACCACGTCTTTGGGGATGTAACTAACAGGAATCTCATAATCGGAGGGGATATTCTGCTTCTGCAATAAAGAAAATGACAGAAAGATTTAAGACACACCACATGGGGGGTGAGAGAAGACACATAAAAAGACTTCATGCTAGGAAACCAGTCAAAAATAGGTAAAACAGCCGGCTGTCTCTCAATCTTACCAATAACGACAGGTTGCTCACATCATCAGTAATCGGTGTCCCAAATTTTCCACAGCAGAGATTTAGACTTGTGAGGAGACTCAAGAGGACACAAGGTGCTTTCAAGATCTGATGGACAGAAAAAAGGTCAACATTTTATGTTTGATATCACCTGCATCATTTTGTATAAAAGCGCTAACGCGCATGTTGATTTCTATGAACACAGTTTGCATTCATTCCGGAAAAATCAAACCAACTGACTTTCACAGTCCACAGTTCCTGATGGCAGGAAGTTGTGGTTTTCCTCATGCCCACTGAAACATGCATGTAGCTGAATAAAGACTTTTGTTTCCTGCATATTTTTTTCTTATTTATCTTTTTTATGTGCATGACTTGGTGTGCAAAATAGAGACAGATAGACAACATTGAAGATGCTGGTACTATCAGCCTGGGTGCAGTTAAAACACATTATAAAATGCATCTCAAAACTGCTAAAATATGCATACAAACAGAAGTGAATAATGAAGGAAAACAACATAACTCCTACACATATCAGAATTACAGCCTTTTCCTCTTGTTTATAAAGACTTGCGTGTGGTTTCTGTCTTCACTATTTTGAGTCTCTTTCAATGTTTGATATTGCACCTTGTGACTGGCTTCTCTAAACAGAATGTTTCTTTTTTTCTTGTCCATGCTGCACTTATTAACCCTCCTCCTGTGTTAGGGTTTGCACCGACCTTTTTTTGATTTTAAATGCTTCAAAGAACCACTTAAATTAGATTTTTTTGCATCAAGACTTTCTGACTTTGTCAGGAACCTCTATTTCAATAAATTAAAAAATAAATTGACCAAATTATAAAAGTGCTCTTATTAAAATTTTGACACTTTTCATGTTAGGGTTGCTGTTGACCCGGTTAGATCAATATCTGATAATTAGAGCAAAAACTAAAATCCTAAGTGCACTGTCAGGCACCCCACTGACAGTCAGATCCTCTTCTAATCATTTCAAATTCTCATTTTTCCATGTTTTTCTCTGCACAAAAAACATCGGGCATGTCCAGATAGGTGAGATCAATTCAGTATAGATGACTGTGTGAGGGGTATATTGATAAAGAATGGCCCAGAGGACCACAACAAAAGATATTATAAGCAATATTTTCATGGATAATGAAGCCTAACCTAGATACGAGAACCAACTTGGATGAAAGAGAAATGTTTTGAGTGTAATATGCAGCTGATTTAAGACACGGGTCAAACCGACCCTTAACATGGTGGGTGCGTAGTCAAAGCTAACACAGGAGGAAGGTTAAATATCATTAGGTATTTGACTATTAGTGAGACAAAATCAAACTGTAGACATCATGGACTAAAGCCAGTTTTTGAAAGCCACTTTCAATTCACAGTATTATCAGCTGTCCTGATAATGTCCTGTGACTGTGACTATTTACATTACAGAGGCTTTTTCATAGTTTTATCTCCTTTAAAGAACCGCTGCAGCACTTAAACTTAACATAACGCGCAGAAGTGCAAAATCCTCAAACATTTGCAACATTTATTGGACAAAATTTGAGATAGAAAAATAGACTAAGCTTAAATCTCATACAAATAGACTTCAAAGTCGTCATTTAATGGGCATGTATGTGTTTCAAACGAGCCATCCTCATCAATTATTGTTTATGAGGAGGATAAAGTGGAGGCACAGTTGGGCTTCTGGGAGAACACATGCTGAATCCCTGTTCAATATATTGAGTGGAAGCAAACAGCATCTATGTATCCTTTCACTCCACTCCCCCTTTAAAAGGATGCAACACCAGCACTATATGGAGCAATTACTGCAGGGCTCTCAACGCGCTACAACACCACTTAACGTAATGATAAAGCCTCTCTAACAGGAAGTATTCTACCTTAAAAGGCACTATTTGTTCTATACTAAACTTCATAATTAAATACTATATGAACATAACTTAATTGTCGCATTAATAACTAATGACAGAAAACAGTTAGTGTCTGTGGATGAAAGGTTGAAATCCTTAATCAGCTAAATAGAAAAGTTGACACACAGTGGGATTTATCTGACATCACAACAGCTGACAAAAAAAAAAAAACTACAGCTGTGCAGGCACAATAATATGCACAAACATTTTCCTTTAAAAAGGCACAACAACAGCAAATTAAACTACAGCAAATGACCATAGCTTGATTGTTTACATTAGTCTGCACTCTTGAATAAAAGACAATAAAAAAAAAACTGTGTAAAAGAAAACAGGAATTAATAAATTCTGCTACTTACTTTCTTCCTCATATGGAGCAAGAATCCGTGGTTACTCAAATCCACTGCATGAAATAAAGTGTTTGCAGTTCAAAGACAGGGATCATTGTGTGCATGTGTGTGATGTCCAAGCGTGTAGTGAAACTTGAGGATGGGCCGGCAGTCTGCTTTCACTCCAGACAGATTGGTGAAGTCGTTCCTTTTTTTTTTTTTTTTTTTTTTTTGACGCGGTGGAGAGGCCGCCTACAGGCTGAGTCACTGTGTCACACACTGACGCTGTCTGAGACTTTTCCATAAACTCCCACGTTTCAATTTGTTCGTCAGGGGAGAAAGTGGGAGCTTGTTCTCTCGAGGGAATATTCACTTAGAAATATGTCAAGGTTATTCCCCAAGCTGTTGATCTGACTGAGTAAATGAGAGGACAAAAGGTCTTTCTTCATGTCATAAGGGTTGGGTGGGGGTTGGAGCCCCCGGCCAAGGATAGTTCAAATCTTCATCCATGATTTTCGTCTTATAAAACCTTTTTTCCCAGATTTTTCATACAATCTCTTTGCAAAATACAGGGCTTTTAAAGTTTTTTTTAATGAGTTAAAGCACAATAAGCACGATGCACACTAAATTAATGCATATTTCAATAATTTTTCTGTTTATTTTGACTGCTCATAAAAGGATGTACGAACATGATCAGTTTTCAAAAATTAAACCTCTTTTGTTTATTCCTCTAAAGTGTTTTTATTTATCAAGTTATAGTAGTAGGATTGTGTATTTTTTTGTGTTATTAGATTCTTTGTGATGTTAAGGTACAATTTTAGAAACCCAATCTAAAGCTCTTGTAAGGAACTCTGATTTGTGCAGATTTTGGCGCCCCCCTGTGGATGAAGAAGTTCCCTGTGTTTCTTTTCTGAATGTGTAAGCGGTGTAACGGCAACATATTCAGCCTTAAAACATAATCCTTAAACAATAATAATATTATATAGTAATATTATCATATAATACATTAATGAGGTTAAATAGATTATAAACCACTTTTTTATACAATATTATGCTTCAGTTTAAAACACTTTGTTACCTTGTTATAAGCTGTTATCAATCCTTTTAAACACTTAAAAGGGTTGTTATGAAGCCTTATCAGTGCATTTATAAATGTGCTTATGATGCCTTATAAGAGGTGTATTCATATAAAGTGTTGTTAATATCTGAGGAGGTTCCCCCTTTTTTATAAGGTCATGTAAAATCCATGGTCTGTTCATCATTTCCAATTCTAAATAAACACAAGTTTCAAAAAGAAAACTCAGAAAATGTTCCAGCCTGTAAGAAAAAATCATTAACCTTCAAATAATCTGCTGTGAGAACTATTAAAACTGTTTTGCACATGTACTAAATCAAGAGTGGTTGCATTGATTATGATTTGACAAAGTGACCTTATTGACTAACTGGGTGTTAAGAAGGACTTTGTTGTTTTGAGTTGAATGTTAATACGTGATAGGTGCACACTCAGTTTAGCTGGGTCATTAAAAGCAGGTCATGTCTAAAAATAACCCAGACAGCTTAGGACCCCGCAAAACAAAAACACACGAGTTGCAAGCTGGAGCGCCTCAGAGCGCACATTCAGATCAACAGGTGAGATGAATTTGATTGACTAACAAGAAATGTTGGATTTTGCAGCGTCCTCTTACACTCTAGATGTTCAAATGCATGACATGAAAAAGGGCGCCACTGTACCAAGGACCCTGTAAAGTCAAACAGGCTGCATGCTGGCAGCAACACGGAAAAACACAGACAGATGTAACTTACCGCAGCAAATTGTAACTCAATTTTGTACATAAAATAACATCATCAGAGATGAAGAAAGAACACATGTTGGCCTGCACTTTCTGCTGTGTCACTCGCTATAGAAATGGACGACTTTGAGCAGGAAGGCATAAATGAAGAACTTATTGAATTTGCCATCCGTGAGAGCATTCAGGATTCCTACAAGCTGCCATGTTGGACACAAACTAACAGGTTTGAGAGACAAATTTGTGTGGATGTCTGTTCATGTTTTCACTGGGAGTAACGTGGATCAAAGTTACTTTTTCAATATCTATTATTGTGGCAAATACACTGATGAGGAAAGGAGAGATTTTGTTTTAAATGTGAACTTTTGTGATTGTGTTTCTTGAGTGAAAGTTTATCTTGAACCCCTTCAACCCCTGTTTATTATTAGAAAAGAATCCAACAGTGAGGAATTTATGAAGATAATGGCGGCTATCCATAAAGGTAAGGCCCCTCTTTAAGTGTGTTTCATTATTTCAGCACCAGAATGTGTAGGTGGAGTTATTACATTCAGATAAAAGTTACAAGGCTTTGGTATCTGCAGCTTCATTCCACCTGTATTTATGTCTATGAACCCTCAGTTTCCCCTCATGAATATTGATGTTTCCTTGTTTTACCTGGTTGCGTCTCCACAGGTGACGTGAGTGCCCTGCAGGTGATGTCAGGTTGTACATCCGCCTTCAGAGAGAGGGACGGCAGGGGGTGGCTGCCTCTGCATGCAGCAGTTGTACAGCCTCAGCAAGAAATCCTGCAAACCGTGCTGCAAGGTGAGGACTCGATGTCACAGCTGGGTGCAGCATCTAAACAAATGAAGAGGAGAAAAAAACAAACAAACTCATATTCCACCTTTTTACTCTTCTGTGTTTTTGTAGTTGTGTTACAATTCACAGACCTGACCCTGGAGGAGAAGACAGACGATGGAGAAACGTTTCTGACTCTGGCAGCAGAGGCCGGCCTGGTGGAAAATATCAAGATACTGCTGCATCATGGAGCTTCACCTCACAACACCAACGACAGGAATGAGTCTCCACTGCTGTTGGGTAGCACAAACACACACACATGCATTTTACACTTCATGTCACATTTACTCATTACCTCTATATTCATGCATTGATGGCCAGAGGCATATCCAGACTTTTTTTATTGACCAGCTAGAAAACTGATTTATGCAGGAGTGGCAGATAAATAAGTAGCATTTATTTACTCTTCTGATCTACAACCACCATCAAAACAAGTCAATGTTTAAAGTACTTCAGAAATAGCGAGCAAATTCCTGTAAACTGTCAAATTTAAGCAGTTAAACAGTTTGCAGGGGTTTGCTTCTACTATCTGATGGATTTATTCATCTCCTACCTCATAAAATAGATGAGTGAAGAATTTTCTTTTCTGGTTTAGAATTTTAATGTAGCCGATCAGATTTCAAGGCGGGCCAATGCCACCCCTGGCAACTCCTCTGGATGTGCCCCTGTTGAGAGCAGAGAATACTATGCAAAGTACCCATCAGTGCCAACTACATTAATTCATACGCATTCACAGATTGTTGGCTATGGTACTGGGAGCGATTTAAAGTTTCAATATCTTGTCCAAGAACACTATGATATTTGTATCTGGCATCAAACAGCCAATTTTTCAACTGAACGACTGAATTCACAGCTGAGCTTCAACCAACATTAGACACTCGTGAATTTTTAGAAGATTTTAACGATAATTTATTTTGTGAGGATGTTTTTTGTGATTCTTTTGTCTTTTCTATACTCTGTAGCAGTGAGACAGAAATCATATGACATGGTTTTATCGCTGATCATGGGTGGAGCGTTCGTGGAGCAGGTGTGCCTCTCGAAGTGGACGGCCACTCATGAAGCTGCAAAGGTGAACAGCAGCATCAGTTCTGGATGAGACGTGGGGGAATCAAGTCTTAATTTGACATTTACTCTTTACCTTCTCCTCCACCATGTTTCCTTTCTGCTTTGTGTCTCTGCTTCCTGTCTCTTGCACCAGGTGGGCTGTCCAGCTGTCCTGATGTTGCTACTTCGCCATGGAGCTAAAGTAACAGCCAGAGACGGTCATGGGGTGACTCCTCTGGGAATTGCAGCAGAATACGGCAACACTGAAGCTTTAGAAATCCTTATACAACATGGTAAAACACCAAATATTGTCAAACACTCTGAATATATTATATTTTCAACTTGAGTGACTGCAGCGTCTGTCTTCATACCCTTTCATGTGTCCTCTGTGCTTCATCAGGTGGTGATGTAAATGCCCAGGCCACCAATGGAGACACAGTCCTGTATGATGCAGCTGGAAATGGAAACCTGGACAGTATCAAGCTGCTCCTTCAGCACGGTGCCAACCCGAATGTAGCCAGCTACGCATGCCAGCTGCCCATCCACAGAGCTGCATATGAGGGACACATACTGTGAGCTGACCTCTGTGTTCTGAAGCTGTGAGACCGAGCCTTCAAATGTGGCGATATTCTCATGCAAACAGCTTGAGAATATCAGAGTTTCAAAAGATAACCCAGTTTTGGAAATTACTACAGACAAATTAACATTCTTTCCCCCTGATTTTGCAGCCAAATTGACCAAACTGTAGAAACATGTCTTTATTTGCACCTTACAAATCTGCAGTGTTTTCTGGTCTTCTCGTGTCCACAAAGAGCCTTCTGTGTAACACTGTTTTTCAGTTCTGTTACTGGATAACACTGGCACCCAAACCACAATCTGATGAGCATTTTTCTCTGTGTGCTGAGTTCTTCTTTTAGCATTTTTTATTTACAGTTTCTATCTTCCTCTTGTTTGTTTTCCTTCCTTCTCTCTCTTTGTCTCTCTCTTTTTCCTTAGAGCTCTGAGAACACTCATCCCCATCACCACCAAGAAAGCTATCCGTCTCTCAGGCCAGAACCCTGTCCACTCAGCAGCAGATGGGGGGCAGGCTGAATGTTTGGAGCTGCTTCTCCAGAAAGGATATGATGTTAATGCACTGCTAGGCATGCACATCTCTGGTGGGAACCACTGGAAACTTAAATTTCTCTCAAACCCACTTTATTGATATAATATGTGTTAAACTAAGACAGCCACTGGCTTTAGACTGTAAATTGATCAAGAATGCAATATAGGTGGAAAGTTTTGGCAAATTATTACCCAAAAAGTAAAGATAAGTACACATGTGATATGCACATACAGTCTTATTATTATACTACTAGTGATAGAGGCAAGCCCGGTCACCTCACCCAGCCACTTATGGTGAATTTTCCCGACTTTAACCCTCTGCATTCATCAACCAATCTTGTTTCTGTACAGACTTTGCAAGACAGTCAACAGTGAAAGTCTGCATAAAGTCACCATGAACATATTTGGCAACATCTCAACTGTAATTGGATTTTTTTTGTCATGAGGGCAGTGTCTGTGTTTAGGACTAGTGGTGATTTTCAGAAGTATTGTTTTATGTTTGTAGACACAGAACCCTAAGCTGACATGGTTTATTTTATTTTTTTTTACAAGAAAAATATCTTGTGATCTTGAGAAAACGGGGGTAAAAAAATGAATAAACCATGACCGCTTAGGGCTTCCGTATGTAGATATCAAATTATTGGTATTTTCTTCTTGCAGCTAGTCTTTTGAAAATGTAAGTCTTGTTGCAGAGAACTACAGTGACCTCAGGAAGTCTCCTCTGTACTTTGCTGTTTGTAATGGTGACGTCACCTGTGCTGAGATGTTGCTCACAGCTGGAGCAAGGACCGACCTGGACCCGTTGAGATGCATACTGGTTGCTGTGCGTGCTGAGAGGTGTGTTGTACATTCAAGTGTGCATTGTGCTTCATGATGCTGGTGTGCTGATGTGTCTCAGTCACCTGTGATGTCTCCGGTCATCTCCAGGTATGAGCTGGTGAGGCTGTTGCTGTCCTATGGAGCAGAGGTGAATTGTTACTTCAATGCTATCTGCAACACGCAGTTCCCTACAGCCTTACAGTACTGTCTAAAGGATCCGGTGATGATGCGACTACTGCTCAACAGTGGATATGATGCTTACAAGTATGCAGTTAAAAGAATTGGCACATGTAATGACCATGAAGTGCATGAAAATTAGTGACAGCTCAGTATCTAGGTTAAGAACATAACTCCTTTTATAAATACTGAGCTAAAGCTAATGTACACACAACCCAGTTTATTACTTAGCTACCAATCTGAAAAGTTGGCGCTGAGTGTTGATTTGAAGCTGATTTTATTGATTTAAAAATCATCTGTTTATACAGCTAAGACAGAACTGGCCTTCAGACTCAGATGGCTAATAGCACCTGGACTGGAAAGGTGCTCTAATCAGCCTATTTGCAGGTTCAGCTAACATTAAAGCTCCTGTAAATAGTTTCTTGACCCTCATAAATTTAACTGAAATTTATGTTGATGCCTTTTGATGACATCCAAAAGCAAACAAGACCATCATCAACAAAACTGATGATTGTTTTATCTTAATTCTTAATGTAAAAAAATCAATGTAGGGGGGTAGGTGTCAGCTGAGCAACTGAGGAGCTCTGTTTTTACAGTTTCTTCATGAAATATTCACAGTAAATGATAGACTTGACTGTCAAATGTCAGGATGATTTTTTTTCTGTCAAAAGTCTTTACTTATGCACATAGATGACATAAGTAAAGGCTGCTTTGTCCACAGGGGGCACCAAAATTTGCACAAATCAAAAGTTTCTTTGAGAAGCTTTAAATTTATGTTTTTGTTCAAATAACAATTCAATTATTAGCCTGCTTGACAGTTACACATCACATTAAGCTTTAACATTTTCATTCACAGTAAAGCCAAAACAATGATGTTAAGGATTATCATCCTCGTCAGATGTAGAAAATGTTCACAGTAGAGACAACTTATTCTTGTTAGGGTTTTGGCCAATCAGAATCAAGTATTTAACACGGTCAGGTGATTAGAATATTGTTGAGTAATAAGGGGTAATATTTGGTGTTAAAAATTAATATTCAACACTGACAAAGAAATCATACTACACCGACCATGCTACTCTGTCTCTTTTAGGTGTTTCCAGTGTTGCCATGGTTACAGTGAAGAGACAGATAGCACCTGGAAAGAGCTCCACAACCAAGCCTACCGCATTTACAGTCAACCAAATGTCATCTCAGTAAGAACCACATAGTGACTGCTGGGGTCTCAATAATTATACAGATTATTTGAAAGTTTAACTTTGTTGGGCTGACCTAACAGAAAACACCAATACATAAAACATAACCTGAGTTTTTGTCTTTTAGTTCTGTGAGTACGTATCTGTGTCTTGGCTGACACATGTGGTTGGTGGTGTTGTGAGGACCCTCTTAGACTACGTAATCCATGTCAACATCTGTCCCAACCTCAGACGCATCCTGGAGAGGAGGCCAGAGTGGGAAGAGATTTTGGACATACTGAGTAAGACTTCAACTGTATTATTTATTCCAAATTACACTCAAAGTTTGAAGAGTCCTTACACTCAGTGTGTTTGTTTGAACTCAGGTAAACCCCGGTCTCTGCAGCATCTGTGTCGACATGTTGTCAGAGGTCACATGAGCCCCAGGACACTGAATTGTCCTAAAGCTATGGCTACTGTCCCTTTTCCTCCGAGACTGAAGAACTACCTGACCTACAGTGACTTTGACCTCTTTGGTATGACATAGAAGATGTATTTAAAACCACTATGACTTCACAAAAATACACTAATAACACGTTCAAATGCACCAAATGGGGTTTTTCCCCATCAAAGTCCTTTTGTATTTCATTTTATAAAAAAAGTAATACTCACAAAAGTAAAATATTGAGCTTTTCTTAAAAATTCATGACAACCCTTCTAAGAATACACCTCTTACACCAGGCCTGCATTGTGAACCTGAAAATACAATCGTTACAGCTGAAAAGTGCATGTACAGAGTGTGAAACAGAGGCCTCGCAAACCTTGAATTGCTTGTACGCCCACACAGGTGTTTCCACTTGTCAATTAGACCTCTTTTCAAAGAGAAGTTCGAAAGGGAGTCTTCTGGGTCATCAAACTTCATCAACCAATCAAACTAATGGAAGTGTAAGCTGTCCCGCCCAAACAGGTGGAACAGCCTATTAGAGAGAGTCAATTCAGCACAATGTGTTCTTGCCCACACAGTCCTTAGCAGAGGTCTAATCAGGCGGGTTGAGTGGAAACACCTGTGTGGGTGGGAAACAGTATTCTCACTTAGTGCTGAATCTCACTGTATACATTTGTTTAGCCAATAAAAGCTTTCAGAGTGAAAAAAAAGAAACATATGAGGGTTATTACTTCTCTGGCATGCATTTGTGAGAATGTTTTTAATTTGTCATAATGTTTTTTAAGCTTTGATTAGAATCCTTTAATAAACTCAATATAATACTTGAGTTTGATTTTGTTTTTAATCCAAGGTGTAGCCCTTTATTGCCTTTTGTATCATATTTGATACATACTTATATCAAATCAATATGATCAACAAATCACTAAAAAACACCTGAACACTCCCGATAAAAAAAACACCCGATAAATGATAAAAATGTCCTCTTTTGGTTTATCAGTTTCCAAAAACATCTAATGTATCAAACAAGATAAATAAACATATTTGTTAAATTTTAAGGGCATTTTGATTTTTTTGTTTTTCAGTAGTAAATGAAATAAACATTTCAGCCCCCCCCCCCCCCCAAAAAAAAAAATAAATAAATAAATAAAAAATAAAAAAAAAAGGAATTTTCTGGCCATAATTTGTGGTTTTAGGCATTAAAGGGTTAAAGATTTGGAATCATGATTTTCGTAGAAAGCGATGATGTGTTCATTTTTAGGGTCTATGAATGTGTCTTTTTTTATTATATAATTCAGAGCAGAGTAAATCCTGCTTTAAACAAGACAAAAAGTCTCATGATGGAGAGAAACATAAACAGGAAAAAAGATCAACTCACTTGGTGAGGTCAAACTCTCCTGTACAACACAAATCCTGTTATACAATAGCTTCCTCTTCTACATGATTAAATGCCACAACCTGATTCTCTGAAATCCATTTGAAAGGTGCAAAGCCAAGCTCTCAGCTCTACCAGGCTGTGATGCTGAATGCAGAGAGCAGTATGATACTGATGCAAACACACAGATTTTTTTTAATGATTATTTATTTTGACTTTGTTTGATAGAGCTGCTCATGAGTCAGGAAATGTGGGGAGGATAATGTGGAGGAGAGCCAGCAGCGGATTCGCTGATGACTGTTGACTCTGCATGTTGGACATTTGGTATATCGACTGAGCTCTAAACTCAGGGTATTACTGATGGGAAAGTGAAGTAAGAGATTGCTGGAGGTAGTGATTACTCTGCTGGGGACCATAGATGTCCTCACAAAGTTGCATGCAATTCATTTAACTTAATGGTTAAAGATTTTAGCATGAAATGGGAAGACAAATATATGTCATTCCTACAATCATGCTGCAACTGTGGCTCAAACTAAGTGGTTTAAAGTAGCCTTTGTTGCAGGAGTGAACATGGTGCGTTTGGATTTTAAAGATAAAGATGAAGAGTTGACTTTACATTGACAAAAAGTTTTCCAAGAGTTTGTTTTGTTCTCTGTCAGCTATAGAAAAAAAGGTGCATTTATACTCTTGAGTATAAACTTGACTTAAATTTATAAATATGATTAATATGTTTGCAGATACCTGGATCTTCTCCAGCTATAACCCCATATTAACAAGCGGTCACTCATTCTCTACAACCATTATGATGACAGCCATGATTCTGAATTCCTGCCACAGAAAATGTCAAAGTTTACAAAATGGTGGTTCACAGCCAGGTGGTTTAGGTCTATGCTAATCCCTTTAAAAAAAAATGGAATATTGGCAAAATTTCAACACATAGTTTTAGGACAACTAGTCCTGAGAAATAAATAAAGAAGTGGCTCTACGTTTCATGCTAACGTCTGTGTCTGTCGCTAGCTGAACAATCTGTTGCAAAAATAATTAGTACACATCTATAAACCTATCATCTCTAAGCTCTTTGGCTCTGCTTGCTTGTGTATCACTTTCATGTTACTGAGTTTTAAAGTCACCCAGGTCAACTGACAAAAACAAAACGTGAGCACATCTTTGCTGACGAATCAGTCGTAGTGAGGTGTGTGCTGTTTTTCGGGTGAAACGTTATCTCTGTTTATCGTCCTCGTCCGTCTCTGTGTTGGGTCCAGCTGGTCTTTTTTGGCCATGAACAAAGCCTCTCAGGCATTGGTGACAGACTGCTACGCTGACAGGCCAAAGTCTCTGAGCTCACATGCTTTTTGTGGCTGTGTCTCTCAGAGCAGTGCCTCCCAAAAAAGACACAGCATCATGGGGCCCACACTTTGGTACTCTCCCCTCTGATCCCTCTCTTAAGGCCTGAACAGCAGCTGGTAAGATTAGAGAGGAGGGGACACCAGCAGCACATGGACATAGCCACTGGAAGGTTACAGCTGGTTCAGACCGGAGTCTGCTCTTGTCTAAAGCGTCTTTTTGACTGAACCCACGACAACTGAGCAACTTAACCCAACAAGGATTACCTCAGCTGGACTCTAAATTTCTGACAAGCCCACATGTCCGTGAATCTCTGGCAACCCAAAGCTGGACTTCACTGTGCGTTGGAACGTCTTTTCCTAAACTGCTCCTTAGTTTAACTGAATCTATGCTCCTCAAAAAGTGGTCTGACTGTGGTAGCTTGGGCTCATACTGACTGGTACTTCCCAACCCCATTTCAGCCATGAGCTTTTTTGGGTACCGCAGAGAGTTGAGTAAGTATGAAGACGTTGACGAAGACGAGCTCTTGGCTTCCCTCAGCCCAGAGGAGCTGGCTGAGCTGGAAAAGGAGCTTGTGGACATTGATCCTGATGCCAATGTTCCAATTGGTCTTAGACAGAAGGACCAGACAGACAAGACCCCGACAGGCACCTTCAGCAGAGAGGCTCTCACCAAGTATTGGGAAAATGAGACACGCAGACTGCTGGAGGACGAGATAGCTGGTGGAAGCCTGAAACCGGTCAGTGATAATTAGATTTGCTTGGCATTTGGGTAATGTGCCAGAGGCAAAGCAAACATTTGGTTTGTGAACTTAAGATAGATTCCTTAATATGTTAAAAGTAAGATATCACTTGAAGTCCTAATGAGCTAAAGCCACAACAATCTGGTTTGTGCCAACAGAGTTTTTTTAGGTTATTAAAGTTTACAAAAACTTAAGCCAGCGTTACATTGAGTAATTGTTTCCTAAAACAGGAAGGAGAACAAGAGGAGGAATGTGTGACTGAAGAAAGCAGTGAAGAAGATGAGGAAAAAGACGTGGAGAATGAAAAGGAACAGAAAAAGGATGAGGAACAAAAAGACAAGGAAGAAGAAGAGGAGAATCAGGAAGAGGAGGAAGCTGTAACAGAGGAAGAAGAGGAGGAGGAGGAGGAGGAGGAGGAGGAAGATGATGAGGAGGAGGAGGAGGAAGAGGAGGAGGAGGAACAAGATAATAAATCAAAACCTGAACCCTTCAGGGATTCTGAAGTGCTGACACCTCGGTCCAGCACCCCAATGCTATTAAAGCCGCAGAGGGTGGAGCCTATGAGACTGACCCCGCCCCCTCCACCTGTAGACCTTAACGCAAATGGAAACCCAACAGTTGTTGATGAAGCTCTTCAACGAGCTTTAAGAGACGACCCTGAACTTACAGAAGTTAACCTCAACAACATTGACGATATCTCACAGGTAAGAAAAAAACCCCCGTTCATTTCCATCAGCCAGCATACATGCACAGTAAAGTCAAAGCTATAGCTTGAGAAGGTAGAAGACAAAAGTGCGTCTGCCTCCACAGCACCAGGTGGCGATACTCCCCCTTTTAGTGGAACGTCTTTTGGTTAACCAAAACAATCCACAAATCCATTTTAACTTCACTTCTTCTGTTGGAGTTCTGTTTACTTCCTGGCACTCCTCATGCATATATGGTGTTCGACTTCCAGGTTGAAGTCCAAACTGTGGAGAATGAGTTAAGTCCAGTTTAGGTCTGACTGAGGTGAATACATGCAAGAAAAACAAAAAAAACAACTATATTATCAGAGTGTATTAGTCTGACTGTTTTGACTGTTTTGAATTTTTCCAAATGTCACCAAATTCTGCCAACAATCTCGTACAGACTATTTATAGGAATATTTCCACATTAAATTATGAAATTTTCCCTTATTGTAGGTTTAGTTTGGTATTTCCAAACAGGCAAAATGATTTTCTTCTTGTTTTCAGACTGAGAAGTTGTGGTTCCTCAAATATTAACATCCACATTTTCCTCTTAGGAAACCCTGATTCGGTTTGCTGAAGCACTGAGATCCAACACCCATGTCAAAGTCTTTACTCTTGCAAACACCAAAGCAGATGACCCTGTTGCTCTGGCCATAGCCAAGATGTTGAGGGAGAACTCCTCCATCATTAGTCTGAATATAGAGTCCAACTATGTGACTGGAAAGGGAGTGATGGCGTTGGTTCAAGCGCTGCCAGGAAACAACACTCTGACTGAGCTTCGGTTCCACAACCAGAGACACATGTGTGGAGGGCAGGTTGGGACACAACTCTTACCTCCTTTCTTTTAATTTGCCTTAGTCAAACGAATCCTCATGAATGACAATCAATTAGCCAGAAGTTCACCCTCTCAACATTCACAAGTTGTAAACAAGTCTGCAAACTTCCCTCACAGGTAGAGATGGAGATGGTAAAAATCCTAAGGGAAAACCACACCCTGATCAAGTTAGGGTACCAGTTCAATCTACCTGGTCCAAGGATGAGTATGACGGGGATCCTCACGAGAAACCAGGACCGCCAGAGACAGAAACGGCTGCAGGAGCAGCGACAGCAGCAGCAGGGCCAACAGGGGGCACCAGAAGGAGCCGTTAACCCGAGAACAAATGCACTGGTATGTACGTTTGCTTGAGTACGGTATAGTTCATCTTTTTTATCATCCATTCCCATCGTCAAAGTGCCTATCTTCCTGTTAACAGTGAAAAGCTGTAACTCTTTCTTAACTTTTGGTGGTCACAGCTAAATTTCTCAGTGAAGTATAAGATGCGTTGATGCTATTTCATTCTTACTTTTGAGAAACTCTCATTACCTCAGGATGTAGTTGTTAAGATGCACGTAGTGCTAAAGGTGTGTTGTTTGCATCCCATGCCATCATGTCCTTCACAAGCATTACAAACAGCTATTTTGCTGTTTGTACCCGACACTTAAAAGTATGTTCATACAGCTGATATGCTGAAGCACCTTGTCAAACAAAGGTTCATTAACTTTTTCTGGTATCAACGGGTGCTGAAGGTTTGCAACTCAGCTACCTTAGGGGCTTCAACTTGGGAAAAGTCTGACAGTGGGAACATTTTCTTGTCGTGTGCCATTCCCCCTTTGGATTAAAGTCTACCTCAACTCCAAGTTTTCCTCTTAATCAAATTTCTTCTCTTTCTCCAGAGAGGAACTCCTCGTTCATCACCTTACAGCTCGCCCAGAGTCTCTCCATGGTCCTCGCCACAACTGCCCAAAAAACAGACTCCACCTGCTCCACCACCTCCTCCTCCTCCCCCACCACCACCGCCACCTCCTCCCCCTCCTCCTCCTCCACCACCACGGGAGAAGAAGAAGCCAACAAGGATGATTGCCGAGGTCATCAAGGCACACGAGGCAGGTAGTCAGAAGGTGAAGAAAACAAAAGTTAAAAAGGGCAAGAAGGCGAAGGAGAAGGGGAAGAACCTGGAGAGAAGAGAGGAGACGGGTAGCATCCTGAAGGAGCTGAAAAACGCGCTGAGGCCTGTGTCTGTGGACAGGAGGGGGGAGGATGGCAGCAGGCCGTCCACGCCAATGAGGTCAGCCCACGACCAGCTGATGGAGTCAATTCGCACCAGCAGCATCCGTAACTTAAGACGGGTAAGTTGAAATATTTGTGCAACAATTTGGACATTTTTTACATCTTACAATCGTGTTCATTTCTAAGCTCGTCCTCAGCGATATCTGCTATACGCCCCCTGTAATTCTTGAAAGTGAAGTTGGTTAAAAGTAAAAACCTTCCTCCCACACTAGCAGTCAACAAAGTATTTATTGCGAATCATAGAGTGCCTCTAGAGGCAAACTGGACAAGCAGGAAGTTTAATTTAGAAGAGGATGACACAGAGCCTGAGGTGTCTGAGTCATCTCTGCAGCTGACATGATATGCTCTGTCTTTACCCCGGAGCAGGCAGGCAAAAGGCTGCTTATCACCAGTGAGCTATATGGTATAGTAACAATGGCTTTTCTGTATTTGTCTTTCTGGCTGTAAAAGCAAAGTAAAGATGGCAACAACATCATTCTTACGACAACAACAGAGCTAAGTTTGTACAAAGACAAATGAATTATAAATCAAGGGCATTCAACCTTATTTCATAATCAAGTGTTGGGTTAATTACTAAGAGGAGAGACAAGTGTTGTTCGCACAGCTCGTTACATGGATATGAGTGGAAAATCAGTCCTGCCCTCAGATGGCAGGGTCTCTTAGCTGTGAAATTCCTGCCACTTAGTGCACGTATTTATAGAAACTCTTCTGGGGAGCTTTGATAAAGACAGATATCACAGGTTACCACAGCAAGCACCAACAACATACATGAAACAACACAGCGCACAAACACTCCAGCTGTTGATGCAACAAAACACTCTGTGCTCATAACTTCAGGCAATCTTAAGACTTGTTAGCATGTAAAAAATGAAGATAAGAAATAATACGTGGACAGTGTAATAGATTACGGTCATCTTTGCATCTGAGAAACAGGTGAAGATCAGTATTCTTCAGTTTATGTTGTGGAAGCAAAATCAGCCAATCAGCTCTTTTGATCATCCAGAAGTAGTAACACAATTATACAAAGCTTAAGAGGTCGCTGTTCATCCTGGGATCTATCTTTGTTTTAAAGTTGTCACCCTTACTAATCTGCATCCGAATTACGTTTAATTATGTTTTTTTTTTTCTTTTTAGACGAGTTGAAATGAAACGAGCCATTTCTCAACATATTATTCCAAAAGTTTCTGCTCTTCTTTATTCCTTACAAGCAGCTGCATTTACACAAAAATAAATGTAAACAAACAATATTCGATAAATTATCTCTCTACCCCCAGTCAGTCGTCTTTGTGATAAGCTAACCTGTAACAAATAGCTTCATTGACAACTATAAGTGAACCAAACCTGTACATCTAAATCTTGGTATCCAAGTACATGAGAAGCCAAGTATTTCTCTGTCTCTGCTGCGGGGTGGCTTGTGGTCATTTCAAACAGCGAAGAAGCTTTCATGGAATTTGTGGTTCTTGCATCAATGGCTTTAAAGGCAAAACTTTAACTCTGTGGTGCCGCTAAGTCATGACCACTGACTCATCTGAATTCCTTTCATGCTTATCTTTGAGATCATGTTTCCTAAAAAGCATTTGTGACATGTGTCTTATCCATGCCCTGCATTTGAAACTGTTTTTTTCTTTTTTTGTATTTTTTCAGGTGGAAATTCCCCATCACTTACGATGATACAAGCAGAAGATAAAAGGTGTCTGTTGAAATTAAAACTGAGGAAAGTCTATGTAACGCTGAGGATAGAGTGAGCATCAGCGACGCATGAGGTGAAAACAGAAAGATAATGGAAAACATTTTGATTGACAAAGAAGCAAGAACTAAATTCTTACTCATCAAAAACATGCTGGTTTTTCCAGTATTTATGCCTGATTAAAGTTGGTATTTCTACTTTAATTTTAAAATGAGCAGACAGAAATGTTTACTGAGAAGTTTTCTAAATCAGTGTGTTCCTGTAAAATTGTAAATATGATCTGTTGATGGTTGAATTACGTGCTGATTTCTAAATATAGTCATTTGGTGTTTACAACGCTGTTTGTCTAGCATGCAGTGCTTTCTCCTTTGGTTCCTGGATGAGCTCCATTTAAAGAAGAGGGTCAGCTGTTATGTAGCAGGATAGGAAGCAAACAAAGCCACTGTTTTTATCAGTGAGTCAGCTTACTGGTCAAGCACTGCACCACTGATGCATTTTCCCACTCAAATGCACTCACAGCACACCCACTCCAGTTAGCACGTATGAGAGCAGGGCTATTGCTCACTTTGGCTGAACAATTAACAATGCATGACAAATAGAGGAGAAAGTAGGCACTTGCTACTAGAAAATCACACACCAAATGCCAGCTTAGAAAAAAAAAACGAAACTTACAAAATGAATCCAAAGCTGTAGGCCACATAAATGCTTATCTTTACGAAACCTTTCAAACAAAACCACTTTTGACTTTGATGACTTTACATATTCTTACTTGCGATGATTAAGAGTAATATTCATAAGTTTGAAATACAGCTTTAGTCTGCTTTAAGTAGTCCAGCAGCAGTTGTAATGGTGTACTGCATTTGATCTAAGACTTTAGTAAGCTGAGTTTAACATTCAAGATGGTCACTCCTGCATCAACAGTATAGTCACTGTACTTTACATAGTGTTTATGAGCAACTTAGTCTTATTGTTGGTCTAATATCGATCACACTGATAGCATTGTGCAGGTTCTATCTGTTAGACTCATTATGGTACTCTCACACAAAAACCACTATATATAGTTTATGTATAGTATTATATAGCTTATGTCCCAATCCTGAGGCTGCAGCCTCCACTCGGCCATTGTAGCCTGTGTAAACAGGTCCGGTCAAGCTCAACTGAGAAAATTGCGTGTCTACGTAACTACCCTGATGATGGCGTCATGTCGCTGCACACTAGGTGGCTTCTCAGCTAAGCTGCTAACATAACTAGAGTGGCATAAGTTGACCACATAGACTGTATATACTATGGACAACTTTGTTCTGCTTTCCGCCAGTATATGGATTTGAAACTGAAAAGCTCTTTGTATTTCCGTGATTTTTCGCCACTTTCTGAAACCAACATTGCGCAGTAGCATTTTATGCATTCAGCAGGAGTCGCTGTGATGACACTCTGCTCAGACAGCATATCCCCCGGGTGAGCTACATAAACTTCATACACCCATAGGCTGTATCAAGTGTCAATCATAGAAAATATGAACCCCCCAATAACTTATAAATATGGAGCTGTACAGAAAAAAAGAGGACTTGAGCATGAACCAGTTTTACAATAACTACATGTCAACATCGCAAGCAGGGGGGAGAAAAATATATATTCTGTGTAATAAATTTCTAAAGTTTGTCCACAGCTCCTTAAGGATGGCTGGAGGAGGCGGGATTTATGACCTATACTGCAGCCCATCACCAGAGGGTGCTGTTCTCTGGGTGGCTTCACCCAGTAAGGAGGCAGACAGCATATATTCTATAAGCAGTCTATGGTTGACCAGTATCACCAAGACTTTAGAGATATTTTTAAATTTCAATATGTTAATGTTTTATATGAACGTAGATGCCTCATAGACTGATGTGCAAGCCTGGAATAAGGAGACCCATCCAATATGCCGACGACACTGGGTTATCCTCCAGCAGGTAATGAAGTGTCTACGTACATTATGTCTATAGTTAAGAAACTTTCTGACTTGTATCCGTCAACTCTGTCACTTCATTCCCAGCATGTGGAGGACAAGACAAACAAAGACTGCTTTGTCAGTGCTGGGCGCCAAAATTGACTCAAACTCAGTCATGGGTTACTTTTGTCAAGTTAGCAATGAAGGAAGCAGTAGGTTCAGCTCAAAATACATAACTTATTAGGGATTCGGACGTTTCATAAAAAGGACAAGATTTCAGTGCTAATAGACTTGTCAGTGAAATTACCGACAAAGGTAAACAAGGAGCCAAGTGAGGGCGATGCTTACTACCTCTCCCCAGAAAAAGAGGGGTGGCAAGTCTGAAAAGGGAGACCAAAATGCATGAGAGAGGAGGGGTGACAGATGAGAAATGACTGTAAGATGGAGTGACTGAGTGATGTGAGCTATTAGCGCTGCTCATACTAATCCTGGTTGTGTATTTGTTTGTGTGCCTTGGAGGAGTTCCTGACTCCTAAATTGACAGTGCAGCTGTTCAAAGATGACATGCACTCAGGGGCTTATGGACGGCAACAAGAAGAAAATGGCAAATTCCATCCATGCAAAACATTTACTATCTCATGTGTCTGAATACCTAACGAAACTTCATCCAGTCATGTTTACTGAGAGATAAAGAACAATTGAGTTTAGCTTTTTTTTTTTTCTTATTTTTTTTTTTTTTAAATTATGATGTAGTCTGGTGCCATTTAGATCTTCTGTCATTAAGGATTTTAGATTTGGCTGCTAAACGGAATTTTTTGATGCAGAGAGCAACCTCATTTAAAATGATTTTCATTTATGTACAGCAAATTTTCTCCCTCTCATCCATAAATGCATTTGTCTAATGGTATTAGCGCAGAAATGGTGGACCGTACAGAAGATTATGTGTGTATGCTGGTTTTCTGAAAGAAAATCTAACCTCACATTTGACCTGGACATTAGACTTAAAGCATCTATGCAAAACTTAAAAGTTTGTGTCAATTTTGGCGCCCCCTGTGGTGAAAATGAACTTGCAAATTGTCAGTCATGTCACTAGCCACATTTACAGGGGCAAAATTTCTTGATCCAGTTAAAAATTTGAGGGATCAGATAATCTGAATCCACTGTTTTGATGGGTGCAAAATCAAATAATCTGATCATAATGTGCGTATACATGCACCAAGCTTTATTCAGATTAGAAGCATTTGGACATGCGCAGAGTTGTCTGGTTTTACAAAAAGGCATCAGTTTGAATTTTAAAAATGTTTGAAAAACTCCTCACAGGAGCTTTGAGAAAGTAACCTCCTTGATGGAAAACCAGTCTGCTCAAAGGCTACGACAGGGATAGCAGCTCAATATACACAATGCATTCCTTGAGCAAAGTGTACTAAGAATAAAACTTCCTCTCCTCGAGCACGGCACTTAGTCATAGTTGTCAACCTGTCAACAGAAAGACCCTGTCATAAAATCATTCATAAAATGTAGAGGCTTCTTGTGACTCAAAAGCTACTCACTAAGAAGGAATCCAAAAATGTTTTCCAGATGGTTCAAGGGGGTTTTGGGCATCTTAGGGGAATGTAACACCACTCTTTGGACCATATGGATACCTATCTGAATTTGCGTGAACTGATTCCTTAGTTACAAGACAACCAAACACACACAACACTGTGGAATCAAAAGACAAGTTGTAATGTACCACTTCAACAGGAGCTGTTGTTTTCTTTCTACATGTGTTTTAAAGGTCTCTATAGCAGCACTGCAGCCAAATAGCTTAGCTCCACTTGTGGAAAGTGCCATAGCTGCTCTAATCCTTCCTATAAACTCTACAGAACAGAGAACTGATACAGGGTCAGTGTCCTGTCACCTGATGTGCACGTAGACTAAAAATAAACAGTGGAGATGATGAATCGTTGTGGCCATTATTGTCTTGGTCACATTTTATCACAGCCTCGGTTCTTACTGGGATGTTTACAGTTTTGATTCGTAGTCAAGGATGTTATGCTACTCACTCAAACAAATTGCCTCTGAGGGTTAGCGGCTGTACTTGTTGTCCATCACTCACCAAGGTTTAATTTTTACCTGGCTCAGCAGATGAAGTGGTGGCAGTGAGGTTGTGATAATCCTCTTCTCAGCTGTTGGCGGATCTGTCCACCTCCCTGTTTGCCCGTCCATAGCAGGTGATGAGGCCAGTAGTCATCATCCAGGCATACACACACCACAGCTCACATACATGGACAAATAAACACCCAGATTTCATGCTTGACAGACATTAATCAATCTCTCTACAGAAATTATCCTCAACTAAAGAAAGAACTTCAAAACAGCGGCACAAAATTTGGCTTGTACTTTAACAGGATGTGAAGATGCCCATCCTAATATAAAGGGAAAAGGCATCAAATGTGGCATATGTCTGAGGCAAAAGACGCCAAAAACTAAAACAATGTCATTATTAGTCTTTAATCAAAATGAACAATTTAAGAGTTATCATTATCTAACAAGCCTTACTGAAATGGCTTGGCTTCTGTAAATGGGCCAGGCTTGCTGTGAGTGTCTCATACTTGACACTGAGGTCAGTTTATACATGCAGTAAAGGAGATTTGTTTGTTGCTGGCAAAATTCAAAGACCTAAATATTACTCTTGTGGGTGCTGAGATGGAGGCCAAAGTAGAAAAATTAAGTTTTAACCTTATTTTTAGTCCACAGTATCAAAGCTACTCACACTTTCTTTGAATTAAAGCTACATTTAACAAATTCACCTGAAAGACTGTGTCAATATGAGTTGAGCTGATTAATATAAATCCACTTACCCTCCTTATTTTAGGTGTCACTTGATAAACGGACGAGAAGAGATGTTGGGCAGACAGTATTAGCTTTTATACAAAGCTAACATGACTATCATACTGAAAATTAGGACAGCATTCATCTTCATTATTCCAAGGAAAAGTGGTTTGGAGTTATCAAGTGTTTTGCAACTGAGCAGTCTAATGCAATCCAATTTAACAGCTCTACCAAAACACTGTCTAACTTCTGGAAGCTTCTATGTTTTAAGTTTTTCTTGAAATGCTTATTGATTTAGTGAAAGATGATTGATTTAGTGAAGATTCACCTTATTAAAAAACGAAGGGAGCAAAATATCATGAGCACCCACTATGTCTGACCATATCAACAAAAACTGGAAACCTAGAAGCTCCATAAAAGCATTATTTATCGTAGCGCTGCTGTATTAGATTGCCAGATGGCTTGTGGATGTGTACACATTTTTCTCGAACAAACATATAAACGCATCTCAGTGCTGTGTTTGCAGCAGTGAGACGTGTCTTTGCACTTGTTTGCCATTTAAAAGGCATATTTCAATCTATTTAGAAAGGATGCAACAGTTTTGATAAATAAAGTACTATGCTCAGTGACAAATTGACCTTCAAATACCAGAAGGAAAGAAATATTAGATAAAACACGTTAAAATAGGCCAAATTGGTCTTAAATTACCAGCATTTATTTGAATTAACAATTCCTGTTTTACACTTCAAGATTTAAGTGAAAAACACTGACACTTGTTTTAAAAACACCATGAGAGGACTTACCAACCAAGATATGGACCCATTATAAACATCAGGTGGGTAAAACTAAAATGTCTTTATTCCTCAAGCTTTACATGATCGATGACCTGATTCCAACAAACAGGCATTTATTAATGTTTGCTACTGTAAAAAAAAAAAAAGTTAAAAAGAATAATACAATTTTGACTGGATCTGTAGTGTGACAGTGACAGAGAAAAGGAACTAAAATCAAGAATAGATAGCCGAGTAAAGGCTACCCGTGTGTATGTAAAGTATGTAGTGTGACAGGTTAACAGTTAAAATGCTTTATGTCCAAGTGTTTCATGCCCCATTTCTTAGAGCATGTAAGTTCCACAATGATACAGACCTGAAAGCGTCATGTATTCATGCAGCGAGTCTCCTCTTTCTGTGCAAAAATATAACAAGACTCAAACTCTGGAGCAAATTTACAGTCGACAGAAAAATTAAGCTAAACTTTCCAAAGAGAGTCTTTTCCTTTTTTTTTTCTTTGTTTTAAGAAAATATGAGCGCTAAACTAGGATCATTTAATAAGTAAAAATAAACTACAGAGCAATAGGGTATGAAAATAGTTCTATTTCTTTTTTTTTTCTCCTGACAAACAATGATGAGACATGATTGATGAAGGATTTATGGCATCATATTTTGTAAGCCTTCTCCTTCAAAAACTGACCATAGAAAGAAAAGAAAGAAAAAAAAAAACATTCAACTCTACGGTTTGAGAAACAGCTCGATGTTAAATTGCACGTTATTCTTGGGAGCGGGAATATAGAGAGCGACAGGGAGGGAAAATGTGTGATGGGATGATAGGAGGCAGCAGATATAGGAACAGTGTCTTAGTGACAGATGGAGGTCAAGAAAGTTGGGGGACGTGGGAGGAGAAGATGCATAGAGATGGAAAAAACCCAACAAAGTTTCAACCAGATATGTGAAATATTGCTATCAAGAGAGAGGAGATGGAGCCGATAGAGACAAAGATAAAGAAACAACAACCTAAGATATGAGAATGACAAACATTTACAGATTAAATGAGGTATTGCACAGATTAATAAAAAAGCATAAAGGCAACAAAAATATACAGCAACTCGATAGAACATTTACATTTATACTTGTGAAATTAAAGATTTCTTTTTAGAAAGAAAAGAACAATTTTAGTGTCATAATCATCCTGGGGCTGAGGGAGGGGAGGAACAAACTGCTGCTAGTCCTCCCATTCATCATCATCCTCAAAGTCCTCATCTTCGTCATCCTCATCGTCCTCATCTGGAGAGGAAAATTTAACAGATTAAGTTACAGGTGAAACAAATGCACTCAAAAAACAGCATTTTAATTCATTTTAAAAGACTAAATATGTTTCTGTTAGGCAGAAACAACCTCATGAGTCTATCTGTCAAAAAATACTCTGTTGGTTTGATGCTTTGAGTCGAGTGCTGAGTGCAGTGACAAAAGATGTCCGGTTATAAAAAGGCAGAATATCTAACTAGAGGTTTGGGCAAAATCATGAACTAAAACAAATATTTTAAAAGAAGTAAAATGCAGCTGAATGACAAGAAACTTCAAGTAAATCAGGATAAAAGTAAAGGGCTTAGGACTTAAGAAAAAACATTGCTCCCCCAAGAGGTCAAAAATGTAAAGAAGAAGAATCACAAGGTTGATCTAGACGAGCGAGAAGGTAGTGAAAGTGTAATTTTATCTTTTGCTGACAGTGTGTCATGTGCCAGTGAGTCGACGACACAGTCTGAGTGCCCACTGGTGTCAATAAACTCTAACATCACTTTCAAGTAAGAGAGCCAAGGGAAACTTTTCCAGCACTTATGCAACTCTGGTCAAAAGTTTCTGTGAGCAACTGTGAAATTAACTCCATGGCTGTATCCTGTAAATGACCAGAAAAAGAAGACAAATATAATGTACTAAGCGGGGACGTATTATTCAGTCATTGTAATGAACGCATCAATTTAAATTTCCTCAATCCCCCATATCAAGAAGAGGAAAAAATATTACAGGAGGGAGATTATTTTAATTTCCATTTCAAGATTAAAGTCAGAATTTCGAGATTAAAGCCAAATTTTTAAATAGTCAAAATGAAAAAAAAAAAATCCCATTTTGCAACCTCGACCAAGTTCGTCTGTTTTTCTCTTCTTTAGAGTCGTAATCTTGAGTACAGTCTTTTCAGAGTCCCAATATTTATGACCACACTGTGTTTATGTGCTAAAAGGGCAAGGATTTCCTTGTTACTAAATCCAATTCTAAAGTACAGCTTTACAAACTCTTCTACAGATGATATGTTGTCGAGTAATGAGCAACAATGATGTTGATAATTTATCATTAATCCCAACATTACGACTCTATTCATGAAATTTTGTCCTTATTTAGGACAACTACTAATCTCATAATTGCAATTTCAATCTCAAATATTTGATTTAATTCATGAAATTTTGACTTTATTCATGTTGACTTTAATCTCAAAGTTCAAATTTTTTTAATCTCGAAATTTCGACATTATTTATGACATTTCGTCATCTCGAAATTTCTATTTTTAATCTCAAAATTTCCACTTTATTGACATAATTTTGATCTTTTTCATCTCAAAACTTCGACTTTAATCTCCTTTCTGTCATTATTTCTTTTTTCTTCATGTGGCCCTAATCCTCTTCCGTAGTAAACAGCCTGTGATGCTTGTAAGTGATTTATACAGAATCATCTTGCAAAGCGAATCATTGAGCGATCACGTTGTATAATTTTACCAACAGATGTTGGTTGTGTGGATGCTTTTCAGCATTTAATGATAAGGAAATCTAAAAAGTACATTCTGGTAACACTCCTTTCTGCCCACCTACTAAAATGAGATTGTATTAGCATCAAACATCAAGCTAACAACAGCCACAGCAGGGCCAGCTGTCCTCAAAGGAAATCTGACGCTTGACCAAAACTCACAGACTAAAGCTATCAGGACATCCTCTGTCAGACAACAAATCCTGGTAAAAAAACAGGTGTAAGCTGTAACTTTCCCTTGCTGAATGAGTGGATGTCATGTGATTATTGCAGCTCATCTTACTGACCCAGGGTGGAATATGAAAAGTTTTGTTTTGCAACCTGAGTGTTGAATGAAGTTTGTACCTGAGGAGTGAATAGCTTTGCTTCTTTTCTGCATCACCTCCATCAGAGCACCAACTATGCCTGCAGATGGAGCAGGAGCTGGCGGGGCTGCGTCTGTGTTATCATCCCTCTGTAAAGAAAAACAGTAATGGGAGTTGAAGATGATGTTGAGGATACAGACTCATATGTCTGATTAAAAACATGTCCTGTGATTACTGACAGGTTTAAGTTGAATTCCTTGTCGGATTTGGTCCAGAAGTGCGTCTCTGCCGGTGCTGGACACTGGCCTCTCCTTCTGCTCCACCTTCTTCAGCTGAGTCCCCTCCCTGATCTGACTCAGCAGCGCCGACTTCCCAGGCGCGCCGCTGTCCCCTCCGTTAGCCTCCATGGACAGCGGAGGAGCAGGGGGTGGAGGCCCAGGTGGTGGCGGAGGAGGAGGGGGAGGAGGTGGGGCACCGCCACCTGATGACATCGAGGAGGAAGGTGGAGGAGGCGGAGGGGGAGGCGCCATGGGAATTGAAGCATGGGCTGGAGGAGGGGGAGGCGGGAGGGAGCCTCGGCTGGGAGGGGGAGGCGGTGGAGCGGACATGCCTGGTCGGGATGGTGGAGGAGGAGGTGGTGCGGAGACGGGAGCTCTTGAGGGTGGAGGGGGTGGAGGGGCACCTCGTCCCCTGGCTGGAGGAGGGGGAGGAGGAGCCGAGCCGTGGTGTGGGGGTGGTGGAGGTGGGCCGCCTCTTGATGGAGGAGGTGGAGGAGCTGGAGGAGAAAAAAGTTCCAAAGTTGCAGTAATGGTCACGGATTCTTCAGATCTCACACTGCGGCAGAGTTTGAACAGTTTCGTCTACTTCTTCGTATATTTCTTCTCAGAAAACAACGTTTCACAAACTTGTTATTTCAACTCTTATTGATGGAGGAAAACCTGTCGAGGGTTTCTGCTCTGGAGAGGCCAAATGCTCGTGCAAAGTTGTTACATTTCAATCCACCTGTGCTTTTAGCGTAAAGGTAGAGTAGGCGAGTTTAACTGGCGTAGACGTTAGGCAGGAAACAGATGTAAACCACTTTACTCTGAGAATGCACTGCATACTTGTCAAAATGCATTCACGTTTCCAAACCTCAGGAGTATAAATGCATCATGCAGTTATAGAGTAAGAGCCACTTCCTGCAGAGTACAGTATATGCACTGGTTTAAAACATGGTGGACAAGAGCCAGAGTCAAAGTTTCACTTGGACAGTTAATCATACGACAACACTTTCTCACACTGTTATTACATGAGGAAGAGGAAGAACGTATAGTGTTGAAAGTCTGAGTTTCATTTCTAATTTCAGGGTCACGGCACATCAGAGTCAATCAAATGTGAAATATAGTCTCAGATAACACAGCAAACACGCATGTAACTGCATTAGCTGCAGGTTTTGCACACTTTAATGTAACGCATGTTGCAGTCCAACTTGACATGCACAGTCATGAGCTGTCACAGCAGGTCATGCATCAAAACAACCTACCACTCCACCTGGGCGGACCTGAGGACAGAACCACCACACTCTAGTTAGATTACCTTGACCTGGAATAACCCTCAAATGAATTTCAGGCAAAAAAAATCAAAGCTGAAATCAAGTCTGATGGCACAGTCTCTCTGCTGCCAAAACCTTCAGGAAAAGCTTGCATGCTAACATTTGTCATACGTTTTCTTTATAAGTAGGAAGAAGTGTTTCCCCCCCTTCCTCTCACTCCTTGTTTTCCTCACCTTGTCTCCGTAGCTCATTTTTGACGGCCTCCACGCCTCCTTTCTTCTCGATGAAGTCATAGATGACCTTCGAGGTCTCCTTGTCCTTCAGCTGAGCCTCAGAAATGCCACACAAATCGAAAAGGTTCTTCAGCTCTGGGTCCAAATTATTCAGCTGGAGAGAAGAAACAGAAAGAAAGAAAGACGTGAATGATCAGACGGCTGACATGAGTTACTAATAGATTTATCTTGGACTCTATACGCTATCGTTTCTTTAACCTCTGTTTGTATTTTTGACCATTTTTTTAAATTGCTGGCAGCTAGCGCATCCAGATTTGATGCTCAAGTTCAAATTATTAATCTAGGGTGTATCATCAACAGCAGATATCAGTCTACAAAGTGAGATTAGTGAGATTTCTCACTAAGTTATGGTGTTAGGAGGTGATGATACATAAACTAAAGAGTGGACAGCCTAGAGTGAGGTGTAAAGTTAATCATATTTTTGTTTTCCCTTCATTTACACAATAAAAGCATCCTTGCCACAGTGAGAGTGATAGTTAACAGAGTGGTGTTACAGCTTGTAAAAACATAATCTTATGACCTATATGTTCACATCTGTGATGTGATTTCACCCGTTTATAATCTGCCTTTATAAGCTTTCGTGCTCAGTAACACGGTATGTGACCGGCTTGTCAGGATCTGTGTTTTCTCAGGTTAGGATTTCACAAAAAGTGAGAGGGAACTCTGAAAATATAATAACTATATTACTATTCAAACTTGTTGAATTTAGGGAAGACAGTGTTTGTCAGTTATCATTTTTGCTGCTGCATTCTTATTTGATGGGCATTTGCCTAAAATGTCATGAACTGATACAGCAATGACAGGCATTATGCTGCCACCTAGTGGTTTTAGTGGTTTTAAGTAACACCTTCAGGTTGAAACCAAAGAGAAAAACAGTTTGAATTAACCTGAATCATTTTTAATATAAAACAGAGAATTAAGCTCACTTTATTTACCAAAGTTTACTCCCTCCTTTTATTTTTAATTATTGCTGCAAGACCCAAAATAAGACCCATGGAAGAACCTGCTTCAGGACTACATATGATATTGTGCTAATTTTGGCATGTTTGCGTTGATGCAGGCTGCCTAAATGTTCATGGCCGTGCACTGCACTCATCAAAATCGCAATAAATCATGAAATCTAGCTTTATAATTATGTCCTGGCTCTGGGCCTTTTTGACGGCCCACAACAAATCTTTCTTGTTATTTTAGTACACATAAAATCAAGTCAAACAAACTGCTGCTGTGTAAAGAGAAAAGTACTTTTTGGCCATCGTTTGGTACGCATTATAACTTCAAAGTCTGAACTATTTGAGTTTAAGTATCCAGGATGTAAGGACAGAAAAGAACAAAGATAAATAAAAGGTTCATTTGAAGGCCGTTAAGACTTGAAGATATATCCTTTGCTCATTTTTTAATCCACTCATCTCTTCTCTAGATTAAAGCTTGAGGTTTCAAGAGCCGAGCAAGATGTGCTCAGCTGACGTCAAACTATTCAAATCAATCCAAGTCCTTGAAAGCATTGACTTGTGAAACTGAATCACCTGATTTTATCTTTGTCATTTTCTGACTGAGTAAGTCCTCTGACCTACGTGCTCTCATACTCATCCTCCAGCCTCCGGCATAATTACGCTTTTTGGGAACGAGTCCATGGATTATGCAGATGCAGGTTGATTCTCTTCCCCCATCTAAAATCTTCTTGTGTAACTCTACTGATGACTTGGCTGTGCAGCCAGGCTTAATAATTCAGAGCTGATATTAAAATGTGGAAGTATCTGTCGGGTAGAGGGCTGTGTGACCGACGAACGGATGAACTACGGGCAAAGATTTACGAATATTTAGGGGTCATATCCTCCCGACAAATGCAGAGACAAGCAGCAAAACAACATTAATGTTCTCCTAATGCACTTACATCAAAGCCTGTGTTTGGATCCCAGCCTACATGTCCAATATGCCTGAGAGGAAAGAGAGACAGAGAGAGGGAGAGTGAGCACATGAGCTTATAAACAAGATTGCAAAAACAGGAGGGAGCAGGAATACCCTGGAGTAAATGTCTGATATACACATAAGAAACACCTCTGTTTTTTAATCTTTAAACTACCCATCATCTGTGAAAACTGTCACTATTAAAGCACAGATTTTCCTGCATTATCAATCATATTAAATACTAGAGGATTGAGAAGCTAAATGGACCAGAGCTAAACAAAGAGGTGTGGGTAAACTCAGAGCTGTTTCACTGCAGATTCATTTATACAAAGAGATTATATGGACTGGTTCCCAATAAAATCACATGAAAAGCTCCTCACACTGACCAACTTTTAACTTTCATACAGTTTGAAATAAAATCAAAACTTTTAACTTTGGTTTAATCAGACTTGCTTTCTTTTAAAACAATTTGTACGACTGAGAAAGAAGAGGGATCCAGACGTTGCTCGAACAAGGTAAGAGGTAAGACGGATCCAAAACAACTTGAAAGTAAGTATTTTTTAACGGATTCAAAGTCAACACAGTTCAAATTTTTTGCCTGTGTTACAATTCATTAACGTATTGCTTAAAATTTCACTGAGCTGGATTGGCCGGCAAGTGCTAAGCTAATGTACCTGACTCCTCGCTTCAACTACTTTGTCACAATGAGAAAAAAAGGACATTAAGTCCATTTCCCAAATCATCACACTGTCCCTAAAAATTAGTTGCTGCATGATAATTCTGGTCAACTTTAAAGATGGGCTGTGAGGTGTTTAAAGTCCAAAGTTGACTGTTTCTCGGCTGTTTCTCCTCATGACTATAAAGACTCACTGGAAGTTGCTGGGTGTGCCGATGTCTGCCTTGGTCAGCCTCTTCTTCTTCCCTTTGCTCTTTTTCTCCCTCTTGGGGAAGGAGGAGTGCACAATGTTGTTCATCTGAGAGTTGTTATGATAACGCTGAACATTGCTGATCTCTGGGTTTTTGATGTCAACTGTGGCCATGGGCAACGTCGGGCCTGGAACATGATGGATAAAATAGAATATCGTAGGTGGGACACAACACATACATCAGTTTCAACTCAACAAAGATGCAAAACTTGTGCGGTTTTATACCATATTCTGATGAGTATTATGCATCTTTAACATATGAGCAACAAATCGCACATCTGGGAAAAAAAGTTTTAAGTATCACAAAGAAATGACCCTGGTTATCTTTGAAATCCAGGTCTGGGGCTTTTTAAAGTGAGCCATTTCCCTTAAATTATATAATCCTCTATTTAATGGCTATCACAGACTCTGTTTGGAGAGGTCTGGTGGTTTTGGGGGTTTGGCCAAAGATGATACCCGTGAAAACAAAGTTCACCACAGCTTGTTTCATTTTGGCTGATGAAAAATATAAACCCAACAGTTAGCTACGTAAACATCTGTTCTTTTGCAGTATTTACACAAGCGAATGCAAACAAGAAAGCCTTGTTTGCACTGACATCTCAATTTGGATTGGGAAAGATTGGCAGAAATAACACTTGATAGTTAAATTAAGAGCAGACACCTGAAAACAAGAACATCTCTGGATGATAAATATACATTTCCTTCCAATTTAGCTGCAACAACCAGACCTCTTTTGGTCCATAAACAAATGTGTACAAAAAGGTGTCTCTCAGCTTGTACAGAATCCAGTATGACTGTGCACATGTATCACAAACACATCTACATGTCCGAACTGGTCTGAAATCTAAATTCCAATCAGGGGCCCGCACTGCCACACATACCTTTACCACTCTCACTACAGGGACTCTTCCGAGTTTTACTCGGTGAAGGTGAGGCCGACCGGCTGCGTCTCCTCCTCACCCTGTCCCATATACACCCACCTTCGCTCTCCCCGTAGGCGCTCAGACTGACATCGAGAAGCATTTTGCCCACCAAGCTGTGAGCTTGCTCTTTGGGGCATATGGAGAGGCGAGCGGTGGGATCAGAGAGAGACGGGTACAGCTCGTCCTGAGGGAGGACCAAGCAATGTAAAGAAGAAAGACAGCTCCCTGGGCCCAAGCCTCCACCGCCTCCTCCACCTCCTTCTACTCTGTCTGAGCTGCCCTCACAGTTTAGCTCCTCAGAGGGAGCCGAGAGGAAGGTGGTGCAGAACATCATTGTAGCAGCTGACTTTGCATGGGCGATACGGTGAACGCAGAGACACCAGGGAAGGTCCTGGTTTGATGTTCTGTGCCACAGAGATCTGAGGTCTTTCTTCTCAGTCAACACAGAGATCTATTATCATCCAGGACATGAGCAGACTTTTCCCCACGAGGACACGTCTTCTTTAATCTGCTGCTGCTGAAAGCGTTGGTTAAGATTCACGTCTTCTCCAGGAAAAGCTTCTGACGCTATTGATTCAAAAAAGTTTCCAAAACTCGACAGAAAGAGGGAAAAAAAAAATACTTGTGACTGACTCGAAGCAACTGTCTGCATTTACTGAATTAATATCCTCATCAGACATCTGGTGCAGTTCACTCACAAACTGTCTGAGCTACAGAGGCAGACGTCCAACAATGCCATCAGAAGGGAGGAGAACCAGCCAACACTTCGCTCGCCAAAGTTCGCTCTTCCTCTTACATTCCTTCCATCACAGAAACAGCTTTTGCCTTTGCAAAATTTTCACCAAATTCCATTTTCCTGCTCTCTGTCTCGCCGAGCTCTGCAGATTTTGTATCTACTTTACATAATTTTTCGATGTCCTTTGACTTCCCTTCTCAGCAGGGTGCACTGATAGATTATCAAGCTTGGATTGGCTTGCTGTCATCATTTCTCCACCCACCGCCGTTACTATCTCCTCCCTCTCCCCCCTGCGAACACACACAAATGGATCTAATCCCAGCAAATCACGCCGGACTTAGTGCTTAGATTTTACATAACCATTAAAACCCCGTCCATGCGTAATCCAATGTTAATCTCAGGGGTCTCTTCAACATGATGAATATGCAGCTGGAGAGAGAAGAAGAGAAGCAAGACAGGCAGAGAGGATGAGGGAAAAGAGAGGGGGGTGGAGAGGAGGGGGCAGATGAGGACAAATGAGGAGAAGGGGAGAGCTGGATGGGGCACAGAGAGAGAGAGAGAGAGAGAGCGAGAGAGGAAGGTCAGGAGGAAGCAAACTCAGAGGCATGGATCGTTGTCAGACCATAGCTGCAGGGTTCTGGGAGTGAGGGTCCACTTATTTCAGCTCAGACTTATTTGTGTTCTCTATAATCGAATCAGAAACTTGAAAAGAAACCGAGTTCAGTGCAAAGGCAAAGCAAAATGCTCCCCTTCAGACATGTCAAAACATGACCTTTTGGGTCTAGTTTCCAGCAATTGATACAAGCTCCACAGAAACATAAAATGCAAGATCACAAACCTGTAAAAGGGCAAAATAAGCCCAAAATAAAGAACCAAACAAGTTTATATGCATCACTTATCTCCATATGCAGCATCTCATGTGACCCAAAGCTATACATCCACAGGCAGCATCTTTAAGCTGCACTGATCATGAGCACTGGCCGACTGCATAAATGTGTCACTTGTGTGGTAATGACTTCAGCACAGCTGCACACACACGCACATGCAAACGCACAAACATATTAATAGGCCATCTGGGTCAAACCATGCGGTCTCTTAGTCCCAAACAAGTTCCCTCCTGTGCAGAAGTGCGCCGTGTGTTTGTTTGATGCAGTATGTCCATGAATTACTGTGTGCATGTTCATACATGTAACCCATCTGTTGTGGTCACTAGACAGTACAGAGTGAGGGTGGGATCGTGAACTCTACAGATCAGGGCTACAACACAAAAAAGGCAATCCAATTTTGTACTCGAGTGCATCTGCAATATCCGGCAGCATCAGGATTATCTCTGCACTTTTGGCCTTCTGAACAATTCCATTTATTTTGACCGACTGATGGTGAAAAATGTGCCAAAAGCAACAGAATAGTAGTTAATAATAAAATGTGTGCCCTTAAATTCATTTATATTCCTAAAACAAAAATCTGATTTTATTTCACATTAGAAAATATTGCTTTGTTAAGAATCTTTTTTTAATTTAGAGCCATAGATTAGAGCTCCAGTGAGGAACTTTATGTTTGTGTTGAGTCTGGCGCCACCTTGTGGACAATGCGCTCTCTTTTCTGTTACTTGGTTTCATCCAAAAAAAAACACCATACTGCTTTCTTCTAATGGTCAAATATGTTACTATATACTGGCTTTTTATCACTTTGATCACCTACCCTACAGCAGTGCTTTCAGACTCTAACAACAACATAGAAATAATTCATTGTATTCCTGACGGTCTTACTTGCTGTATGTAGTAGGACATATAGAGGCACTTATATATATGTCAGTGTGTTTCATAACCTGTGGAAAATCTCTCTAAGGAGCTTTAAGTGTTTTAATATCAATACTTATGCACAGATTGTATAGCTGTATGAAAGGTCTTTGCATTATGCAACAAGAACCTGTATCAACAGCACATTTAGCATTTAGTGAGCCTGTGAACTGCTTTTATTACACTTCTTTTAAGTATAAAACATAATAAAGACCTGTGTTTTTATGCTGTATCTAAAGACACTACAGAACTTTGTCAACAGTTGTAGATTAAATGGTACCTTTAAAGAATTTGGTGTGAGATTTAATCTCTTTGTTTTTTTATCTGGAGTTTCTTTATTATATAGAATGGTATGTATGCTGCATAGTTTCCACGATGTGAAGAAAGGGCCTCAAGCCTTTCGTTTGTTGCCAAGTAACACAAATGATCTTGCAGCCCCACCCATCTTATAAACCATGCTGAAAGACAATAAGTTGTCATTATCACCAGACACACGTCCTTCTGCCTTTCATTGTGTGATTTCTAAACTGATCAACAGGAAAAGTGTGGAGGACGTACCATTTGGAGGGTCGCGTCTCTTCTCTGTGAACACAGACAAATGGAATCATTACAATCCCGCACTGAACAGCAGGTTGTGTTAGTAAGAAAGGAGTGCGTCAGAGCGCTGATGAACAAAGAGAAGAGAGTTTGTTGTTTTGTAAGGGGAAGGGCTCGACGGGATTGTGCATGTGCTGCACAGAGTGGAAAGTTGTTCGGAAGAACGGCCAAGGAAAGTATTTGGTTAGACGTACAGCAGCCATTGAACACGCTCACACAGTTCTAAATCAAAATGTGAAAAACACTGAACTACAGGGAGGACAACATTCACATGCCTCTCTTTCAATTACTCTTAAAAATACTCAGAGCTACTGACAAATAAAAATAGTCGTGTTTTGAGTTTTCAAATGGCTGGAGGTCAAAAGAAGAAGCTGAGACACTGTATTAGATTAGACATTCGATGCGGAGGGCTGAAGGGGAAAAGATGAAAGAAGGATCCATCAGAAAGTGATCCGGAAGGAGGCAGAAGGAAGTCGGACGGTCTTATTGAAGCAAGTGATGATAAAAGTTGGAGAGTGGAGGGTCAGAATCGGTTTAGGGACATGTGGCTAAGAAATCAGTGATGAGTTTTCAGCTTATCTTGGATCCCTGAGTGTATTCAAATAAACTTGATTTCCCAGGAATAACTTACAAAGTTGACAGTCGATGCTAAAGAGAAAATGTGTAAAATACAGTCTAGTGTTCTGTTAGTGTGTTATTCTGATAAAATCATGTTATGTCATGTCAAATCTGTTGACAAAGTGCTTCTAATGAGTAAGGGAGCCCTCACAGATGATCATGTTGGTCTGCTTATTCTAACATGTAGCTGTAGTGCCCCTTGGGCTCATCAGCATGTTTGATCTTTTCGACTATGTGCACAACAAACAAATGTCCGAAAGATTCTCTTGCAGCACCAAAGTGTGGAGAAAGTCTTGTGCAGAGATCCTCTAAACATGAACTCATCTGTTGATCAGGCAGATACTTTTTGCACCTTCCTGGTCCCCTAAGTGAATTTTTATATCTGTTAGGTTTGCAGCTTGAAAACGGTGATGTGTTGTTGAAGTTTGTTGAAGACACTGCAGCAGGTAGGAGGAAGAAGACAGGATGGTATAACAGCCAGAACTAGACAAAAGAAAATCAGTGCATGACACTGTTTGATACTACTTAGAGTAAATCTGATTTGAAAAATTGGCACATGAAAATGCACCTGGACTCATTTTCCATGTAATCATTTTTTTTGCCTAGTTCTGTAAGACACAGTAAAAAATGACACGTTAAGACACCTGTTTCATCTGGTTCAGTCGGGTCATATGAGCTGAACAACTTGAAATGATTTTGTAAAAACTTTTGCTCCCCTTTAGTGAGCTGCTTTGATTTCACATCCTTGATTCCTACAAACTTTGGTTAACGTGTCATTTTTTTTCCCTGTGAGTTGCATCAGTAGAAAATGTTTGCAGATCAGTCAGCGGGATCAGTTAGTTGGTACCAGTTTTTCTCTGTCGTCTGCCCATCAGCTCCTGCACTTGGGCGCGGAAACGCTTGGTCTCCTCCTCATTGGCAAAGTTGAGACCCACTTGGCATGTCTGTAGAGTGAAAATACGGCACAATTTGATCAGGGCACTTCAGTAAAGTCATTTATCTAACTAATTATCTCATCAACCTATTCCCAAGATCAGCCATGTCGGCACCATCTCCACATATCTCACGGTCTGCTGCAGTCTGAGCCACCAGCTAAGATGTTTGCTCCATAAATAAAGATGCCGAGTCACATCAAAGGCTTAAGACGTCCCATGAAGTTCGGATTATCACACATGATGTACGTTTTTATGACAGAGAGACATGTACCAACATCTCTGGCAGAAAGACCGGGCAAGACTTTGTCATCAAGTGTCTTTATTTCAGTTCTGTAGAGTAATTTAAGCTCTTTAGCGATTTAAAGGGTTTGCTCTTCAGTTTTGCTCGCTGACTCTGAGGAGAACAGTTTGAACCTGCCGTACAGAACACACTGAGGATAAGCCGTCAGTGCAAGTGAAGTCTTAATAATTCAACAGACAGGATCTTTTGTTTGGCTGAGTGAGAGCTTGTTCAACTGGTTCAGATCTTTTTTTGTACTGTGTGTGACAGACTTCTGCCTCACAGGGACTGAGGAGTCAGGGCTTGACACTAACTTTTATTCACAAGGAGCACATGTGATCCTGAGTTGAAAAAGTAAGGAGCACACAAAGAACTTTAGGGGCACAATGAAAATTGATCAAATAATGTGAGTCTTATTGGTCGACATAAGTACTATTATTTAAAATCAATTTTAGGTTTTTAAGTCACATGACATTGAAGCTATTGAAGGAAAGGTTCAAAATTTGGTCTTAGATTTAACCCAAACATTTTTGAAAGACAAATTTGAGAAAAAAGAGGTGTGCCTTGTTGTCTGACCTTAGTACGATAATTTGAAATCAATTTTAGGTCAACTGGTCACATGACATGGAAGCTATTGAAGGAAAAACAGCCATTTTTGAGAACATGAACCGGTAATTTATTGATGGTCCCTTATTCAACACCCGACGTTGACAGCGGAGGTAATGAGTAGATTTAACCCGCTGCTGTTGCTATTCCAGGTTATGGGGAGTAAGAGGACACTGGTAGATCTGGAGTTGATGCCCGTCGAATATCCAACCTAAAACTGTTTACATGAAAAAATATCTGTTGACTCGGCTGATTTTTTTTTTATGCGCACATGTGCCCCTAAATACATTTTACAATTCACAAACATCTATTTATAGTCCCAAATACGAGTGAAACGGTCGCACTGTCAGGTGCACTATCGGGCACTGGGAGTTTTTAAATATGTCAATTATTCATTTTAGGTTCTTCTCCATGTTTCAGCAAACACATATAATCATCATTTTGAATCTCTGATGTAAACTGTACAGCAGATGTAAACTGCTTGTTTGCAAGAAAGGCGTCTTTGCAAAAAAAAACCCCAAAAGGATGAGGAATAACACAGGGTAATAATGTGAAAATGTGAAAGAGAAGCAGACTTACATCGCCAGCAAATGTGACGAAATAAGGTTTGGAGAGGTAGATGCTGAAGTTGTTGTACAGCTCCTGTTCAAACATCATCCTACCATCCTGGAGAAATAAACAGGTTCAATGTGAGCTCACATTAAGTACAACAGATCCTTTAAGGTAAAACACGAAGGCTTTCTCTCCATGGATGTGGTTCGAAGCAAAAGACTACTTATTGATTTTCTTTATTTTCCAGCTACCTCAGTCATCTCTCGTGAATTTGCAGACATTCTTCTTACCTTGATGTCAAAGACCCTGATGAAGTAGGATCTCTGAGGGTTGTCTTTGACCAGACAGGCCACACCGCAGCATCTCTTGTTCCAGCTGGAGTTTCTATCTGCTGTGAACACCTGGACCACTGCCGAGCACAATGTCTGGAGAAAGAAGGAGAGAGAGTCCCACATACATTAGTGGTGTGTTCTTCTTCCTGTAAGCAAGTTAATGTGTAGAACAGGGGGTTTGAACCAACACACAAGGTGGTAAAAGGATAAAAATAACCCACAGAATACAGAAACTGATGCCTTCTTTAGATTAGTTGTGTTGTTGGCTTTAATGTCCCTGTGACCTTTCCGGTTATCTTAATCCACAGAGCACATGTTTGCAAAACTCATCAGATGTGATGCTGGAGATACAACAGCACTAAATCACCGCACACATACAGCAGAGTACAGGAAAGTGTTTTCACTACACAAGTTCTTAAGTTTAATGTGACAGAAATAACAGCACAACCTGAGATTTCCTCCAGCAGGGAAGCTAATGCAAGCATCTTCAACCTTTGCCCTTTCACCTGTTAAATACACACAACATTAAGTAGGTTTGCTGCCCTAGTTTAAAAGTTTTATCAGAGGCAGATTCTTAGCTGCACTTGATTACAAAAACAGGTTCATACATTTTATCAGTCATTACATGTTCTCTGATTGAAGCTGGAATATCATTATCACAGATTGCTCTCTATTGTTGGTGCAGATCAATACTGCTCTGACTCCAGACCAGACTACAACAACACTTTCCATGCAGGGAAACCAGACCCACAAGTACAGACTCATACAGTTTAAAATCTAAACACTCTCAGATATACTTATTATATCTTAAAGGAGGCAGAATCTGAATTTTAGTCATTTGAAAGAAGGGTGTCCCGATATGATATTGATATCGGATATCAGTCCGATATCAGCAAAAAGATGAATCTCAGATTATATCAGCCTGCATCTAAAATCTCAGATCTCAACACTCTTCTATCTAGCAGCGCCCTGATCCAGCATGCAGAGCCCACGTAATCACAACGACAGTGAGTACTAAGGAAGTAGCAAGGAGTAGGAGTGATGTCGGCCATGTGGCAGTATTTTTTTTGCAATGTTTTTTGAAAAAGACGTTGCAGCTGAGTGAAAAACTTGTCATACACAATTTTGTACCAATATTGGATCAATATCGGTATCGGTCAATATTGAAGGCAACAGTACCTGTATTGTATCTTAAGTAAAAAAGTTGTATCGTGACACCCCTAATTTTAAACATCTAAATTATCATTAACTGTGTTCTAAATCTGTCCATGCTTCACTATCTCTCTGTTTTAAGTGTTTCAGGGGAAGCTTGTGAGTATTGTGACAAAATGCCTGACTGACAGAGTGACAGGAACTCAGCAGGGGTCAATCGTTCTGCCCTGAAGCACTCAGACAATAGTCCGTCAACGCCTCATGTCAAACAAGCAGCTCAGGAATATGACCGTAAAAGATGCATCAGCTCAGCCGAGTGAAAGAAACTTTTGCAAAATTTGGTGTGTACTAAGGATAGAAACCACCCCGACCATGACTGCAGGCTGGGCTTACTCAGATGTTACATTAACATAATAACATTTGAGCATCTCTTGAGGTTGAAAATCCTTCGAGTAGGAAAGGATGACTAATGAGTTATAATAAGGCTGAGCCCCCATACACTCACACACATGCAGCACATGGCTTCATGATTCACATGGTGAAATGAGCACACTCCTGTGTCACAAATTGAGTAATTTTAAATCTCTTTTTGTGACAAGACCACTGCTATTTCATTCTTTAAATGACTCTATCATTCCTGTGCATGTGTGACTTTTTCCACTTTGTCAACATGACCTTTAAAGTAAAGGTGCTTGAAGACCTGCACCCTCCTGCAGAGAGAGCCTGCTACTCTGGCGCTACATGCACACTTACATACACCTACTAACACACCTGCAGCGCACACACATGGTGACATATCCATGATCATAAGAGCGGATCGGCCTCCCACAGGTTTTTACAGGTGGCTGCAGGGACTGTCTCCCTCTCAGGGGTCCAGGATCACAGCCATCATTACCACACACATGAAAGCGAGAGCATCGGCGAGGGAAATGCCTGCTGATGTTAGGGGCCTAGTTCCAGGAATTATGGGAAACCTCAAGAGAACATACAGAGACCTCCTTGTGTTGCTATCGTTGTAATTATGGTATGTTTAAATTAAGCTCATATGTAAGAGCAGAGCTCAGTACAACTTCTGCTAAACCAGATCCACGTTTAAGTCTGATTCTTCCATAAATCCAAAATCCAAAGACTGAAAAAGACACAAATCCCCTGAAAAAATTGGAATAAGATGCCTAAAAGATGATCGTTCAGCCAATATTTGATGACAATAACCTTGCAGCAGGAGTTCATCTCCTTGTATTTCCATTTATCTTCTGCTTCAGCCTCAGACGTTGCTTCATTGAGTCTTGGAGCGCTTTGATTTCAGCTCCGTATGTCGAAAGAATCTGTATTCCTGTTCCTACAAGCATCCAGTCCCCTGGCAGCCCTAAGTCTCCTGATTGTTTGGATTTGTATCAGCATTACCTTGGATCAAAAGAATAATATGAATTTGGCTTCTCTGTGTGCGCAGTGACTGACTGTAATAGGGTTGAAGCTCAGAGGCCCTCAGGGTTTCATCTGCCTGTGGAGCGCTGATTGCTCCTGACAAGGCCGAAAGGCTGCAGGAAGTAGAGCTCAGTCTGTTACGTCATCAACACACGCCAAAAAAGAAAAAAAGAGCTTGTTTGCTCGTATATACATGCTCAGTGATTCAAAATATCAGCTGTCGGTCATCACACATCCAAAATATGCTCTCCTAAATTAAAGAAGTGCAGTATAAAGTCATTTTGAGGCCCAAACCTCAAGGTTCATTTTCCGATTATAAATCATTGAAAGTCCGACTTCACCTCAGGGGTGGCAGCTGTGTCCTAAGCCATCAATTTTTTATGATTCATCAAGAGAGGAACAAAATAATCAATAAATGGGGAAAATGCGTCACAATATAATCAGAAATATGGGGCTTTATTTCACATTCTGTGAGGCAATTATTCCCCAAATTATGAACAAATTAGTTTGTGAAATGAGGTTTTTTTGTTTTTTTATCTTTACAGTTTACTTAAAAAGTTTGAAGTGGATGAAAGCAGAGCCGAGTTATCGAGGTTGTATTTGCATAAGCTGCGTAGTACTTCTGTCTTGTACAAAAAACATTAATTTACAGTCACAGAGATTCTCCAGAGAGGAGGAAAGTAAAAATGGTGAAAGAGAAAAAAGTACAAGAAAAGGTGGAAGAAGGTAGAAGTGAATGACACATAAAGGAAGACATGGGGAAATGAAAGAGAAATGAGAGTGATGGTGAAGGAAGTTAGAAATTTCTTTTTTTTAATTTGTCATAAAAATGTAGAATCTGTACTTACAGGACCAATTCTCAGTATGAGGGAGGATTTTGCTCTGTTTGTCGTACCAGTATTGTCAAAGTAGTTCAGTATGGAGAGCAAAAGTAGGTGGAATACAAACGACTATGATGGCGTCAGTGGCGTCAACTGTTTCCTGATTTTGTTATCATTGCGACAAGGAGACATAATGAACCAAGAGACAGCAGCAAATATTCTGCAGACAAATCTAGAAGAACCTCGGTGTAACTAACTACGTACAGCGACACTGAGACTTCATGTAAAAGAAAATCAATGGAAACTTCTCAATAGACATAATGAACATAGAAACAGCAGACAGATCTAAAGGAGCCTCTGGGTAACTAACTATTTACAGTGAAACAGAGACTCACCAGAAACTAATAATAAGACACTGCTCCTTCTCCACAAGCTGCTCACCCCCTCCTACATTGACACCTGCTGCTCCAGCCACTCTGACTTTTGAACTGTCCTCCATCTCCTCACCTGTCTTTCCCTCTTTGTTATGGACTGGATAGGGTGGAGTCACGTCTCTGACATAGGACAGCGTCTTAAAGGGACATGAGACCATAGCCTACCTACACACATCCAAAACCAACTTTTATTTATTCATTTTTTTGACACAGAATGTATTGATCTGGGCAAAATGAGGTCGCTTATCGATGTAAATTTCGGTTTCAGTAAATTTTCGGTTTATCGCCCAGCCCTACTTCAAGGGAATGTAATATAATGCTGTATATTCTGCAAATCTAGAGTGGTCATTTTTAATTTGCTTTCATTATGAAGAACACAAAGTTGATCTTAAGTTGCTCAGAGGATTGTAAACAGTGCAACTTACGCAAAAGGAAGCCTTGGATATAAGTTATGAGTGCTGACTGATGGCTACAAACCGATTACCCAAGCAGCAGACCATTACCCTCAATGGCATTACACCAGACAACGGATTCTGAGATAAGAGAATTAAAGAGATGTACAGACACATATTCAAAATGATGGGGGATTCAAAACATGCCTGAAAAGAGGACCACCACAAATATGAATGATCGTAAAGGGGGGAAGATGGGAGTGGATGATATTAAAGGGGTGCAGCAAAGCTAAAAAGGATTCAAAATTAGAAAAAAAAAGGGATGAAGTGGAGAAAAAGAGGAGTCATGTTCCACCTCTCCAGCACAAATCACCAGAGGAGGCCGACCATGGGACTTCCTGTAGGATAGGACTGCTGATCAGGCAGTCTGCACACACACACACGGGCACACACACACACGGGCACACATGCACGGGCACACACACAATGTGAATTGGACTCCTTCCACCTTTTGCCCAGTCAGACAGTGTCGCTGACGGTGAAAACAGCAAAAGGAATACTAATGCATAAAACCAATGAGTGAGACCACTGTGTGTGTGTGGACATGAATGTCTGTCTGCATCCTCCTCCATGTATGAGACAGGCATAATACACACTTATACACTTCTATTTGATTCATGAAATATGATAAAGGGGTTGTTCATATTTAAAGAAAACATGTCTGGTTATTTTTGCATCTTTTGGTTGCAAAACAAAGTCCTGTGCAACAAAAAATTCAAATAACACCAGGTCATGGACTGAGAAAGAAAATATGAGTAGCGTCATTAATAAATTGAATGAATGCTTGCTCTTTCATTGGGATATCTTTGGTATGAAAAGACTCCTAAAATGTTTTGCATCCAATTAAATTTCTCTGAATATTGAAGTCTGTTCCTGTGGCTATTCTGTGCAAACACAAAGCTTTCTAAGTCACTGCTAGACATAAAATCTTGGTCTTCACTGCCAAAACTTCAAGCAAGAAGAGTCACTAAATCACCAGTGGGCATTTTAATTAGATTGGTTGGGGAGACACACAATGTCAGTGTCTCTCCCTCCTATACTCTCCCTGCATGCAAATATGTGTACGAACACACAAGAGCGTAGGACTGTGAGGAATGTTCCTGTTTCCCAGTCACATGCTGAGGGACACGACTGCCAGAATGCCAGAGGAACGTCGTCACTGGATGTTTTCTCAAACAGGTTACAAAGGTGTAAACGGCACACCTCAAAAGCCTGTGCAATCATGTGGAGAAGGAAGAGGCGGGACATCCCAACATGTGACCGCACAATACAGGCCTGTCAGTCTGTGTCATGGGACAGGAAGTGAAGCCTCACACAGCAGGAGCATAACGCACTCATGGCAATGAGATGAGGCTTATCAACAATGAGGAAGTGCCAATTCCCATTTGTTCCTGCCATCACCTTTATCTGACAATAATTACAGGAAGCTATGATTGCTATAAGGAAGCAACCTGAGAGCAGACTACGTGATAGTCTAGAGTATGGATAAACAACATACATACTTTTGTACATAATTTGTTTCATACGCATGCTATTCACACCTGTTCTTAGCTTTATGTTCTGACCTTTATCTGTAAAGATAACTTCATGATGCCAAGCTAAAATATATATTCACAACATTTATATAATGTTAGAAAAATGCTGCACAAGTCCAACTAAAATTGGCCTTTCAAAACAAATGAAATTCCCTGACTGAAAACACACCACCAACAATTTATTAAAGTCTAAAGTGGATCCAAATGTGTTAATTCTCCAGTTTGCACATTGGCCCTTAACCTAATAGTCAAACAGTGCAAATGAGTTGAAGGCGGCCAGTTAGTACACCAAACCTTGACAGAAAAAAAGAAGTCAAAATACTAAGATTTTATATTGTTTATACAAAACATACAGAGCTTCACCATTGGACGTGCAACTAGCACGTTCATCTCTTTGTTAAGTGTTTTGCTATGGGATGTATAGGGTCAAACAGAAGACAGTCCAGTGGTAACTGGCTGAAAGGGTTCTGAATGAATTGCCTAATTGAGTCTAATTGTAACTTGACCTAACTCTGTAAACAATACACTAGTGGACTGAGGAAGTAAGGGGTCTCCAGCACCTCACTTGACATCTATTTCAGACAAACTAGATCCCTGTCATGTTTGTCTTTCCACTGACCAGCATTCCTCTTCTTCATTATAAAACCACCATCAAATTTTTTTAATGGTTGCTGCGGGGATGTATAATGACTGTTTCCGGTCCCGATAAGCTACCGGTAACCTTTTACTCATTAACAAGCCCACACATTTCATTTCAGTGGCTGGTGATACATAATGCACTATTAGCTGACAGTGAAAATAGCATTGTGGTTGCTTCTTTCCTCCACTTCTTTGAATAAGGATGTTATGATCGCAACTTGCAAAACATTTGCTCTAAGTCTTCTGACTAAGAAGAGGAAAAAAAGTTCTTAAGTTTCAACATAACCATTTTTTTCAATTACCTGAAAAGTTGTCACCACAACATAAATTTACTTAAGAAATATTAAGCGGCAGCAGCAGGTATCCTGATGCTGGTTCCACCAGGATTTAGGAACTGGAGAAACTAGCAACAGCCCAAAAGCAAATAATGACAAAATTACTGAATCAATAGTATGTGATGATGGATCTTTTACGGAGGTAGGAAACCAAGGATGTTGTTGCCCTTTAAAACATTATCCCTGCACACATTCACAGTCTGATCGACAACAATGACAACATAGACTTCTGACATTAGCCCACTGAGTTTGCTTAGCTTGACGAAGAAGACATTGTTGCATTCACCGAAGCACTCCAGTTCACAGCTAAAAAATGGGAAATAGGTAAAAATAAGGACAGTTGAAGAGTCAGATATTGTCACCCTATTAAAATAATGGTATGGCATGATCCTTTTAACGAAGGATTTATGCGATTTTACCAGAGATGTTCAGCATTATCAAGAGATGATTTGGGCCAAAAACCCATTTTTGTCAAAAATGACTCAAGTCCTTATTTTAATAGGGTGATGATATCCTCTTTGTGTGTGCACCTGTGTTGACAACAGTGGTTTCAGATGGAATTGTTACACAATATGTACTGTTTTCTTAGACACTATATGCTTATTTCAATGCCAACAATGACTGACAAATAAAGCCACCCCTGAAGCACGTTTGTGGTCTAATGCTGTGTCTTTCAATATTAGCTTTACCTGCTGAAACTGTTTATTCAATTAACCTGTCTTGCGAGGGTATAAAGCTGAAAAACAAAACACTTTGGAAGAATATAAGAGTATTTCATGTGTGAGGGTTTTGCTGTAACTGCAAGCTTGAAAATGTTGGCTAATATCTGATGGGGACATAGGATTTGCAACAGGCACAGTGCACATGTAGGACACACTAAAGTGAGTCAGCTAAATGTTAGATTTGTTACGCAATACATGAGTATCTCACAATATTGAGTCGTGACATTTCACTCCAGATTTGGATGTAAAGAGCAGATTTCTGGTCAGGTTTTCGGACTGGTATGTCTTCCATTAGGGCGGACTTTCAGTTTGTCAGTCACATAAGTCTGCTCGGCACATTCTTCCCTGTGGACACACTTCCTGAAAACAACCAATGTTCAGTTCGCTTCGTTATGTAATGCCAGTACAAAATCATTGCTTTGCCCTGCTTTCCGCTGATGGCTTTAACAGACCCACAACACAAACTGTTCACGCCACTTTGACAACGCTAATCTGGGTGCGTTTATGTACCCACATCAGCATAGTAACGCTGCGTTTCCTGGATGATTCCAGGTGTGTCGGGCTTCAACTTCAAGGCGTTCCTTGCTTTAACCAAACTGTCACCGTCTAAAAACACGGGAAATCTGCTCCCAATACCTTCTCGATGCATTCGCTGTCAAAACAAACCAACCTCATTAGTTTCAAGTCCATGTTGTTGCTTGTTCAACACAAACACGTTACCCCCGAAGCCACAACATGAAAAAAACTACAGGCCACAAACACACCGTTACACCTAACAGCTAGCTTTAACCGCCGTGTCTCGATACTAGCTTTTCCCCTGAGTCGGCTATCAAACAACTATTTGATGGGAAGAAACTTACAATGCATTTCCTGCCAAGGTGGCTGAAAAGGACTTCATTTTCCTGCTGTGTCAGTAGTAAAGACCCGACGTTTGCTATCCGCCGTTGCGGCGGATGTCCACTCATAATTGGAGGTCAGTTTGTGAAGTATGCACCGACTGGAACTCGCAGTCTGAGACCCACAAAGATACATAAACAATCCTCTGGTCCTCCGTGGCCTTCCCCAGACCCCTTCACATCGGTTCAGTTTATCCCGAGGGTCCTCAACACGGGGGTGCTACAAAATGTACACCGTGTATGGATGCGATGAGACCTCCCGCTTCTCTTTTAAACCAGGTCAAAACTGTAGCGGCAGGGCGAAGACGGGAAGAAGGCAAAAACTTTCCTGGGAAGTCCGACCGCCACAGAGCCCAGAGCCAGCTCCATCCAACATGGCAGTGTTAGGGCGAGTCCACTATATGGGAATAGGGAGCTCATGTTCCCGAGATGTGTCCCATGTAACCTTAAAGACAACATTTAGACATTATAAACGCGTTACTTTGTCATATTATCTATTTGAAATAATGTTATTTTTTAAGTGAACACGTAGTTGAGAAAATCAGCCTACTGAAACAACAACTCATAGTCCACCCTCCACGCAGATGGTTCGGTCCAGTCCGCCCGTGGCTTTTATGACAGGAATGTGAGCGAGAGCAGCAGAATGGGAGGAGATAAGAAATAAGGTGCAAGTTGCCAAGATAATTTCATGCAATTCGACCTCTGAGAGCAATGATTGATCCGGGAACTAATGAAATAATCAATTTATAGTTTGAATGTATATTTAAGAGCTGAGGGGGAGGGAAGTTTTAGCTTTCCTTGAATTTTGATAAATTTAGGCTTGATCTAAGAGGGATAAAAGACTGATCTCGTTTTTTCTGGAATATCTATAAATATCCTATAGCTGGCTTGGAATAGTAAAGTTAGGACTGCTCCAGATACTCAACATAGCCCCAAGCTTAAGACTGACATATGCTTCAAAATATACATAACATAGCCAGCATATGCTTCTGGAGTAACTATTCTTGTCAGCAGTCAAAATACTTAAAACCATAGCTGTTCACATCAAATTTCATGCTGCAAAATACAAAGCATCCAACACTTTATTGACTCTATGGAGGTCTCTGAAAGATGCCTTAAACAAGGTTAGCACGTGTGAGTCATACATCTTAACAGTGTGGCAGTGGGTGTTTGTAGCACCCCAAACACGCTCCATCAGGCCCTTATAAAGGTTTTGTTGTGATCAATTCATGTTAGAAAGGATTCAGCTCTTGACCATCACTTGTGCAACTTGCATTCGCATTCTTATGAGTCAGTCATGTAACAGGATATGCGTCCTTTTGCTTGAAATACACATCGCTTACAAGGATTCTGGCATGGCTGCAAAGAAAGTCAAAGAGGCTATGTTAAAATGATATGTGCAAATTAATCCCTAGACTTTACAAGTCATATCTCTTGCCATAGTTTTGAAACAGCTAATGAATAATTGGATCTGATTTGCATTGATTCATGCAGAGCTTGACTTGAAATAAGCTCTTACATAATCTCCATGACCCAAATTATGAGCTTTGTTTGACCGTGATATATTCAAAGGCGGCACAGTAGTTTAAATAAAACTCCCACCATAGTCCTACTCCATGTAGACCTTATGCTCAAATGTAATGTGTGTGAGACTAATCACTGCATACATTCACACTCACTGGGGATGATATCAACTGACAAATAACTCAAACCATCAGACTGGTGTGAAATGTCAACTGGTACTAAATTATTAAAGCACAGATTTCATTAAAATTGTATCCAAGCTATCAGCCAACTTCAAAAGAGAGATTTCATTTGGACTTTCATCAAAAAGCAAATTTTTTCAGACACTTTTTATCGTAGGAGACTTCTGGTTACCAACAGCTCTGTGTGCATTTTTGACTTGCCTGTTGTTTCCACTTAAACCTTCACAAATTTGTACGAGTGATACTGCTGTTTGTAATTAAATGAACATATCAGAACTTATCGCCCACGTGTGTACCATAAATGCAGGGTTAGTCTGTTGGGTTAATGAGCTTCCTGGTGGAAAATTCAGATTGATCACAAACCTAATTGGGTCAGGGAAGCCTTTGAAGTTGTGTTTTATGAGGTTCTTGTCAATATTAAGTGCTTTATTGTTGATGGGATACCAGCTGGTATGGCCCATGCATCAGAGCTTGAATAGAAGCAAGGGTCATGTAACTGCTGCAACAAAGTACAGCAATGTGTATATATATATCAATCATCCTAATTCTTTTTAGTGCTATTCTTTGCAGCCTGGAAGCTCAGTTGTTTTTTCTCAACAATAGGCCAAGCTAAAAAGTATTCTCTGTGGGTTGCTATCTACAAATACCTCACACACCCACTGTAAAAAAACCCACAAAAATGAAAAGGACCATCCATTTCATGCTTCCAGTTCTTTACATTTGTCTCAAAAGTGGTACATTATACCACCAAAACAAACAAACAAACAACAACATCAACAACAAAAACATACTATTATACATTTATCCAGTTAGACAAGCTAAAAATAACCATCTGTTTGTTTTAACATCTCTTGGTTTGTTCTCAATCAGATACAGGAGATGTCTTGTGGACAAAAACTAACCCCTGTGTGTCAAATCATGCAAACTAAAAAGACTGATAAATTGCAGTTTTTAAAGAAACATTATTGGGAAACTATTAACCGCTTACTCTGATGGACACAACTTGTCATGCCGTCTCTTGATTCTTTAAATTTACATTGTTAGTATTCAATGCAAATAAAATTCTGCACTTTTTATGAGTTAAAACTGTTGTTATTTTGGAGGTTTGGTATTACTTTAGTATGTCTCCATCTATGCGAACTCTTTTTTCAGTGAAGCTGATAAACACTTTTTTAGTTTTTCAAGATGCTTCGTTCATATAAAGGATAAACATGCAGAAAAAAAAAGATATATTAGGATTATAGAGCATCGGGAATCGGTCTTAAACAGCTTCTGATACTTTAAAACTCTGCCCTGTACATGCTCTCACTCTTTCTTCCATGTGCTTCCACCTTCCTCTGCCACATTCCCTGCTCACTTGCTCTCTGACAAGAGTCTCGTCTGACTTGAAAAACCCGCCGGACGGGCAGAGAAACACCTGGGGAAACTAGCCTTGGTTTAGGGAGTTATAGAAAAGTTAGAGATGACTCATCCTGAATATGCAGTGATGAGACTCACGCCTATGTTCATGCAGTAACTTGATGAAGTTGGCTTTTTTGCATCTCTGAATGAGATGAAGAACTAGAGGGGAACAAGCGGAAACAGAAGTTTAAGTATGAGGTTTTTAAATATGTGAATAAAAAGCCAGTTCCTCTGTTTTCTTTTGTGTAAAAATAAAACCTTAATAGCTGCAAAAACTCGCCGTTCTAGATATCCCAAATGCATGAAACCAAAAATTCCCAAAAGTAGTCATAACACAAGCCAGCAATTACGTAAATAAGGAAGTGCTATGTCCATCAGTTGACGTATTGAGTAGGACACAGAAGCTCTATTCATTGAAATCCAATGACACAGACAGCTAATACAGTTTGGTATGCACTCACTTACCCAAGAACATGACGATGGCACCAGGAACAGATACCTTACTTATTTCTAAGGAGCAGAAGGTGCTGAGGTGTGAGCATGTGCAGGAAATCCTTCTTAATGCATGTAAATAAATGTTTGAATATGTGTTTATGAGTTTGTGTGGATTGAAGTGGGAGAAGACTCTGAAGGTGTTAATGCTTTATGTGTTTTGGGGGTGAAGACTTACCCTCTGGGGCTTTGCCCTTGTGAAACATTCATTTGACCCATTTTTGACAACAAAGGGAAAAATGAGGTTACGAGAGAGGCGAGGAAGAGGACAACATGAATATTATATTGTGAATTCTGGAGGAAGACATCCCCTGCAGGCTGCTGAATGAATATTTCATAAATGTGGCCTTTACACATCTCCTCAGCATGTTTTACTATGTGGATTTTTAGAATTATCATAATGGGGTTATTAAGCCCCTGCGTGAATACGGATTAGATGAACACACAGGTTCATACAAACTAATCTTTTTCAATGTGTGTAGCTGTTTTTCTTGAATATTTGATCTATTTAAATGTAAAACACTGTATGAGTTTACCTCCAAGGACCTCTTCAGACTTTTAACAATCTTAGAGGGAAATATCTCGCAGTTGTTGAGTCTCTCACACTCTAAAGGTATAAAACACCACCTGTGAGGAGAGAGCACAAGTAAAAACTTCGAATAAATATCACCCAAACAATGATCTGTGGTGTTATAAAGTTGATTTAATTCTGTAATATTCCTAACTTGTGGTGTTCTTGTTTGGGTAAATCTGTGTAAGACTTTAAGTATTACTATGAAGGGACCTCAGAGGTAAAGATTTCAATTTAATGCACTGAAACTTGCACAGTCTTTGCAGTTTTACCACAAGACGGCAGCATTACAAATATCAACGTCCTCACCTCATGATATGTCATTATGTCACATTAACTTATTTGATATCATGTCATTTAAATCTGTGGGTTTCAGGAAATACCAAACTGGGGGCTTCCAAACAGAAAAACATGTACCAGGGTGGTGTTTTTCCAGAGTTTCTAAGAACCACTCAAATAAATCTGTCTATGGGGGAGAAAGTCTTTTTTTCCCCCCTAATATAATAATAATGATTCACATGAACACAATCTTCAAGGGGATCAAAAATAAACTCAACTTTGGTTTTAAAGGTCTCAAGCAAAAGTACCATTGAAATAATGCTGTTAATATCAATAATGGTCACATATATACTAACTGGTTTTGCTCACCATTTGGGTTAAATTTGGGATTAGGGGTATTATGCTTTTCCACATTTACAGAAAAAAAAAAATAAATAAAAAGTCACTATGTTTGGTGTCCATACTGGATGTTTGCAAAGTTTGAAACACAAGGCTTTTTTTAAAATCTGAAAATCATGTAAAGCTATTAAAGAGGTATCAGAAAGGAAGTTTAGAGCCAGAAAAAAATGTATAATACCCCCTCCTTAAATTAACCAATTTTTGAACAAAACCAGACATTTGGGGGTTTGTTTGCTATTACTGATAGCCTCAATTGGACACTCAAGGTACTGAAGTTTTTAGCACTTTTGCATTGGCTTCATTTTGAAGCACCTGCTTGTAGTTGTCCTTGAATGTCAGTGCTCTGCTTTTCTTTGGTCCGTAAATTGTTGGAAGTGAAATACGTTTGTTTTGAGCCCTTACAAAGTCAAGCCAAGGATTTTGATGTTGCCACACTGTTGCATTACTTCATTGACACTTAAATGTTAGCTTTAATGTTGGTTACACAAAAGGATTACTTGTGAAAGACAGGGTTAATTGATGTGTTATATATATGTGTGCACACAGTCATCATTACACACCACTATAAGTTGGTGGCCGAGTTGGGTCACCACAGCCTAAAAAGTCTGAATCCACCCCTGCTAACAGATCTGTCAGAGTAAGATGATTTTAGAATGAGACATAATTGAACTGCAACTGTTCAGACTAACTTTTACCACAAGATGGCAGCATTTTAAAACCTATTAAACACATTGTATGTCTTACTGCTGCTGAATGCACTCCGCACATTGGTTACTGGATCAATTTACATCCAGCCAGCATCCATTTCAGAGTGCAAGAGCTTCTGTGCATAATCCCACTGTGTGATTTAAGACAAAACTAGACGAAAAAAGAGGTTGGGGCAAAAGTTTCAAAGTTTCTCCTGAATATAAGGATAGTGTTTGTTGTGTTACAGTTTGATTATTTTGGAGGAAGGGGATGCAGCTCCTGCAAAACAGTGACAAATGTATTTATTTGTGTTTGGCCAAAACAGATGACCAAATATGCATGTCAGAAATATCAGTCAGTTGATTAAATTATATTCATATAGTACTTTTTTTTAACATTAAATCCAAATTTAAGTGCTTCAAACAAGCAAGTGTAACTGAGAAAGAGCAAAAATTACATAACCTTCATTTACTTGTGCTTTTCGAAAAACACACGAACACACACGTCCTTCTTGTAAAAACAGCTTTTAGGGTCAAGGGTCACTGTCCCAGTATACACAGTGTGTCACTGACTTGTGAAATAACCACCACCATTTGGTATTACAATCCCCTGAGCAGACACATAAACACATATGGGGTAAACAGTCCACTGTATATACCCAACACAGTGCACAGTAATGTATTGCAGGGGGTGAGAAGTGTTGAACTACTTTTATTTATGGTCCTTTATCTTTAAAACAAATAGAAACAGGCAGACAGAAGTTTGCCAACACTCAAAATTTGCAGTAAAAGAGATAAGGTGTTTCTAATTCCATCAGTTCCAGCTGCACCCTTGCCACTTAGGTGTCAAATCTCCCTGTCTCCAAACTGTAGAGGGGGACTGTAAAGGTTTCGCGGCAGATTCATAGCACGCAGCATGTTATGCAATAATTTTTTCCAACGACATAATTCCTCATTGGAGGAGGAAAGGTGTCCATTAACATTCTTTACTTTCATAAAATGTTGAACCTACAACCCTCTGAATCAAAACCTAATTGTATGCTATTACGCGACAAGCCATCTTAAACCAATGACATCATCAGAGCAAGGAGCTAATCCCACCCCAGGTGACAAATACCATCATCAACCAGGGGGGAAACTGCAGCCTCAGCTCCATACTGATGCCCCACTCATGATTCACTGATGCCCTCCTCATTGTGTTTCAGTACGAGGACAGTGCACGCTCCATGACCTCACACCCAGGTGTGCCGTCCTCCTCGGCTCCAGCTCCAACTTGGCACTGAGCGATCAAAACAAGACGAGTGCATCTTTACACACAGCTCTGCCCACCATGCCGCCGCTGTCCCACCTATATCAGCGTCATTTCTCTGACAATAATCTCACTCTCTGTGCCACAGTCAACGCATCTGATGGGGAGACAGTTCCACTGAAGGCATGTCCAGGTACTGTGCCTCTTTTCTGTTGGTTTGGAGCTGACAAGGTCTTATTATTGACTGTAGGACATATTTGCTGTTTTTGTGTGGCAAGATGATGAGAACAGATTTATGTCAGGTTTGTCTGAATGTATTTGATCAGATTTCAGGCTGTATTTAATGGTCCTTTAACTTCAAGAGAAAAACACTTTATAGATCGTCACCCTATTAAAATAATGGCATAAGTCATTTTTTGAAGAAAATGAGTTTTTGGCCCAAATCATCTCTTGATAATGCTGGCCATCTCTGGTCAAATCGCCTAAATCTTTAGTTGAAAGGATCATGCCATGATCCTTTTTTTACCAGAGATGGCCAGCATTATCAAGAGGTGATTTAGGCAAAAAACTCATTTTTGTCAAAAATGACTTGGGCCATTATTTAAATAGGGTGACGAGATTCAAGTTTTGTATGTGTAAGCGGGCCTACTTTGCCAAAACTGACACGAATGCTCCATGCTTATGTTGTGAAAAACTTGACAGCTTGGGTAAAATCGCATTAAGTTTCACACGAAAGTCAAGTTGTGTTACATCTTACATGTCGGTGTAAATCTATAATTTAAACAAGTGTTGAAACATGTGGAGTTGCACCAGATGTTGGGCACAATTGTTGTAAAGCTAGATATAAAAGCATAAAAGAGTCGATATCAGTAGTGATCGACTGGTTTATTGGGCTGATCAATGGCATTTTGATGGAATCAGCATTGTATCTGCATCTGTCCTTGCAAGGCCGATATCCTCATTATTTTTCAGAATTAAAAACACATTTAAAAGCCTGTTATGTCTAAAACTGTGACTGTCTTGTTTCTTATATAAATCCTGTTTTAGTGTTTAGAACAATGCAGATAACGATATGAATATAAGCCTTGTGCGTTTTCTTCTTTCTTACTGATTTCAGATCAGTAAGACTTCTCTTGTGACGATATTTAAAAGGGCTGTTTTGTATAGTTTGATTCATTGTAATTATGAAAGTACTGCTCATCATTATGAAGTAGACTAACCTGTTGTCTCTGTTTTATTCTGCTTTTCTTCAGCCGGGAGAAAAGATGGTTTCTGTTACACGGAGGAGCAGTTGTTTGCTGCTGCTTCTCACGATAAATCTTTCTGTCTACCCCCCTCTGCTTATCTTCATCCTGATCAGACCTGCTGTTTCTATATCTGTCCAAACATCACCAAAAGTCGAGACCACTACAGTTAATAACACCAACTCATCAATTTTTTCCAACATTGGTGCAACTCCCACAATCCTAATATCATCTACCTCCACCAGCAGCTCAATATCTTCTCATGAATCAACACTAGCTTCTTCTACAATGTCTGACATGGATCAAACGTCCCCCAGAGACCTTTTCATATCTTCACCATTGACACCTTCAAAAACCTTCAAAAGCTCTGAGAGTGGTAATCCAGTCCGATCCCTCCAAAAATGTCACCTTTCCAAAAGGACTCTGTATCCCACATCTTTTAAAAAATGCCAACCTCACACTACCAAAGTCTTTCCCTCTTCTAACTCAACTTTTTTTCCTAAAAGCTTACCATCGTACCCTTCAACTCAAAATGCTTCAAATGAGCTCCCCTCTCTTCAGTCAACTCTGTCCTCTCCCAACGCAATCTTGCCTTTGACCCCCAAAACATGGCCGCTCTTTATAGCCAAACCTTCCCCCATCCCTATCCCGAACTTGACATCGCCCCCAGAGACAGCAGCCTTGTACCAGCCTGGGTCGCTTCCACCTCCTCCATCTCTACCTGACACCACGAGTCCGCTGTTTGAGCACCAGCCTTTCTTTGTGACTTGGAACATCCCTGATCGAGTTTGTAAGAGAAACAACATCTCATTGGACACATCGCCTTTTCATGGAGTGTCCACGCCTGCTAAGGCAAGTGTAGAAAACATCTGAACATCTCTGGGTCTCAGTCTCCACGCCATCACAAGAACTATTGATCTTCCTGAAAATGTTGTTTTGTACTTTTTTTTTTTTTTTTTCCAAGAAATTTAACAGCTGTTTCACTTTTTAATCTCTACTGCAGGTCCCCGGTCAGTTCCTGTCTCTGTTCTACGCAGACCGACTGGGTCTTTACCCACATGTAGATCTCAAGAGCAGAAAACTGTACAATGGTGGCATCCCGCAAAGAGGTGATCTGAAAGCCAGTATGCTGAAGGCCAAAGCAGATATTAACTACTACATCCCATTCAAGTAAGATTACCACATTCAAAACCCCACTTCTTGATTTCCTCACTCATTTGATACTGATCTCGAAGTTGCTCTTCATCCTCTAGGACAAGTCTTGGCTTGTCAGTGATAGACTGGGAGGAATGGCGCCCTCTATGGGAAAGAAACTGGGGCACTAAAAAAATTTATCAGACTCTGTCTGTGGCTCATGTAAAGCAACAAAACGAGTCCCTCACTGAGGAGCAGGCCACAAAGATCGCCAAACAACAATTCCAGGTCAGAGATGACATTGTATGAATTCTTTCTGAAAAGCTGATTGGTGTTTAACTTTACTTTTTCCTTCTTTTTTGTAGTTGGCAGCAAAGAGTTTCATGTCAGGGATGTTGGCACTGGGCCGATCAATAAGACCCAACTATCTCTGGGGCTTCTATCTGTTTCCAAACTGCTATAATCACGGCTGGGAGCATCCAGACTACACAGGCCAGTGCTCTGAGGAGGTGAAGAGGCAGAATGATGAGCTGTTCTGGCTGTGGGAGTCCAGCACTGCCCTCTATCCCTCAGCCTACCTGCAGGTCAGGGTCATTTCAAATTCAGAACCCACTGGCTTTAATCTGCTGACAGTGTATTTATGTCTCTGAGGACAATGAACACCTCATCTATAGCCAGTGGCTAGTCGTGGACGACACCACTACTGGCCACTCTGATCAGCAAGTAGAGAAGTGACCATGTACCCAGTGTGTGTGAATTAACCTCTCTATACATGTCTACATAATACACTGTATTGTTTCTCGGTTAATGTCATTGCCTAGTTATTTGTTTCTGTCACTGTCTCAGATTCTTCGTGGCATAGATTCAACAAGGTGCTGGAAGCATTCCTCAGAGAGCTTGGTCCATATTGACATGATGGCATCACACAGTTGCCGCAGATTTGTCGGCTGCACATCCATGATGCAAATCTCCCGTTCCACCACATCCCAAAGATGCTCTATTGGATTGAGATCTGGTGACTGTGGAGGCCATTTGAGTACAGTGAACTCATTGTCATGTTCAAGTAACCAGTCTGAGATGATTCCAGCTTTATGACATGGCGCATTATCCTGCTGAAAGTAGCCATCAGAAGTTGGGTACATTGTGGTCATAAAGGGATGGACATGGTCAGCAACAATACTCAGGTAGGCTGCGGCGTTGCAACGATGCTCAATTGGTACCAAGGGGCCCAAAGAGTGCCAAGAAAATATTCCCCACACCATGACACCACCACCACCAGCCTGAACCGTTGATACAAGGCAGGATGGATCCATGCTTTCATGTTGTTGACGCCAAATTCTGACCCTACCATCCGAATGTCGCAGCAGAAATCGAGACTCATCAGACCAGGCAACGTTTTTCCAATCTTCTATTGTCCAATTTCGATGAGCTTGTGCAAATTGTAGCCTCAGTTTCCTGTTCTTAGCTGAAAGGAGTGGCACCCGGCGTGGTCTTCTGCTACTGTAGCCCATCTGCCTCAAAGTTGGACGTACTGTGCGTTCAGAGATGCTCTTCTGCCTACCTTGGTTGTAACGGGTGGTTATTTGAGTCACTGTTGCCTTTCTATCAGCTCGAACCAGTCTGGCCATTGTCCTCTGACCTCTGGCATCAACAAGGCATTTCCGCCCACAGAACTGCCGCTCACTGGATATTTTTTCTTTTTCGGACCATTCTCTGTAAACCCTAGAGATGGTTGTGCGTGAAAATCCCAGTAGATCAGCAGTTTCTGAAATACTCAGACCAGCCCTTCTGGCACCAACAACCATGCCACGTTCAAAGTCACTCAAATCACCTTTCTTCCCCATACTGATGCTCGGTTTGAACTGCAGGAGATTGTCTTGACCATGTCTACATGCCTAAATGCACTAAGTTGCCGCCATGTGATTGGCTGATTAGAAATTAAGTGTTAACGAGCAGTTGGACAGGTATACCTAATAAAGTGGCCGGTGAGTGTAATACACTGTATTGTTTCTCGGTTAATGTCATTGCCTAGTTATTTGTTTCTGTCACTGTCTCAGATTCACTATAAACTATAAACCCTTAAAGCTCCTGGGAGGAACTTTTGGTTATGCCAGTTTTGTCACCCCTTGTGGACAAAGCAGATTTTTCTTAACTTGTCCTCTACATGCTTGAGTAGTGTGTTCTGAAAAAAAATTTCATCCCAACATTTGCTCTCAACCTTTTATATGAAAAGTGTAAAGACGGGTCTGCAGCTGCTCGGCTGACACCTAACCCTTGCAAAGGTTTCAGGCATTAAAAATTACATGATAAAAATTGTCAATCTATTCAGAGATGTTCTTGCTTTTGTAGATGGTAAAAAGTCATGAGTGTGAATTTCAGACCATTTCATAAGATATAAAAAAACCCCTCATCTTAGCTTTAAGTTTTCTGAAAGAGCTTCGTGATGCAGAATTAGGAGAGGAAAATCGCAAGCTTTGTCAGGAAAAATCCAAACTTTGTTAAGACTTTGTCAAGACAACAACGTTTGCTTGTTTGTTGGAAGTATGAGTGATCAGTTAGTTTGTACTGTTTTTCCATCAGATTAGGGCTGGGCGATAAAACAATAATAGATATCAAAAATTAATTTCCCTTGATATCGATATAAAACATGGTCAATACGCTTTTCGACAGTCCGCATTCTGCCATGTTTTGGTAGACTATACGAACAGCCAATAAAAAGGGGAGTTGTGTGAAGTAGCAAACAACTGCATAGTAGCAGGACGTAGCTACATGCAACCATAGCACTTTAACACGTGGGGCCGACAGCGCTGTCGGTGAGAAAAAAAGAAAATGAGTGCTACCCCCAGCAGAAATGCGGATAAGGGCTCAACAGATGATGACATTGTCAACAACTCTGGCACGAAAACGTCAGTGGTGTGGAGGTATTTTGTTTTTTAAGGTCGGACATGAGGCAGAGTAATGTACACTGCAAATTATGTCGAGTACATGTTCTCGCAAAGTTGGGGAATACCTCAAATCTTTTTCACCACCTGAAGCAGTGCCACGCAGCAGAGCACGCACTATGCAAAAGGTGGAGCAAAGAGCTCATGGCGCCTGTGCAGCTGAAACAGCCGACCATTCAGTCCGCTTTCTCTGGTGCAACGCCTTACAACAAAAAAGAGACCTCACAGATGCAGTAGCTTATTGTATCGCAAAAGACATGCTACCAATAAGCACTGTTAAATTTCATTTTTGATATCATGATTTATATCGATATCGACGGATCTGAAAAAATATATCGTGATAAACCTTTTCCCACATCGCCCAGCCCTACATCAGATCTGTTCATGTCTGCCGTTCTAACACGGGTCAAAGTGTCTCGAGGACCCAACCCTTCCAGCTAATCACTGCCCACCATAAACTTCATGAGGAGGGTCTATAGAGATAAACAAATTGTAACCTCTTCAAACAAAAACAGTAACTTTTCAATCTTGATACCTGGAGGTTTAAAGGTAAATCTTTTTCTCTATCTTTGCACTGTTTCAGGTTTCTCTGGCAGACAACCCGAAAGCTGCCCTGATGGTGAGAAACCGTATCCAGGAGGCTCTGAGAGTATCAGCCCTGCCAAGACCAAGTGCCACCGCACCTGTGTTAGTTTACATGCGGCCTGTCTTTGTCGACCAAAACAGACGCTTCCTCAGCCAGGTAAATAAGAGGAATTTAAATGTTTATTTGTTTATTACATGCTGCATTGTTGGTTGTATTATGTAACACCGACCTCTCTTTGATAGACATGTATTATCGATCCAAAACTCTTCACTTTTGGATCAATAATTTAAGTCACAGTAAGGTTAAATTTAAGAAATGACCCATTACCCAGCAACCACTGCAAACACTTGGCTAGATTAGACAAAGATTGGGTTACTTCCTCATTCGTGTGGTGAGGTGTTTTTAGCCGGAGGTCCAGTTTTGAGAGGAGTTTGGTTTCTTGGTGTAACAGCACCCTGCTCAGGTGGTGACCCTCATCCTCTTTTGTCACCCTGTACTCTGTCTCTGTGTGTATTTTTTGGAGAAGAACAGTCAAAATGTCCGTGTTTCATGATAGTTTGAGTGTCTGTGAAAGTTTCCTTGTGCTTTTAAAAAAGGTGGTTATGAATATGTTGTGTACAGGAAGACCTGGTCAGCACCATTGGTGAGAGTGCAGCAGTGGGGGCCTCTGGAGCTGTGATGTGGGGGGCCAGTGCCGACTTCAATGACCAGGTAACATCACACCGCAGACCTCCACCGGACTGCAGAGAGACATGACAGAGCTCTGATGGCAGGTAGTTTGAGCAGAGACAATATGTTCAGGGAGATGGTGTCGGAGTGTGCTGACACTAAAGGGGCAGAAGGTACTGATGGATTACACTGGCTGGTTGTGAAACAGGAGTAATTCAGGGTAGGGAAGTAAAGATTAGCTTGATGATGGAAAGCTTCACTAAATGGCTGTCTACATTCTTGCGCATTCATGTTGTCAGATATTCGTATAATGAGATATTTAGAATTGATTAGCACAAAAGCTTCCCAATATTGTAAGCAGCACTACTACACTCCACTATACTGTACTTTTGATAACTTAAGGATTGATCATTAATGGTTTAATGAGCAAGTTTGGTATATATATTCCTGTTCCCCCTTGTTTCCCAGGAATCTTGTGAAGACCTCTCCTCCTACCTCACCTCCACCCTTAACCCTTACATCACCAATGTGACTCTGGCGGCCCAGCTCTGCAGTAATTTCCTATGTCGAGGGAATGGCCGCTGTGTCCGGAAAAACTACAACTCAGGTCACTACCTCCATCTGAACCCTGAGAATTTCAATGTCTTGCATGTTCAGAACCGATACCTGGTCCTGGGGAAACCTACCCTGACAGACCTGAAGAATTTTAGCAAGAGGTTCACCTGTCAGTGCTATGAAGGACTCAACTGCTCTCCAAGGACGTACCGAGAGCTCTCCAAGGCTCTGTCATTTAGTGTGAAGCAGTGGCTGTACCACAAGGCTCACACTCTCACCAAAACAATGTTGGAGGAGACACAGCAAGACAGTTACACTCAAGACAAAAGACATTTCAGATAGAAGAAAGATATTTATAAACTCTTTTGAAGCACGTCCAGTAAACTTTGCAAAGGCTCCAGGAAAAAAAACAAAAACAAAACACCACATACTGTGACAACCAACAGAATTAACATGTTTCAAAGTCTTATCAGCATGGGGACAAACAAATACCACTCTATATCAAGTTACCTGTGTCATCTCTTTACTTGGCTTTATTTTAAATATGATTTGACTGCATATGTAAATGAAAAGAGGCCAGGAGAAACAGTGTTTCTGTTGCTGTATTTGACTTCCCTTTCACAGATAGGTATAAAATAAGAGAAATGAGAAACTAAAATTCAGACGCCTGTTCACATATATTTGACAAATTGTCTGAAAAAGATTTGCTGCCAGCTTTGAGTTTGCGAGCAGTATATTACTTATTAAAAATGGGGCAACAATTGCAGTTTTGGAGACATGTTTCTTGACAGTAAACTGATGAGTGACTCTGTAACATGTTTGTACGCACAAGCCTTGGGTACATTTAATTGCTACAGCTAATTAGTCTTTATGGATGTGCCGGAGTATGATATTCCCACTGTGGGGTTGTCAGCAGCTACTATTGGTCATGGGTGGGTTTACTGAGTCCTCAGGGTGAAAAGCATGTGAGGTTTGTTTGCTTGTGTCACAATGTTCTCCAGGGTGGATGAAGAGGGATGAAAGTTTCATACGTCTCCACTTTGACCGCTTTCTGGCTCACTGTTGGTTAAAATGTTCAGTTGTTTTCTTTTTCTGTCAGTGCTTACTGTAACTGTTGTGTCATGTAAACTTTGCTGACTGGAAAAAGTATGAAACAGACAAAATGATATTTGTGTTAGTCATGCGACCAACAAACCCTGCACACTTACAAACCTCTACAAAGTTTAAATTTACAAGTCTTATGTTTAAGTATTACTGTATTTACATGTTGTCTTAACTTCTTTCAAGTTCCCACACCACTGTGCAAGCTATGACAGCACAACATGTCTTTTTCTTGTTTACCAAGTACTGGAGGGTGTGGGGACAGAAAACAGGAACTCCCAGGCATAAAACCAGAGAAATTGGTTTTGAGATGGACTTTGCTCAGACTTGTTCCATGAATGAAACAGCAAACAAGGAACTGCTGCCGACAGTTGACAATAACATGTCAGCAACATGAGTCAGTCTGGAAATAGGTTACATACTTTTTCTTCCACTGGCGGCCTCTGATGGGTGAGATCAAACAGAGTGAAAACTCTCACCTAAAGGCAAAAAAGGAAAACCTCATTGCACAATCAGCCTCACCGTTCCAACTTGCCTTGACAGTTGTACCTTGTTTACAATGAGGTTCACATGAGCAAACACCTCAGGTATGGGTGAAACATGACTTAATCAGAACTCTGCAGAGAAATCATAACACAGCCAGCTGTTGTTGAAGGAAAACTCCAGATTTAATTTAAATATGTTGTTGTTGTACAGTGCATGCCATTGCAGGTAAGTCATCTTGTTTGTAAATTCAATTTGCATTTTATTCCACTCTTTCATATTTTCTAAAAACGGGTTTAGTCATTTCTACTTTAATGAAACACCATAAAGCAAACAATAATTCATTTACAGCAATTTGGTTATGGAAATCTCAGATGCAAATGAATGCAATTTTTCAGAACCTCAAAATAGCTGCCAAGTTTTACCCCACCCCTGCCAGAACGAAACCACGGCCAGTATATGCTTGAGCTATACATGTTTATAATTAGTGCAAAGTTGAGGTTTTGATAAGTAAGTCACACCAATTACATCATGTACAGACATGACACAAAAATAAGCCATAAATCATGAAAAATCAATTTTTATTTAATTAAATGTAATAATTCTGATTTGTAACATGGTCCAACAACAGCAAAACAAATTGAGTTGTTCTCCCACAACATACCTGGGCATACAGTGATAAATTTGCAGTTTTTTTTAAAGTTGTTTCTTGGTTTACTAACCCTTTAAAGTAGCTCTAAAGCCATAAGATCATTCATTCAACTAAGCCTTGCATCCTGCAAATGACAAACATATCTGACTAGTTAGAAAATTCTTACTTTCTTCTTTTTGTGCAGATTGATACATTTTTTCTCAACAAAAACAAACAATTGTCGTGAGTGTGTATTTTTAAGGCCAGCACCGTAAATTACTGGACTGATCCCAGAACTGATGAAAGGATCCTACAATGAGAGTGAAATAGTTACAGCTGCACACAAATCCAAACAAACAATCAGCTGCTCATTTCTGAACCAAACCACAGTGAGTTATACAACTAAGTGATTTGTTTAGAGTAAACTTGTGAAGGTTTACCATCATTAGTTAAGTCACAGTGTAAGGTACTTTGGAAGGCCACAGTAAAGCAAATCAGGGCTCCAGAATATACACAACACAGTTTTAATGTAATCTAATCTTTATCTGAAACAAGTCTGTCTAGATTTTAGAAGTTTGTGTGTATATCTTCTTAAATTCAGTTGATTTATTCACATAAAGCTACTCTGGTCCATTTTGGCCCCTTGTGGACAAAGCAGTATATTTCTTCTGTCCTTGCATCAGGTATGTGGAATAAGTGTTTCTTCACAACAACAAAAAATTTATCCTGCACTTTTAACAATCAAGCTGCTCATCAAGAAATGCGTCTATTAAAGTATTTAAAAAAAGCAGTGTTTCAGGCATTAAAATGATGTTTTTCTATTCTTTTGTAGCTCATACACAGGCTTCAGTGTCAGTATGGGTTTCAGCTAACTAGTAACCGGCTAAAAGACTCCTCACAGGAGTTTTAAACTTGAATAGACTTGTTTCTCTGCCAGCTTGGGGCCCTGCTATAAAGTACAGAGGCTGTCAGGACAGACATTTTAATGAAATGTCTGTAAGTTAAGGGGAACATGCGCAGTTGAAGAACTTTGGAAATAAAGCGAAGTTATCTGAGACACAGAAAATAACTCACCCTAGATGAGAAGCTTGGTGCTGTTTCAACTGTTAGACCATAATGTACTGGCATATACATCAATAAAACTGGCTGATTGACTGATTTATTGACGGACACTCAGCCTTGTTTGATCGCGCCTGTCTGACTCGGTTTGTACAGGAAGGCACTCCAGCACAGTCATATTTGGTTCATGCAGATTCACAGTAAAATTCCCCTCATGTCTTTACAGCTACAAGTTGTCTTGCTACATATATTACTGGGTTCATCTCTACATTAATAGTTGCCATGCATAACTCTGGGGTCATGTGAGAACAAAGAACTTCCTTATCAATGTTGGGTTGCAATATATGTATTTTGCTGAAACGGGTTTATAACATATTCCATTTCTTGCTATATGTTATCTGTTAAGCATGCAGATACAGTATGATACATGAAGCATGCCCGTGCAAATGTAAATGGTGCAATCCAAACTAAACGTGCCACAATGACTTCAGTGTTTAAGTTACAGTCTGTGACTGCAGTCATGGAAAATAAATAAATGATCACACTACTGAGTTAATGAAGACTTTTAAAATATTCAACATCATATAGAAAACGGCAGTAGTATAAGAGAATGTAGGTAAACACTTCAGAGGCCCGAGTTATGTTTAAAGGACCTAAAAAATATCAGACATTGCAGTGCTGACAGCTGGAAAGTGTCTCATCTGCATATTACTAATACGTGCCCAGAATCCAGAATAACTGGAGTCTTAACTTGCTAAAATATTAATTGCACAGAGTTCTGTATCCTATATTTAACATCAGTTGTCATGGCAACAAACAGATGGCTAACTTTTCAAAGTTTCAAAGCGAGAACATACTTTGAGAAAGTGAGCTGATATGTGAGTTTTGGTTCATGATTTGTCAGAAGGCCAAGTTGGTCCACATTTAACATTTTACCTATTGTACTTTTACGTAAATTAGTTAAATTTACCATCAAATTATTAAATGAAGGTTGTTTATTCTTTGAGTTTTTACTATTAGGTAAAGCTAAAATAGTATTAAATCAAAGGAGCTTCTTATCCAACTGTCCATTAACTTCTCCATTCTCCTCACTCAGTGTTGTTTCCCTGGTGCACTTGATCCTCAGCAGCACATTAGACAGCACATCCTGGTACAAACTGAGGCAGACCCAGCCAGGCAGGTACAGGAGGGTGATGAGTCCCATGAAGTTCTGAGGGTAATGAGAATAGTCCCAGGAGCAGGCGTCAAACTGCCTGAGGATCAACCCCCAGCAGAACTCCCAGGTGTAGATGAAGCAGATGTAGATGGGAAGCCGCCTGCATGTCCCCCACCCTCTGCTAAAGTGCAGGTAAAGGTAGAGCTTCTCCACCACGAAGCTGCAGCTCCCGTACATGAGGAAAGACCACAGGGACGTGTGACCGCTGAGGGTCCGGTCCGACTTCTCTACCAGGTTGAAAATAGACGTGAAAAGCACCTCATCTAAGAACCCGTGCATCCCGAAGAATAAGAACCGCACGACACCGGGGAGAGCGTTGAGAGGCGCCCGAAAACAAGCGCTCTCTCCCGGGTCTGATTTCCCAGAAGGGTCGGCAGGGTGAGTGGAGGGGTGATACTGCAGCTTTGACAGCCCCTTGTGGAAAACCTGGGTGAAATAAAGAGCCAGTATGTAGTGCACTGCTAGCTGGGTCCCTGACACCACCCTCACCTGCTCTGTTAGGGTGTTAATGTTTCCGATCAGGATCTGCAGCCCGATGTAGACAGACGGATAGAAAACCAGATGAAACACCACAGGCCGACCTCGGAAGCACCTCTTCTGAGAGTAGATCTTCTCCAACGCAAAGTGGGTCAGTGAATGCATGATACAGAGATAAGGTGAAGAAAATCCCACAAGTTTAGGGTCCCTGTATTTGAAAAGTCGGTGTACCGACGAGAGCAATACATCCAGAGTCATGCCGTGCATCCCATAGAAGTAAAGCCGCATCCAGCGCGGCAGCTCCCGCAGAGACTCCGCGGTGTCCTCGGTCTCACCGGATAGTTCTTCCTGGCGGGGATTTCGTGCCGTTTTGAGGCCGCCGACTGGGTCTCCTGAGCGGCCGCGAGAGCTGTCTCTCCCCCGGCTGATCATGTTCACTCACTGTCCTTCAATGGTTTCAGCAGTCTTCTTCCAGCACATTGTTGTCTGTTGTGTTCTGCTGCAGCTGCAAGCATCTCCTGCACGGTGCAGAGTGACTGCTGCGTTCATGGGGCTCACGGAAAAACGCGCTTCTGTCGACACAGCTTCTGCCAATGACGCTCACAGGAGTAGTTTTTATCCTTCCTCCTGTGTTAGCTTTTACGACGCACCCACCATGTTAAGGGTTGGTTTTCACTCGTGTCTTAAATCAGCTTAATTACACTATAAACAATTCTCTATCATCCAATTTGGTTCTCATCTCTAGGTTACCTTGTTAGACTTCATTATTCATGAATAATATTGCTTAATAGTTTTTGTAGTGGGCCTCTGGGCCTTTCTTTGTCAGTATACCCCTCATACAGACATCTATACTGAATTGATCTCACATGCCTGACGTTGTTTTGTAGTTAAAAACATGGCAAAATGAGAAGAAGATCTGACTGTCAGTGTCAACTTTTTTGCTCTAATTATCAGATATTGACCTAACTGGGTCAACAGTGTCCCTAACACAACAAGTGCCATGATTTTAAGAGCATTTTATAATTTGGTCAGTTTAATTTTTTTATTTTCATTTTCAAGTCAAAAAGTCTTGATGCGAAGAAGCAAATTTATGTGGTTCTTTTAAGCATTTAAAAACAAAAGGAAGACAAAAACAAACAGCTAGCTAGTTCTAGACCATACATGGGCAGCTGGCAGCCCATGGAGCTTGTAGATCAACTATTTTTGCAACTTTTGTGTGACATTGAATGGACTGACACTATATGTAATGTGGCCCCTGGAATGAGTGTGGAAATATAGTGGCCCTCTCCATCATTAAAGTTGCCCACCACTTGACTAGACTCCAGACGATCTAGAAGCTCACGATATCCCATCGTGAAGTCATCATCTGTTTAAAATGCGACAAAATAGAGGGCCACAACCAATCTCGGGGACCCCATCACATCCCCACCCAAACCACAACCAATGGGGAGGGCATCACCAATCAAAATCTTGCTTAGGGCCACCAAAATCCACCAGCTGGCCCTGCATTTAAAGCATACATCTAGCCCAGATTAGCCAAAAACAAATTTCTATTTAGCATAATACACCAAAGCTCTGAAATCCAACGTTATCTCGCCAGCTGAGATAGCCTATAACAGAAATGTAAATTATTGGCAATAAAAGTAAAACCAGTTTATGATTATCCTATTGTATACCTGATATGACTTGGGCTAAATGAGGATTAAACACATCAAAAATAGTTCACGTGCATCTATTGTGCTTTTCGATTCAATTGGATCAGTGATACAGCCAATGCCATTGACGTAAAACAAATGAAATGAAACAAATTAATGTTTCAAACATCCTTCCTGATTTCTCATAGCACCTGAAGGCAACATAGCAGAGGCTCTGATGGAGGAGGCGGCGAAGCTCTATCGCTGTGGTGGAGACAGGACGCCCTGGCTCTGACTCGGCAATTAAACGAGCTCACGTCCCTCTGCGACGTCATGACGCAGTTCAATTACGAGTCATAAATGAAAACGACATTAGATTACCCTGCTAATGCGAAACCACAAACAAATCTAATGCTCTCCAATAAACTCAAAGAAATGAGGTCATCTTTTGGCATTTATCCAGTCTACAGATGATGGATGTTGGGTGTTAACCTATTCAGCTTTCCTGCTTGTCAAGTTAGTACTGAAGGACAGAATGGACAAATTAATGGCATACACTTTCTAGAGTTGGTGATTGGTTGAGCTAAATGTAATGGTTGGAAAATTATGAAGAGAGGGGTTGTGTGCCACTGTACATATATATATATATATATATATATATATATATATATATATATATATATATATATATATATATTAAGCCTTTTTTGATGGTAAAACTTGATAAACAGAGAGTCATGTATCTCAGGACTCATCTTTGTGTCCTTAAAGGCAACCATTGCTTCACTGATAGGTGAGTAGGGGAGTATCCCACACTAGAGTGTAGCTGCTAAATACTCACTTTTCTGCACATTGATAAGTTATCCAGTTATTATTATTATTTTCATTATTGTAGGCTGTAGTTATAGAACTAGTAGTATATTATTCAGTTAGCATTTCTGTGCCTACCTTCCTGCAATCATCCGCTGACATGAAAAATGGTAAAGCTTTTATAAGACGTGTGCTTTCACTTTAAATTCCTTTCAATTCCAAAATGAACAAATTTGAGCCCAAATCCTAATACAATATGCAGCCTGCAAATTCATACATTAGCATTTACAGTGAATTTAAATGCAAAGGAGTGGACTTGTAGTTCTCTTGAATGTCCACAGAGGGGCACTATTGTGTGTGTATGTCCAAAATAGACAGTGAAACTGCAGATAAGGCTCATTTTCACCACCCATGGGAACTGAGTGCATTTTCATCAGAGGCTGCTTTGTGTCTCTCAAGACGTGTCAGATTAGTTAAGTGATGTCTCTGTCTCTGGCTGTGGCATTTCATAAAAAGGATGTCTGTCAGTATGCATGAGTGTAGTGTGGCTACTATAAGTGCCTGCATGTGTGTGCGTGCGTTTTATCTTTATTAAAAGGTTTAATATTATTCTTGTTTGCAGGGTATATATCTAACAGTGTTTGTCTGTGAGTTGTGAGTGTCAGGATGCATTTTTGGGTCTTTGGAGTGCATTCATGTTTAATTTTGGTTCTGCTTTTTGATGTGAACACAAAGTAAGTGTGCTTTTTGTGTGTGTGTGCTGTCAAACGAAATCAAGATATGAGTGTTCTTTCTGGGCTGCAGAGATAACAGCGTGTCTCTGCAAGAGTAAGAACTATCAGAATCACTTCTGCACAGACTGATTCAGAGGTCAAACACTTCTCACATTTTAAAATACATCTTGTATCTTCTCTAAAATTTCTTAGCATCCATTTAGTGCAATGTTACAGGTCATAATTCTTCCCGATGTCCCCCTGTATAAAGAAAAAAAAAGAGTTTTGTTCCCATCTAAAGAGGATTTTTTGCGTTATATGTTATACACTACAACACTAGAAGCTGCATTAATGGTATTAGCACAGTGAAGCTGAGCTGGATCATAAAAACCTCAGAGTAAAGATGTACTCTGTGTGCAGTGAAATACACAACAATTACATCTCTCAGTCTTCAGTTGTGTGTCATTTTTGAAAAGCTATGGTCTGAAGCTGTTGGGTTTGCACAATATACCAAAAGAATACAATTTCACAGCAAGCTGAAAGATAAGACATGTTTGTATTGCGATATTTACTTATATACAATAACCAGTTTCATTCTTTCAAAGCGTATTTATAGATGCAGCCCAACAAAGAAGAGTCGGACAGGGTATGTTTAATAAAGGAAATAATGGGGTTGTTGAATAAAATCCAGTGAAGCTGATCTGCGTCACTTTGTCTCATCTGAGTCAGCAGAGATAGACGAGGTCAATGCTATTTCCTGTATTGGCAACTTTTGTATTACTGTGAGCTATTTCTGACTTTTTTCATTAGATCTATCAGAGGACACAGAAAACCTGAAAAATACTCATTATCGTATGAAAGAAAGCACAATGTGAGCTCAGACGTGTGAATATATTTGTAGTGCAGATAAAACAAGTTCTTGCAGAGCTGAAAATTAGATCATGATGCTGCAGAATTACTTTAAAACCCCCTCTGGTGCAGGCTGCCCAAACTAAAGCTATCCTCTTGTCTGTCAATGCTTCATGCTGAGAAGTCTTCCATTATTTTATGACGAACAGAGGAGCTGGTGTATTTTCCTCCTGGGGGGTTATAACAAAATCTAAAGTACACATATTCCATGTAAGACGCAACAGCTATCACACATTGAGGTATCTCTCTGCTGAATGAACAAAGCCCATGAGTCCCATGTGGACTCTTGTTTGTTTATGATTTTTCAGCTTTTTGGAGATCTGCTTTTAATAAATCATTCCTGTCTGAATCGGAATCTGAATCCTCTGATCTTGATGTTTGGAGGAGAAGCCAGGGGAAGCTAAATAAGCATGAGCATCACTGTGTGTCATTAACCGAGCCTTCTTACCAACCCAGCCCTTTGATAACAAACAAGAGCAATTTTTGCCTTCCCCCTTCGCCTTTGGGATGCTGTTTAATTTTGAGGTTGATCAGACCCAAGCTCTTAAACCCTCAGCTTCTCCTGCAAAAATCTCTGGTCAAACAGCAGTATATTCAGCATCTTCCTGCCTCTTGTAATGAAAGGGACCAAATGCATATGTGGGGGACTGCACTCAGGACTGGAAATATGTAACCAATCAGAACTGTCCAACATTTTAAACGTTTATAATCCATGTGCCACTCTCCTTGTAGAGAGCTGTGTGGCAGGGCCCTACAGTCCAGCTACCACTGACAATGAACGCTAATATCATTAAATCCTCAAACTGTCAACACTAAATGACAGTCAAGAAATGATCACTTGCAAGAATTCACCGTGTCAAACATTCAAAGAAAATTCCAAGTGTTACTGACTTTCGTGCAATCTTTACATCACTCTCTTTGATCTGAATTCCTCCTGCTTGATATGGACTTTGTGTCTCTGCAACCATGACATAAAACACTTTCAACCTTGAGTTGAAACCAGTTCACCCTTTTCACCTCGAGCATGTTTAGTGTATCACAACAGTTTTTTCTTTGACAGAGCCAAATAATGGGTACCAATGTGCAAAAACTGCAAGACTTTACTCCAGCCAATTTCAGCCAAAAAAAGTGTAGACCATTTATGTGAATGGTCTAATTTATGCCACATAGATTCAATTTGAATGCACTTTGACAAAAAGCCTGTTTGTCTGGCCTCAGATATTGTCCCTTCATAAGTCAACACTAGAGGGCAGCAGTGTGACACAGTCTCTCATGGCTTGGGTGGGCCCCCCTTGACTCAGAGGTGATTTCATTCACAGAAATGAAATGAAGCTGTTTTGCATGACATGCATTCGGATGCTAGGTC